ACAGAAAAAAACAACAAGTGAACAAGCAAACAAAAAGCACAACACGCTAAGCAGCAAATACAACCAACAAACAAGGGAAAAAAGCAAAATTACCAAAAAGCGAACCCCGAAGATACCTGGGGAAGGTGTTTTGGGGTCAACACCCCCCCGGGCCCCGGTTTTATGACCAGGCCTCGCGGTGGATCAGGGGCTGGTCAACTAGGCTGTTACTGCTGGCCGCACGCACGAACGAACCACAGCCTGGCTGGTCAGGTACTGACTTTAGGTGCCTGTCCAGCTCCCTCTTGAAGACAACCAGGAGTCTATTGGTAATCCCCCTTATGTGTGCTGGGAGGCAGTTGAACAATCTCGGGCCCCTGACACTTATTGTGTTATCTCTTGACATACTCATGGCTTTCGTAGGGAGTGATTTCTGTGTGTAAATTTCGGACTAATCCCTCTTAAGATTTTCCAAGTGTATGTTATCATGTATCTTCCTCGTTTATGTTCACAGGAGTACAGGTCAATGGATTACAACTGTTCCCAGTAACTTAGAAGTTTTATTGTACTTATACGTGCAGTGAAAATTCTCTGTATATTCTTCGGGTCTGCAGTTTTGCCTGCTTTGAAAGGGGTCGTTAGTGTACAGCAATACTCCAGCCTAGAGAGAACAAGCAATTTGAAAAGAATCATCATTGGCTTGGTATCCCTAGTTTTGAAGGTTCTCATTATCCATCCTATCATTTTCCTATTGTAATCTTTGAAAGCGAGATTCTCTGACATCATCACTCCCAGATCCTTCACATTAGTTTTTCACTCTATTGTACGGTTGGAATTTGTATACCCTGATCCATTGTTTATTTCCTCGAGTTTTCCGTAGTGGAGCAATTGAAAACTGTCTTTAACTTCATATTATTTTCTGAGGCTCATATAAAGACTTGGTTAATGTCCGCTTGGAGATTTGTAGTGTCCTCATTTGATGACACTGTCATGCAAATTCTGGTATCGTCAGCAAAGGACACGGTGCTGTGGCTTCCATGTCTATCTATGTCAGATATGAGGTTGAGGAAAAGGAAAGGAGCAACTACTGTATCTTGTGTAATAGTTCTTCACTGTAGCCGTCTCTGACTTTACTCTGTATATTATTATTATAATCAAAAAGAAGCGCTAAACCACAAGGGTTATACAGCGCTGCAGGGTAGGGAAGGAAGCGAGGGTACGCTATTACTCTTTGTGTTCTATTTGTTAAGAAGTTATAGATCCATCTACTCACTTTTCCTGTTATTTCGAAAGCTTTCGCACAGTCTTTGCATACTACATCTGCCTTTTGTTTGTCCTCCAGCGCATCCAAGATCATAACAGTGTGGTCCAGTAGTTGTGAGAGGCAGGAGCGACCTGTTCTAAACCCGTGTTGCCCTTGGTTGTGCAGCTGCTGGGTATCCAAGTAGTTGGCAATCTTGCCTCTTAGAACCCTTTCAAAGAGTTTTATGATGAGGAACGTTAGTGTTATCGGTTTGTAATTCTTTACAATTAATTGCTTTACTGCCACCTTTGTGGAGTAAGACTGTCTGTTGTTTTTAGTGAATGTGGGATGACCCTCGTGTCCATGCTTCCTCTCCATAGAATACTTAAGGCACGTGAAAGGGGCTTTTTGCAGTTCTTGATGAACACAGAGTTCCACGAGTCTGAGCCTGGGGCAGAATACATGGGCATATTATTTATTGCCTTTTCAAAGTTCTACAGTGTTAGGATTATATCAGAAATTCTTGAATTAATCAATTTTTGAGTGGTGGTGTGACAGCCTAAGCTGACCCACTTTTTTACTTTCCCATCTGTCATATAAAACTGTCAAATCACCTCAAAAAAATTATTAGTGTTTGTCTTTTATTATTATTATAATCAAAAAGAAGCGCTAAACCACAAGGGCTATACAGCGCTGCAGGGTAGGGAAGGAAGCGAGGGTATTGGGCGGCAAAAGGGGGAGGGATGATCAGTAGGTTACAGAAAACAGCGGGGCAGGGGACAGTGCGGGGGTAGAGGGCAGCAAGAGATTGAGGAAGAAAGGGCTGAAGGTATTATCAGAGTTTGTGAAGTCAGTTGTTGTCAAAAAGTCAATGAGAGTGTCCGGATGAAAGGTGGGTCCATCAGCGAGAAGGGAAGGTAAAGAGAGAGCAGCGGAGCGAAGACGACATTGGAGGTATATTCTGCGTGCTCGTTGATAAAGTGGGCAGTCTAATAGAATGTGGCTGACCGATAATGGAACCTGACAATTCTCACAGAGAGGAGCAGGGCGCCTCTCCATGAGATATCCATGAGTAAGACGAGTATGGCCAATGCGAAGACGGGAGAGAGTAGTCTCCCAACCTCGACACTGGTGACAAGACGGCCAGTAACCTATACTCGGTTTAATAGATTGAAGTTTGTTACCGAGCAGAGTAGACCAACGTTGTTGCCAACGGGTGTGAAGGTGGGTAGCTATTGCAGCAAAATAGTCCGTAAATGGAACACCTGTATATGAAACTGGTAAGTCAGTTTGTCTTTTAGTATATATGAAATTTGCCTCCATTTTTTCTATCTTTCGGACAGACCCAAAAACATTTCCCTATTTTAATATCAGTAGTGGTAAGTTGGTGGATATTAGCATATGGACCATCCTGGAGTATTACCTGGAGAGAGTTCCGGGGGTCAACGCCTCCGCGGCCCGGTCTGTGACCAGGCCTCCTGGTGGATCAGAGCCTGATCAACCAGGCTGTTACTGCTGGCTGCACGCAAACCAACGTACGAGCCACAGCCCGGCTGATCAGGAACCATTGCCTGTAGATTATTATAACCAAAAATAAGCGCTAAGTCACAAGGACTATACAGCATTGCTTGTAGAAATAACGTTCTAACCCTATCAATACTTCGCTTGGAACTATGGTTACAAAGTAAACAGTTTCCATGTTGATATTTTTTTTTCTGTTTCCAGTGTTGGATACATAATGATGATTTATGGTTTATTTCTAGTTTCAATGTCACGAACATCAAGTTTACTTCTGGTACACATGACAGATCTCCCAGCTAGGCTAGCTACTGTAAAAGTTTACTAAAAAAATGTATACCGATGTAAAAAAGTTTACTAGAAAAAGTATTTGATCTGCTTATATTATCAGTACATCATTCACAAGAAGCGATAAACCCTTATCGGTCATACAGCGTCTTGAGGGGGAGGGGGAATGGGAGACAATCAGGTTCAATTAAATAAAGTGGAGCACAGGTTCAGTTCCTTAGATCAAGAGACCTCCCTCACCGGCATCAAGGAACCTCCCTTGAGGGGCGGGGATCCATCAAGATCATAATACCAACAAATATCCCGTCAGAAAACGCCGTCCTGAGGATCCATCATTCAGGGTCTTATTTCTGCTCATCGTAGTATAAGACCTGGCAGTCAAGATACAACTCCTGATACCCAGGTAAAACACCCACATAGTGTCTACCATAGTTAGCAATTTACACTGCAGCTCGAGCCTCGACCCCAGACAACTCTCTCATGTATCACATAAATCAGGGGTTCTTAACATTTTTACGATTACAGACCCCAGTTGAAGTGCCCAATATGTTCCCATACCTCCATTCGCCATTATATATATAATAAAAATTATTATAATCACGGAGGAGCGCTAAACCTGTAGGATTTTACAGTGCATGTGGGGGGGGGTGCTGGAAGGTATTCAGACTCAATTCAGTGAAATGAAGCACAGATCCAGTACCCTAGATCAAGAGCCTCTCACCAGCGTCAAGGAACCTCCCTTGAGGGGAATAAAAACTAAGCGCTAAACCCACAAGGGTCATACAACACCCCCCCTTCGCCGGACTGGAACTCCCCACCACCACCAGTCCTATTAGGGTACCAGTATAATTTCAAAAGATGTTGATAGCTCGGTTTTACTTTACACAAGGATAGCTAGCAACAGAACAGCTGAAAGAAAATCATAAGGATTTTATTGTATTTATTTATAGAAAACGGAAACCACAAATACACAAGCTAGCTACGTTATTACAATCGTAACTAAGCGCTAAACCCACTAGGGCCATACAGCTCAAGTTAACTACAATTAGTGAGATTTTTGCTGTTGCTTTTGTGCAATCAAAACATGGACTGGAAGTATACTTACTGATATTACTCGAATGTTATCTGACACATCAAGTCGATTTATCCACTTTGATTCCAGGTTCAATAATGCAGATAAATAGTTGTGAAGGGAACAAAAACTTTCATTGTCTTTACCGCTAAGGTAGAGTAAGGTGTGATCTGCTCACACCAAAACTGATTGATATCTAACTCAATTTAGCGGCCTTGCAACCTCAATCCTTATTGATAACGGTGACAGTTTATTCTAATCTAAACCTTCTTTTTTTTTTTAATTGTTGCGAGATCGAGTCCCATACCCCCCAAGGGTCGTGGTTACTCCCGGTTAAGAATCCCTCATATAAATGGTATATAATACCGACAAGTTGAGAAGATATGTACAACAAAAGGAATCTTTATTAGCGAAAGGTTTCAACTGCGCTGCAGGCTTCGCGAAAATGCTTTCCCATATTTTGGGCTAATTTAAATAATTTCGCTACTTTTGGTTTTTGATATTACGACACAAGTATACCCGGAGAGAGTTCCGGGGGTCAACGCCCCCGCGGCCCGGTCTGTGACCAGGCCTCATGGTGGATCAAGGCCTGATCAACCAGGCTGTTACTACTAGCCGCACGTAATCCAACATACGAACCACAGCCCGGCTGGTCAGGTACTGACTTTTGGTGCTTGTCCAGTGCTTGCTTGACGACTGCCAGGGGTCTATTGGTAACCCCCCTGATGTATGCTGGGAGGCAGTTGAACAGTTTTGTGCCCTTGACACTTATTGTGTTGTCTCTTATCGTGCTAGTGACACCCCTGCTTTTCATTGGGGAGATGTTGCATCGTCTGCCAAGTCTTTTGCTTTCGTAGGGAGTGATTTTCGTGCGTAAGTTTGGTACTAGTCCCTCTAGGATTTTCCAGGTGTATATAATCATGTCTCTCTCCCACCTGCGTTCTAGGGCGCACTGGTTTAGGAACAGACGTATTCCTAATTTAATGATACTAGCTGAGAAATATTTAATATTCTGTAAATGTTCATCTCAATAAGTATCTTAGTTAAAGTGCGTGTCAGTGGCCTGGCTGTTAACGTCTTCACCTCACATACTGCCCTAGGGGTCCAGGGTCGATCCCCGGACCCCTCAGTATGTAAGGGATTTCCTTACACCTGCTGCCGCTGTTCACTTAGCAGCAAGTAGGTATACATCCTTACCAACACATTGCTCAAATAGAGGCATGTATAATTCCCCTTCCCATTAAAAACATATATTTTCTATAGATAAATTATCGCCAAAAAGAAAACCGGCAATATACGTCGTAGGAATCTGCTACAATGGAGTAGTCCATGCTGATAGACCGGTAGGCAATGATTTTAATGTCGGGAATGATAGTGTTTGAGCTTTATTTCGTAATTAGGACAAATTTTGAGTTCTGAAGCGAGTCAACTGATGTATTCCTCCGTACAAGTAAAGGCTGAGTAGAGAAGCAAGTTACCGGAATAATATGTTAAGGTGTAATGTTAAGGTGAGGCCTGATGCACAGTTCCTGGCCAGTTGTTCCATTGTCAGTGGAACAACTGGCTTCTGTGTTGTTCCTGACAATAGTAGGCTTACTACTGCTGTCAGTGGTACTGATCCTGGGTGAATTAAGTTTCACGCAGCTGTCAGCGGTGTATGACACACTCGCTGTTTGTCCAAAACACGTGAAAACTTGGTTGTTGGATGGTGTTGATGACTCATTGCTAAAGTTAGTAAGCGGAAGCTGAGGCACACGAAAATTTGGACACTGGGTAAGAATGATGTCTTCTGGAAGAAACTGGTTGTATTTATGGCTAGGATGGCGATTATTTACATCATGACGTTTAGGGACAGACGAAACAGATATATCTTTGAATGAACTTGGATAAGCTGATGTCAGTGCGTTTGATGCAGGCTGTTTCTGCTCAGGGGTTTCCAAGATGGTTTCATCTTGGAAAGGGCTGCCATGGAGTGGACGCAAGGGAGACTGAACTTCGTGGTAAATTATGTTAATGTTTTCAAACCATGAAGACTTAGAAACATTAAAGGTTTGCGGAAATGGCTCTCTGAAGTCGGTGGAAAAATATGGTAGCGTCTCAGACTGAGAATATCGTTCTGGGAGGCTTTTCTCAGGAGCAGAATGGTGAGAGGACCTCGAGGCGTCTTCTGGCGTGGAAGACGTCAGTTTTGGCGTAAGCCCGTTTGTGCTAATAGAATGTTGGCTAGGAATAGGAGAGGTTATGACAATTCTTGGAATCGGCGAAAGAGGTGTTAAATATTGTTCCTGATTCGCCGTCGCTTCATCACGTCCCATCCTTGAACCAGAAGGCGATGACCACGAATCAGATTGTCTCAGGCGAAACAACTGAGTGTAAGACAGAGGTGAAGTATGGCTGTTGTTCACGTATTCCTGGTGTGTCTTGCTCGTTTCTCCGCCTGAAGCAGCCCTCGGCTGGAATGATAGCAGATGAACCATTGACCCACTAACATTTTCACGGTAGAACGGTTGGCGCCAAGTCTCGCAGTAACTACCCGAGTCATCAGAGGAACTGCTATCCTGCGCACGGAGTTGAGAGTGAGAGAGTGTAGAGGCACTAGCAGCTTCTCCGCTTCTGCCATTTTCTGGTATAAGGTCAAGGATTTGCATGCTAGGCACTTTTCTTTTCCTTGCATTTTCTGTCTCAGAGACGCGAGGCAGCAGTGGTGAAGGCTCATACACCCAGCCAGATGACAGCATCGACACTTGGTTTAGACTACTGTCTTCGTCTATGTTATGGCAAGGGATGAAAGTGGCAGCAAGGGAGACCAAGGCGGCTGCAGTCCCCGCCACACTCGTCGCTGTCACCACCCACACACCTGCAACACGAATTTCCATCGAAAATGTGACAGGGTGGACAGGTATAGACTAAGAGGCGGGAAACGAGTATATGAGGGCACACCTATGAGTCACATGGATGTCAGGAATATTTCTTTAATGGGGGGAGGGAGAAAGGCCAGGAAGCTCAATGACCTGGCCAGCGAAATGGTAGTGGATTAGATTTTGGCACCGAAGTGGCTAGTGGCAGGGTCTATACATAGTGTTAAGACCAGATATGCTAGGGCCCACGAGACTAGAGGAAGTGAATCCGGTAACGGCTCATTAAGAGGCAGGGCCAGGAGCTGAAACTCAACATCTGCAACTACAAATAGGTATCAACACATGACACGTAAGGGTCATAACACCAAATAGGAGAGGCGTCGGGATAAACAAGTTTGATATGAGAGAGCTACAACTCCTGGACCTAAGAGCCCGTCAAGACAACAAGGCAAGTCCTTGACGGGAATCGCTGTGTAGCGAGCTTAGTTAAGGATATTTATTAAGCGCCCCAAACCCATCCCATGGGCGGCAGTCAAAAGAATGGGCACCATTATTTTTGACAGATAAGCAAGTTACTGATTTAACGAATCAGATTAAAGTTTAAGAACTAATTTATGGACCGAGTTGTTTACGAAGACAATTCAGTCACAAAAGCATTACAACGTAACTTGTGTGTGGCTATCCGTTGTTATAAAAACCCAATATTTTAGCAAGGTTTGTTTGAATTTGGACAAGTTTAAGGGCTTAGGGTCCTTTTATAATAAGTCAGGACATTATATTATAGTACGTGTGGACATCGCAGTTTTAGTCTGAAAATATATATTCAGTACATTTTCAATGGAAAAATCAAGTGTTTAATTGCAGAAGCAATGTCTACCAGCCTGCAACACACAGTAAGTGGGTCTTACCTTTGTGATTCATTGTCTGGGAGAGAGTGGAAAGGTGGTGGGGAAGAGTGGACTGGTGTGGCCACAGGTATATCCCAGTGTGGTGCACCTGCAGAAGCACTGCCACTGCCGTCAACACCACTGCTACGGACACTACACTCACACGAACCTTCAGTACTCGCCTCCTGCTGGAGCCTGGTGTGTGGTGGTAGTCAGAACAGCTGCTCACCATCACTCCCATGCCATTCGCCAACGCCTAGGATTAAGACGCCCTTGGATTATTAAACCGGGAAGTAACCCAGTTAAGCTAATCTAAGGTGGCTTATTTCCATTGGGTTTTTTGTCTTCCCCATTATGCAACACACACCAATCGGCTATGCCCAAGTACCTACTTTCTATCAGGTGAATAGGGGCAGTAGACGAATTATTATTACAATCAAAACTAAGTTCTCAACCCACATGGGTCATACAGAGTAATAGGTGTAATAAAACAATGTATGAAGTGAGGCAGCGACCGACTTAACCACGAGAAAATGCCCCTTCCCCTTCTTATTTTTCCATGTCCACTAATAAATATTTGAAACACGTTTAATAAAAGTAAGGAGTTGCCAACGACGTCTCCACTCGCTCGAGGATCGAACACTTGTCTTCTGTTTGTGCGAGTCAGAAGTGAACAGAGGTACAAGTCTACTCACCCAGACTCCTGCCAGCAGGCAGAGCAGTAGGTGGGTGGGCTGAAGCAGGAGCAGAGCCCCTATCATCTGCGTCCCACCCACCACGCCCACCACACCACCGCCCACCACCATTACACACCCGCCCACACGACTACGCATAGCTGTCCACAGTATCTGAAAAAAAATGAATGGAAATCCCTTTATAAGTACATATTTTCAACACGTGAACTAGTAGGTGTCGTCAACACAAGCATCAAAAATTTCGGTGGCTGTGTGATCCAAGACAGTTAGTTTAATATCTTCATTATGCACCCCGTACCCATCCTGTTGGCGGCAGTCAAAAGATTACAGAAGTACATAATGGGTCCAGGGACTGGACCCCAAAGTTATGATAGTTAGTTTAATATGTTTATTATGCACCCCATACCCATCCTGTGGGCAGTAGTCAAAAGATTACAGAGGTACATAATGGGTCCAGGGACTGGGCCTCAAAGTTTTGATAGCTGAGCAAGTTACAGAGGTAATGAATTCACAATTTACAAAGGTAATGAACTCACAATTTACAAAGGTAATGAACTGCAGGTAGGTCTAGTCACAATCATGACAAGTTACAAAGGTATTTACAGATTACAGAGGTACACAATGGGTCCAGGGACTGGGCCCCCAAAGTTTTGATAGCTGAACTAGGTACAAGGTAATGAACTCACAAGTTACAAAGGTAATGAATACTGTAAGAATGGTTACTTACGTTTATACATGGCTACAATCATGAACAAATTATAGTGTAATGAGCAATTCACACTTCCACACCCGGTCACAACTGTAATGAGTTATTGGTGCAAATATTGATTGTTGAGTCACACACACACACATACACACACACACACACACACACACACACATACAAATTCACACACACACACACACACACACACACACACACACACCACACACAAACTCATACACACATGCACACACACTCATACACACACACACACACACACACACACACACACACACACACACACACACCCATACACATACAAACACACACACACACACACACAGGAGCTTGGACTCGACCCCTGCAATCTCAACTGAGTGCACGCACACACACACACACACACACACACACACACACACACACACAAAAAACACACACACAAACACACACACACAAACACACACACACAAACACACACACACAAACACACACACAAAACACACACACACAAACACACACACACACAACACACACAAACAACCACACAAACACACACACACAAACACACACACACACGTGGTAATGCTTTATTTACAGCTAGCAAAGTCAGGGTATTTCTCCAGAATGGTCTGTAATATACCACTGTGGATAAAATACTTAGCCATTTCTTGACACTTCTGAGTGAGTTGTCTCTAAATTCATTAATTTTATCGCACTCCAGTACATAATGACGCAGGGTGTGACAGTAGTCCATCTGGCAAAGTTTACATTTCGTTGGTCTACATTGGTGGTGGTGATTTAACCTGCCAAAGATACTTGTAACCCAGCGGAGCCGGGCGGTAGTGACATCCAAGAGTCTGCTTATTTTGTTGGATGCACCAAGACATGTGGCTCCTCCTGCATGATAGAATGATGATAGATGGACTCACTGGTGTCAATCTCCCTGAGCCTTAAGTCCATAAAATTCAGTTGAAGTTCTTTTCGTATTATTGTTCTCAAACTACTACCTGACAAGCCAAGATTGTAATCTACTCCCTCTTTGAAAGCATACAGCTTAGCCAATTTATCAGTTCTATCATGCATCTGAAGACCAATGTGAGATGGAATCCACAGCATGTGCACTCTGACTCCACTGTCCACAATCCTACCATACCTGTGTCTGGCTTCTGACACAAGCATGCCACAATTTATGCTTAATGAGTTAGGGAGCATTTATGGATGACAGAGAATCAGTTACAATTAAACTGTCAATCTTTGATACATAGATGCATTTCAGTGCAAGGAGTATGACAAACAGTTCTGTCTGAAGGGTAGAGGCCCAATTATTGATGCGTGCTCCAATTTCTTTAAGAGAGCCATCACTCTGTACGACAACAGCAGCACTACCAGCTGCACCAGTGGATTGGTGAACAGAACCATCAGCGTAAATAATTTGCGAGAGTGTACGCTGTGTGACTAAGTTATCAATACAGCTTAAGGCCTCATGTTTGGCTTCAAGGCGAAGTTTTGGTTGTGATTTAAGAAGTAGTTTGGGGGGAAATGGAGGAACGGTAGTTTGGAATGGGGTAATATTCCATGGAGCGGAGAAGTGCCGCTGTTGCCTTACTTGACATAGATCATTTATCTGATTCATGCGGAGGTCGGTTCCAGTTTTTTCGATCCATCTGGAGGAGTACTTACAAAGCTAATGAACTCCACGGGACAACCATGTCACGGGACAACCATGTAACCCATAAACCCAGCTCTCTCTACCTCAACGATGTGAATCCTACAAGTTCAGCTCTTTCTACTTCATTGCAACGAGAGCAATAGTACAGAGTGCGACCTCCTCCGTTTATTTATTACTTTGCAATTCCCCTTGCAACATGAAGGGTGGAATAGTACTGCAAACGGCCCCCACCTGGAAAATTTCACTACGATTTGTCTCGTAATCCCTTCCAAGGTGTTGGTCTGGACTGCTGCTGTTTTACGGGATGCATGGACAGAGATAAGATCAGATTTTGTTCGGATTTTTAACCCGGGAAGGGTTAGCCACCCAGGATAACCCAAGAAAGTCGGTGCGTCATCGAGGACTGTCTGTCTTATTTCCAGTGAGGTCCTCAATCTTGTGCCCCAGGATGCGACCCACACCAGTTGACCAACACCCAGGTGAAAACTTGCGAGGTGAACGGGGACAGTAGGTGTAAGGAAACACGCCTGGAGGATATACAGATAACCTTTACTGCGCCTAAATTACTGGTAACGGTTGAAGGACCTTGACCTGTACTCCTTGGAACGCAGGCGAGAAAGATAAATGATAATATACACTTAGAAAATCCTAGAGGGACTAGTCTCAAATCCACACACCGAAATCACTCCCTACGAAAGCAAAAGACGGCAGGCGGTGCAATATCCCCCCAATGAAGAGCAGGGATTCCACGAATATGCTAAGAGACAACACAGTAAGTCAGGGGACCCAAGACTGTTCAACTGCTTCCCAGCATACTTATTAAGGGGGATTACTAATAGACTCCTGGCTGTCTTCAATAGGGAGCTGGACAGCCACTTAAAGGCAGTACCTAACCAGCCGGACTGTTTATACATCGGTTTACGTGATGCCAGCAGTAACAGCCTGGTTGATCAGGCCCTGATCCACCACCAGGTCTGATCATGGACCGGGCCACGGGAGCGTTGACCCCCGAAACCCCTTCCAGGTATACGCCCAATGTTTTCACCCTTGCCGGGAATCGAACCACGGACACTGCGTGAGGCGAGAGCGTTGCCTACTAGGCCACGGGACACGTGCCTACTGTAAATAACGAATTATCACTTAAACCTTTCTCTGTGACCTAATTCATGTCTGTATAAATAACTTATTACGACTGTAACTAGATACATGTAAATAGCTCATTACCTCTAACTTGTTCATCTATGAAAACTTTGCGGCTCAGTTCCTGGACCCCGTTATGTAGCTCTGTAATTTTTGGCCACTGCCCACAGGATGGGTATGAGGGGCATAATAAAGATATTAAACTCTTTCAGGGCTACTCCACTGGAAGGTGTACCTCCAGGGCTACTCCACTGGGAGGTGTACCTCCAGGGCTACTACACTGGAAGGTGTACCTTCAGGGCTACTACACTGGAAGGTGTACCTTCAGGGCTACTCCACTGGAAGGTGTACCTTCAGGGCTGCTCCACTGGAAGGTGTACCTTCAGGGCTGCTCCACTGGAAGGTGTACCTTCAGGGCTGCTCCACTGGAAGGTGTACCTTCAGGGCTGCTCCACTGGAAGGTGTACCTTCAGGGCTACTACACTGGAAGGTGTACCTTCAGGGCTACTCCACTGGAAGGTGTACCTTCAGGGCTACTCCACTGGAAGGTGTACCTTCAGGGCTACTCCACTGGAAGGTGTACCTTCAGGGCTACTCCACTGGAAGGTGTACCTTCAGGGCTACTCCACTGGAAGGTGTACCTCCAGGGCTACTCCACTGGAAGGTGTACCTTCTGGGCTACTCCACTGGAAGGTGTACCTCCAGGGCTACTCCACTGGAAGGTGTACCTCCAGGGCTACTCCACTGGAAGGTGTACCTTCAGGGCTACTCCACTGGAAGGTGTACCTTCAGGGCTACTACACTGGAAGGTGTACCTTCAGGGCTACTACACTGGAAGGTGTACCTTCAGGGCTACTACACTGGAAGGTGTACCTTCAGGGCTACAACACTGGAAGGTGTACCTTCAGGGCTACAACACTGGAAGGTGTACCTTCAGGGCTACAACACTGGAAGGTGTACCTTCAGGGCTACTACACTGGAAGGTGTACCTTCAGGGCTACTACACTGGAAGGTGTACCTTCAGGGCTACTACACTGGAAGGTGTACCTTCAGGGCTACTACACTGGAAGGTGTACCTCAGGGCTACCTGACACTCGGTACAAGGTGTACCTCCAGGGCTACTACACTGGAAGGTGTACCTCCAGGGCTACTACACTGGAAGGTGTACCTCCAGGGCTACTACACTGGAAGGTGTACCTCCAGGGCTACTACACTGGAAGGTGTACCTCCAGGGCTACTACACTGGAAGGTGTACCTCCAGGGCTACTACACTGGAAGGTGTTTACCTTCGGGGCTACTACACTGGAAGGTGTACCTTCAGGGCTACTACACTGGAAGGTGTACCTTCAGGGCTACTCCACTGGAAGGTGTACCTTCAGGGCTACTACACTGGAAGGTGTACCTTCAGGGCTACTACACTGGAAGGTGTACCTCAGGGCTACTACACTGGAAGGTGTACCTTCAGGGCTACTACACTGGAAGGTGTACCTTCAGGGCTACTACACTGGAAGGTGTACCTTCAGGGCTACTACACTGGAAGGTGTACCTTCAGGGCTACTACACTGGAAGGTGTACCTTCAGGGCTACTACACTGGAAGGTGTACCTTCAGGGCTACTACACTGGAAGGTGTACCTTCAGGGCTACTACACTGGAAGGTGTACCTTCAGGGCTGCCTAATAAAAATATATCATGAGATACTCAGGCTCATCCTGAGAATACCTTCCTATGCAAATTAACGCCATAGGGCTATACGATGTAAGTTATCTGTGTTGGTACTCTGGGATGTTAGTACGGTGTGGAAACCATATTAAAAGAAAGCGCTAAACCCTCAGAGATCATGCATTGCTGCAAGAATGAAAGGCTTTCAAGTTTCATCGGAGGAATCAAATTCTCTATTTTAAACCATTGCTTATACACAAAACATAAAATATTCACAAAGCCCTTAGGATACACACCATTTCTAGCAAGGAAAAGAATCGTTCCAATTCCTTGGATCAAGAGCCCTTCACCTCCCTTGAAGGGAGTGGTTATTATTATAATTCTACCTACTGTTTGGTACCCTGGCTGCAGTGCCCGAGGTACAGATGTCTGCCCACTAACTAACACTTCAAGACTGAAACCCTAATGGAGAAAAAAGAAATAATGAGCAAGAAATCCAAGAATGTGTTAACATTATGTGAGGTGGAGGACAGTGCTACCATCTGCCGTCATGTCCAGGTTGTGGTCAGGTCAGGTCAGAGAGCATGTGTCAACATGGAGTACTCAAGGGGAAATGAACACCAATGTTTTCACTTAGGAGCTTAACTGAAAGCAATTCAGTCCAGTATAGCCTATCGATTACACTAGGTTCACTAAGCCTACACCCAACTTTTTTTCACCACCACACAAGAATTACTTTAATCCCTAAACTGGGATTAAAGTAAACTTTCAGCATATATACTCTGAGAGAAATACACCTATCAATGGTAGTCAAAAGATTAGAGGCACATAATGGGTCCAGGGACTGGGCCCCAATGTTTTGATAGCTAAATAAGTTGCAGTGGTAATATAAGTTTTCTCCCGATTTTTAACCCAGAGGGTTAGCCACTCAGGATAACCTAAGAAAGTCAGTGCGTCCTAGAAGACCGTCTCTTATTTCTATCGGGGTCCTTTGATCTTGTTCCATTGGATGCTACCCACACCAGTCGACTAACACCCAGGTACCTACTTACTGCTAGGTGAACAGGGACAGAAGGTATAAGGAAACATGCCCAAAGTTTCCACCCGTATCGTGCCGGGGATTGAATCACGACACTCAGTGTGTAAGGCGAAACGTTGCCTCCAACTCAAATTTTTATTTCTTTGTATAGTTTAAAATGTGTGACTGACATGTTATAAGGAGTCTATTTCCATGCATAGTTTACAATGTGTAATTACAATATTGATTTGCTAAGTGCAAAGAAAGCCCCAATGGAAATAAGTCACTCTGTCTGACTTTTTTGGGTTATCCTAGATTCTCTACACATATGCTGCTATGTATGATAATTTTATGTAACTGTATTGTGTATACCTGAATAAATTTACTTACTTACTTACTTACACTATCATGCCGAGGCACACACTCTTGGTCACAGCACCAGCATGGAGCCCACACCTCAGAAAGCAGGTTAAGAAACTGGAGACAGTGCAGAAGTATGTAACGATGTATAACAGAGTCTATGCATCGTTTTAAGAATAGGCATGATAGGGTCCACGAGGCTAGAAGAGTAAATCTGGCATGCCGCAAGTTGAGGGGCAGAGGGAGGAGCTGTGACTCGACCCCTACAACCACATATAGGTGAATAAACACACAAGCAATACAGACGCAGTTGACAACAGCGTTACTTGTTTAGTACATTTATATAGATCATCCCAGTGACTTTATAGATATGTTCCCTTGTTAGTTGTGACGTCACGAGACCCCTCAAATGAACCGTCAGTTGCAGGACTCCTCCTCAGTTCCTCGCTTGGCACAGTACATCCTCCGGCATTACTGGGTATCTCTCAAGACTAATTATACGCCTCCAAGACATCCAGTGTATTTTTATACTTCAGAATATCCTTGACGAAGATCCCTCGACATGATAGCAGCGGCGTAGATGTGACTGAAGATTACGCGGATACATGGATATTTTTTGAATTTGAATTTAAGCCAGACAGACGTTGTGTGGTGGGCGAGGGTGCCAAGAGACGCCAGCATTCTCAAGCCTTGTCTACAGAGCTTGGTTAGTTGCTTCGTACTTAGTGGCTTATTTGCTAACCTTCGAGGAGTCGATCCGGGTTTCTTGCAAATTAAGACAAGCCAGTCTGTAGAGGAGAACCCCTAAGTCAGCAAGCCAGCCAACCAACCTGCTTTATTACTGGTGTGTACAAACCTGCAAGCATTCAAGCCATCGCAGCCTAGTCAATGTCGAGGGCTTAAGCCAGCCTAACAACCCAGCTGAGAGAAGTATGCCAAGCAAGATCCTCTTTATAGTTACTGTCTCCATAGGCTGTACCTCTTTCTACCAGTGAAACGCTGAGCAGTAACAATCACCATCCCTGTGGTACATTTGTGGCTTATCAAGCCACCCTGGCTTAATCACGACTTGGTAGTGTGTGGTACCAGCTGCAGCCAAGCCACCCATACAAAGCCACTTACATAACGTGGCCGCTCGTAAGAACAAAAAGGAGGAACACTTTAGAAGGCCTGTTGGCCCATACTGGGCAGGTCCTACACAAACTCAACCCACTAACAGAACACTTGCCCAACCCATTTCCATGTGCACTCATATTGGGCTGCAGTGTCCTTATTTTGTTCTTATACTACACTACTCCACCTGACGCCGCCTCCAGACTTACAATCAAGACCTATTATAAAGATATTTGCATGTGTTGAGACATTTCCCAGAACTAGTGATTTTTTTGGTTCAGAGACTGGTGTCCTAGTATCAAATTTTTGTTTTTTACTTTATATTCCATGTGACTTTTGATCTGCAAATATTTCCTAGTGCTGTGTTAGTGTTCATTTTTATATTAATTTTTTTATACGTTACCGTTTACCTTCTCCAACCCGAATTCTTTTTATTTGTATACATTTACTATTATTTGCCTAATTTGTATTTTATTCATTTCTCTATCATTCTCTCCTCGTTTCTCATTTCTGCTCCTTTATAGTCTTGTGCAATCTACCTTATTTCATTATTGTGTACCAATATTTTTCTTGTGTGTTCTCTACTAATTCTATGTGTTGATTCCTTCACTATCTCCATTGTGCTAAATTTCCATTTTCATTCTGTGTAACATTATTTTTGTGATAAATGTTTTTATATGTGCAGTGTCTCATTGAATTTTTGCAGAGTGTACTACCATATCTTGTGTACCTAGCAAGACATTGAAGTATATATTCAGTAACTGTGTTTCCTGTAACTTTGTAAGTGTTGAATTACCAGTTCTGTATCTTGTATCATTTTTAATTATATTGACATTTCTTTGAACAAATTTACTTAGTGTAATTATTAAAGTAAACTATTATCATTGCTTTGTTTTTGAGTAATTTGTTTTGTCTACTTGAGATTAAGAGAAAGTTCAAACCAGTTTTTTCTTGATGTTTTTATAATCTTTGTGTGTATAATTTCTATTGATATATTGACTAATTCTGCAAATTATTTAAGTCTTTCCAAAGAGTGATATATTACAAATTGAGTGCCCTGTTTCTTATCTTATTATTTTAGTTTGTGTTTTATCATTGCATAATATTTTTGTTTGTGTTTATAATTGGAAAAGTTATTTTCTGGCATATTTGCATTTGCATACAGTTTATTGATTTTATTTCACCATTTTTGCATTGATTTACAGTTTTATCAGAAATTTCTTTACTGAGTTGAAATTTGAAATTTAAGTTAAAGTAATATTTCTCTTCCTGATTTTTCTACATATTTCCTTTATCTTTGCCTTATTCATTGGCAACCAGGATTTTGAAGCAAGGTTTACTGCAATCCATGCTAGAGCTAATACTTTTGTAGAAGGTACTCCATCAGAGGAAACTATTATTAGGATTGCAAAAGAAAGTCTTGCTGCTGTAAACATTGTTAACCTTACCATGTGTGACTCTGAAACTTTTCTTGTGCCAATGACAGACTCTGATCCGTATATCATCCTCAAGGAAATAGTGAATGCAACACTTACGCCAAATGACTCATTATGTAAGTTTATGGTTCGATTATCGAATCTTTTGACATCATTCATTAAAGCAGTACAGTCTTCAAAATTTATACCTGAAGAGGGGAAACATGCTGCCCCAAGTTTTGGTAAACTGGCAACTTTTGGTGCTATCAGGGAATTAATGCCACTCACTGCCTTTCATGCTTATGATTCTAACCCTCCAACTGTGAATATGGAACCGCTAGCAGTCCTTATTCACATACGTGACATGTGTGCTCCCGGTACTTTCCCGTACATCAAACCTACTTTAACTACGATGAATCCTTCAGCATCCCCCGTTTTTTATGTAACAACTCAAGGTCCTGATAAAAGTCAAGCATGTCAGTCGTCCAAGGCCAGTGTAATGAGTAGTTGCTCTGCTCGTAGTGCATTCAGTAACCATAGTAGAAGGACTTGTTATAACTGTGGTTACCGAGGTCACATTGCAGCAAATTGTACGAGTGGCCAAAGTAAAAAGCGTCGTATTGAAAATAACTCTCAAGCCAACTTACCATACTGCACTTTTCATAGAATACATGGACATGATACATCTGAGTGTAATGCTCTCTACAATAGTAGGTACTTTAGATCCTCCTGTGACCATTCCTATCATAGAACTAGGAGAGGTAATAGAGGTCGTAGTCCTCAGAATAACCAGAGCCAGTCTGTCTTCAAATTGGGGGGAATCTGAGCACCCCAGTCAAACCATTCAATGGTAACAGTAGGTGATAATGAATATGCCATTCCTGTTCGTAATTCCTTCGATGCCTTATGCAGTCTCAAGACAGTCTCGATGTTGCTTCACATGTTTTTGACATTTTTAGGGATGCAGTGGGTAAAACCTTTGACGATTCTCCTTGGTGCAGGCGTTGTTCTAAATGCACCAGTTCATGTGTTCATGGACTCGGGTGTGCAAGTCAATAGTCAGGTCCAGTTTGTTTAAGAATAAGCAGTTACGCCGTGCCCCTGTAGAACCAACTCGTGTCTCCACCCTTAGTGATGTGGCTAGTTCTAGTCTGCGTGTCCAAGGTCAGACTTCCCTCACCTTTTCTATCCAAGGTAGAGACTTCACTGCTTCCTTCCTTGTTGTGGACCAGATTAATTTCCCCTGGTGATCTACTGGGATTTGCTTCCATGAATGTCTTGTTGTCTCATTAAATCGTAATGACATGATTGCAAACAATCCATACCAAGGGCGGGGATAGAACCCACTGTCAGAGTCTCAGAACTCCAGACCGTCGCGTTAGCCACTGGACCAGCTAGCCACAATAAGAATCTTATTGTGGCTAGCTGGTCCAGTGGCTAACGCGACGGTCTGGAGTTTTGAGACTCCGATTGCGGGTTCTATCTCCGCCTGTGGTATGGTTTGTCTTGTTGTCCCTCGTGTTCCAGATGGTGATGACATCCTAGTTAAAAGTGATCCTTGCAAGGTAAAGGGTTTGTATGTCGAGCCATCATTACATGTTGTAAAAATAAGATCTTGCTAATAATTCTGGTCATAGTGTTCACTATTTCAACCAGAGAGAGTCCATCTACTCCATCGAGCCAGTCCACTCCTTCAGTAGAGAAAGTACAATACTCTGTGTTGAGAGCAACTATCAATCCCAATAGTGCAACCTGGGATGAAGTTATACCTGATGTTCAGTGTGCCATAAATTCTGCTTACAATGCCTCTATAGGTGATACTCCACATTATGCATGTATGGTGTAGATAAGCACTTAACGTATGAGTTGTTATATTCCACTCCGAAACCAAATTACAATCCTGGTGATTTCATAGGAACTTGTACCATCTTAACTCAAAGTGTCTTCAGAAGAATCCGAGAAACACTTCATAAATCAATAGCAGAGTTTACGTCCCTAATACTCGAGCAAAGCCAACCAAAATTAAAGTAGGTTCGAGAGTTAAGCTGACTAATTTCAATAAAACATCCACTATGCCAAAGCTCAATCAAAATTTGTCGGTCCATATCAAGTGCTTGAGCATGTCAGTGGCAATAAGTATAAAGTTAGAGAAATCAGTACTGGTCAGTATAAAGAATCATATGAAGTTAGTATACGATGATGAGGTTCCTGACACCCAGACGAATGCGACAGACACAGACACTCCTCCTGACTTAGTACCCTCTACCTCAAACAACCAGACAGACGAACAGCCTGATTGTCATTATTCCCCATGTATACAACAAGTAAGGAGGAATCCCCAAGTTTCATTTGTAAATACCAATTTAGATCCTCAACCATGGCATGTGTTAGCTGTTGCAACAGAATTTGACCCCCTTAGAGGAGATGACCACTGCATATGTAAATCTTACCCTAGCAAAGTTGGGGTTAAATGTAAATAACCAGTATATTATTATAATCAAGGGGGAAGCGCTAAACCCGGAGGATTATACAGCGCCTGGGGGGGGGGAGATGTGGAAGGCATTCAGGCTTAATTCGGGGAACTGGAGCACAGATCCAATTCCCTAAATCAAGAGCCCCTCACCAACATCAAGGAACCTTCCTCGAGGGGTATAATAACCAGTATAGATGAATAATATAGTATAAAATGTGTTTCAGCTATGTGTCTACTATGTTAATGATATTCAAAATTTTTTTTTCTTCAAGTGTTCACGTTTTCTCTGAATTCTGAGATTTAACAGTAAAAGACTTGTGTGCACCAGGTTAAACACTTTCTTTTTTGTAAATATATTTCCTCAGAATCCATAGATCACTTGAATACAGATTGATCGATCTTATCTCTTTCTTGATCTCCTTCCAACTTTATCTATGTCCATCTCATTTTTTTTTGTTAAACTGTATAATCATTGATTCTATCATTTACCATTATTTGTGATGTACCTTAAGTTGTAATGCATTACAGTCAATTATTATTATGTATAGTTGCTTATGTTCAGTTGTTGTATACATTGATATTGTATAGAATCAGCCCAGTGCTGTAATGCCTACAGTCTGTCCAGTGTATAAGTTAGCTGTATGTTGGGGACACTATGTTAGCTTCGCTGAGCTGTCACGTGTTACTTATGTAGTACACTTGCAGATAAATCATTCCAGCCACTTTATAGATATGCTCTATTGCTAGCTGTGACATCATGAGACCTCTCACATGTGAGCCATCAGCTAGAAGCCTCCCTCTCAGTTCCACACTAGGCATAGCAGACTCGACAGGCAGGCCTGGGCTCCTTTCAGGACTTTCTTTAATTATATGCCTCCAAGACATCCAATATGTGTATTTCTTACTCCAAAATATCCTCAACGAATCCCCCAAGACGCTACATACAATAGTCACAAGTCCACTAGTGGGCCACTAAGAGTTTAGTGTTTGAATTGCCACTTAGACCCACCCACTTACAGAATTGCCATCTTTAATTTTATATATATATATATGAATAACCATTAAAAATCTAATGAACTCTTGTCAGTGTTCAATAATAACCCACATGGAGCCAAACTCTGATGAATTTGTCAATATATTTCAACCCCCTACTGGGGTCCTCTTCAGCAGATGCATATACAGTGGAACCTCGGTTTTCGAATACCCTAGTTGGAGACAATTGGAGAAAATTCTCTATACTACAGTGAAACCTCGATTTTCATAATTAATCCATTCCAGAGAATGACGAATGGTTTTTTGGACCTGATGAACTGTTGGAGTGAGAGCAGGGTAATATTTTGTGAAGGGATTCAGGGAAACCAGTTAGCTGGACTTGAGTCCTGGAACTGGGTTTGTGATATTGGCAGTTTGGAGGGACCTCTGAACTGTCGTATTTGAGTGCCTCTGCAAAGACTGATTATGTATGAGTGAGGTGAAAGTGTTGAATGATGATGAAAGTATTTTCTTTTTGGGGATTTTTCTTTTTTAGGTCACCCTGCCTCGGTGGGAGATGACCGACGTGTTAAAAAAAAAATGAAGTTGAGCTGTTGAAATTCACTTGTTTGTTAATAAAACACACAATGTACTTTAAAAAATTATTCATGAAAGAAACTATAATGACAGAATTACAAGGTACAGTAATCATACTCTAATGAATTTGTAGTCAAAATGTTGATTGCATATCTACAGTATGTCCACATGTAGCCTTTCCATTAATATGCTAATTACACAATTTTGACAAATTATCCAGTTTTTATTTCACATAGTTCTATGGTGCTCCAAAAGTGGTGAAGTAGTATATTGATGTAGTTATGATTTCAGCCATAATTACATGTGCATCTGTAACTGGAGTGACAAAAGAAATTTTCAGTAGAAGCAGTTGTCAAACTAATGTACTATATAATATTAACCAAATATTAAAAAAGTTTTCTCCTTGTGTCTCCAAGTTGTTCTCACAAGTTAAGTAGTGTTTAATGCTTTTATTAACAAATACCTTTGTTACTACAGAAGTTATACAGAGCTAAAAATATTAAGTGGTTTATTGGTAAAAATTGCATTTTATTTTTATAAAAGAAATATGACAAAATTGCAATGGAGCTCCACAGAAAGATATGAATGAATGAAGTCTGTAGAGGTTCTGAACTGTTACTGCTGTACTATACAGCAAAAGCCAGTGCATTCCTAGAGGCCATATAATCTTGGATGTCAGTCAGGAGGCCTGGTCTCGGACCGGGCCGCGGGGGCGTTGACCCCCGGAACTCTCTCCAGGTAATCCAGGTAAGTAGAACATAAGTGATCAGTGCCTACCAATATAAAACAAAATAGACAAAAAAAAAAAAAAGTTAGGCTGATACAAGTGAAAAAGTGATACAGAACTTTAACTAAGCAATCCTGGTGAACACATCATGATCATATTTGAGAAAAAAAAAAAACTGCATACATTTATTTTGAAATGAACCTAGGTAGTGTGATAGTAGATGCATTAGTTGCTACTACGAGCTCTTTTTTAATAATATCTGTATAGGAGGTAACCCAACTAAATTTTTTAAATATGATAAAGGCAAGTAAACTTGAATATAGTGACCAGAAAGTAGGTTTCTTATGGTATATTGCTACACTTTGACACCAATGTGGGGATGTTATAACGTAATGGGTCGTTGAATTGTGATGTCCATACCCTTATGGAAAGACAGCTGAAAAGTGATGGTAAATCAGTTTTCTTCTTTGGACCACAATACTGTGGTGAGAAATGGCCAGAAATCAAGAAAAGCCAATTGAATTAGCTTTAAACAAACAACTGTTCAGTGTCAATGATATTTCACCAAACTAACATTCACACACTCAACACGTTTCATGTTGATCTTGGTTATAAAATACAGTTTTATCTATACAGTTCTCGAATGAAACAGTGAATTTGTTTATTTTGGAGGTGGGTACTGTACTCTTCACACCCAGGGTGTCCAGCCTTCATAGAGTGTGGCCAGGTTGTCCAGATTTGTTGCTTCTCTTATTGTGTAATCAACCTTGAATAAAACAATCATATTAATACATTATGTGGAAACTTCGATGATCTGTAAAAGCAGAAAAATAACTACCAGTATCTACAATATTTTGAATGTAAAATTAAACTAAAATAAAGCAGAGGGACATACAGAAGGAAAAAGGGGTGCTTTGGTGCTATATAATAACAGGGAAGCTGTGATTTCGTGTATAGGGCAAGGAGGAATAACATCTTGTAGGAGTGAGGAAGAGCCAGTTGTGAGTGTGGGGGAAGTTCGTGAGGCAGTAGGTAAAATGAAAGGGGGTAAGGCAGCCGGGATTGATGGGATAAAGATAGAAATGTTAAAAGCAGGTGGGGATATAGTTTTGGAGTGGTTGGTGCAATTATTTAATAAATGTATGGAAGAGGGTAAGGTAACCTAGGGATTGGCAGAGAGCATGCATAGTTCCTTTGTATAAAGGCAAAGGGGATAAAAGAGAGTGCAAAAATTATAGGGGGATAAGTCTGTTGAGTGTACCTGGTAAAGTGTATGGTAGAGTTATAATTGAAAGAATTAAGAGTAAGACGGAGAATAGGATAGCAGATGAACAAGGAGGCTTTAGGAAAGGTAGGGGTGTGTGGACCAGGTGTTTACAGTGAAACATATAAGTGAACAGTATTTAGATAAGGCTAAAGAGGTCTTTGTGGCATTTATGGATTTGGAAAAGGCGTATGACAGGGTGGATAGGGGGGCAATGTGGCAGATGTTGCAAGTGTATGGTGTAGGAGGTAGGTTACTGAAAGCAGTGAAGAGTTTTTACGAGGATAGTGAGGCTCAAGTTAGAGTATGTAGGAAAGAGGGAAATTTTTTTCCCAGTAAAAGTAGGCCTTAGACAAGGATGTGTGATGTCACCGTGGTTGTTTAATATATTTATAGATGGGGTTGTAAGAGAAGTAAATGCGAGGGTCTTGGCAAGAGGCGTGGAGTTAAAAGATAAAGAATCACACACAAAGTGGGAGTTTTCACAGCTGCTCTTTGCCGATGACACTGTGCTCTTGGGAGATTCTGAAGAGAAGTTGCAGAGATTGGTGGATGAATTTGGTAGGGTGTGCAAAAGAAGAAAATTAAAGGGTGAATACAGGAAAGAGTAAGGTTATGAGGATAACAAAAAGATTAGGTGATGAAAGATTGAATATCAGATTGGAGGAGAGAGTATGGAGGAGGTGAACGTATTCAGATATTTGGGAGTGGACGTGTCAGCGGATGGGTCTATGAAAGATGAGGTGAATCATAGAATTGATGAGGGAAAAAGAGTGAGTGGTGCACTTAGGAGTCTGTGGAGACAAAGAACTTTGTCCTTGGAGGCAAAGAGGGAATGTATGAGAGTATAGTTTTACCAACGCTCTTATATGGGTGTGAAGCGTGGGTGATGAATGTTGCAGCGAGGAGAAGGCTGGAGGCAGTGGAGATGTCATGTCTGAGGGCAATGTGTGGTGTGAAAAATAATGCAGAGAATTCGTAGTTTGGAAGTTAGGAGGAGTGCGGGATTACCAAAACTGTTGTCCAGAGGGCTGAGGAAGGGTTGTTGAGGTGGTTCGGACATGAAAGAGAAATGGAGCGAAACAGAATGACTTCAAGAGTGTATCAGTCTGTAGTGGAAGGAAGGCGGGTAGGGTCGGCCTAGAAGGGTTGGAGGGAGGGGGTAAAGGAGGGTTTTGTGTGCGAGGGGCTTGGACTTCCAGCAGGCATGCGTGAGCGTGTTTGATAGGAGTGAATGGAGACAAATGGTTTTTAATACTTGACGTGCTGTTGGAGTGTGAGCAAAGTCAACATTATGAAGGGATTCAGGGAAACCGCAGCCGGACTTGAGTCCTGGAGATGGGAAGTACAGTGCCTGCACTCTGAAGGAGGGGTGTTAATGTTGCAGTTTAAAAACTGTAGTGTAAAGCACCCTTCTGGCAAGACAGTGATGGAGTGAATGATGGTGAAAGTTTTTCTTTTTCGGGCCACCCTGCCTTGGTGGGAATCGGCCGGTGTGATAATAAAAAAAAAAAAATAATTATTAGTTTCTTCATGGGAAAGTGGCACAAAATTCTTCCTCCATAAGCCATGTGTATTGTAAGAGGCAACTAAAATGTCAGGATCAAGAGGCTAGTAACCCCTTCTGCTGTATACATTACTAAATTTAAAAAGAAAAACTTTCATGGTATACGGCTGGTTCCTTTAAGAAAAAATATTATTAGTTATTTGAATATTTCATTGTTTCACTTTGTAATTAACCTCCTTTTAAAGACTATTAATGGGATGCAGTTATTCACAATTTTTTGTTTAACATGCTGGCCATCTCCCACAAGGCAGGATGACCCAAGAAGGAAACACTTTCATCATCATCTACACTATCAGTCTTGCTAGAAGCAAATACGTACTGTACTATATACATGTATATTTACCTTACATATGGTATATAAACTCTCCTGTACAGTGTATATACATTGCTTTACTACACCCATGTTAAATACCTTAAATAAACTTTTCTGATAGTACTAGAAATCTAAGAATTAGTAATAAAATAATTACAAAGAAATGTATTCAGATTTATAGTAAATGTTTGTGTAGCTTTCATCAACTCTTTCCAACAAAGTACATTTGAATGCTACATGTCTTAGTGGATTATGTTTATAATAATAATAACAATCATTTTTTTCAACAAACTGGCCATATCCCACTGAGACAGGGTGATCAAAAAAGAAAAATGAAAGTTTCTCTCTTTAAATTTAGTAATGTATACAGAAGGGGTTACTAGCCCCTTGCTCCCGGCGTGTTAGTCACCTCTTACGACATGCATGGCTTATGGAGGAATAATTCTGTTCTACTTCCCCATGGAGAATAACAATATTATTATAGTTATTATTATTATTTTCAACACGTCAGTCGTCTCCCACTGAGGCAGGGTGACCTGAAAAGAAAAGATCCCCCCTCAAAAAAAAATACTTTAATCATCATTCAACACTGTCACCTCACTCATACATAATCACTGTCTTTGCAGAGGCGCTCAGATACGACAATTTAGACGCCCCTCTAAACTGCCAATATCCTAAACCCCTCCTTTAATCCTTTGACTGTCGGTGTTGTGTATATATACATCTTACGAGCCAATGTTTTTCACGTATTAATATGCTAAAATTCTAGCGGCTTCAAATCAAGTGGGAGAAAGCTGGTAGGCCCACATGCGAGAGAATGGGTCTGTGTGGTCAGTGTGCGCAGCATAAAAAAAAAATCCTGCAGCATGCAGTGCATAATGAGAAAAATAAAATCCGACCGTGTTTTTGGATTAAAATGCCGAGTTTGTGGTGTATTTTTATATAATATTTATGGCCATATTCTCGTTTTCTTGGCTTCATTTGATAGAATGGAAGACATTACAGAAATAGAGATGATTTTGATTGGTTTCATGATGAAGAGGACCTTGAAATTGAGCTCAATTTAGCAGAAATGTTTGATTTTTGCCAATGTTCAAGAGTAAACAAATGATGTCACCGTCCAATAAGTGTCCAACTAGCCATTCTAATACACAAGTCATGAATGGGTTGACATTATTTATACAATTATTACAATACTGCAGTAGTCTGCATAACAGTAAATCTTCTATTTTTTGTGTGAATAAAAATTCAAAATAGAAAGCAAGAGTAATATAAGAGGGGCCTGGAGACATGACTAATGAACAGAGAAAATGTTATTGTAGTGCCAGGAATGTTTGCCTTGTTTATTCTGGACCCTATTTTGAAATTGGCATCTTTTTTAATTTGCATGAAATTGGCCAAATTGCCAATTTCTGACCACTTTATTAGGCAGTTGAAATTGGTAAATGGACAGTTTTTTGTCCTCAATCGATAGAACAAATGGAGTTCTAAAGAAATAGCTATGAGTTTGGTCTACTGGAGCAATGGAATTGTTCAAAAATAGGGCTCAAAGTGGGCGAAATTGCCGATGCACATATATTGCCGAGATCTTTAACTTCACAAGAGCGTAATTCCATAAGTTTTCTATCAAATTTTGTACTTTTGGTGTTATTACCATTGGGAAAAGATTCTATCATTTCATAAGAATTTTGTTTTTTTAATATTTTGCAGCACAGAGACACTTCAGGATTTGGGGTCTCAACAGTCAAAGGGTTAAAGTGCAGGCATCATACTTCCCATTTAGAACATAAGAACATAAGAATGTAGGAACACTGCAGAAGGCCTACTGGCCCATACGAGGCAGGTCCTTATCAAAACGACATCTACCTAAAGCTACTCAAGAAACAACTCTCGCACCCCCCAACACCAATCAAACCCAGCCCCTCCCACTCATATATTTGTCCAGTCTCTTCTTAAAGCTACCCAAGGTCCTAGCCTCTATCACCCCACTGGGAAGACTGTTCCACGCATCTACAACTCTGTTAGAAAACCAGTACTTACCTATGTCCTTTCTAAATCTAAATTTATCCAACTTAAATCCATTATTCCTGGTTCTTACCTGGTTCGACACCCTCAGTACTTTATTAATGTCTCCCTTGTTTATGCCCGTCATCCACTTATACACTTCAATGATATCTCCCCTCATTTCTACGCCTCTCCAGAGAGTGGAGATTTAAGGCTTTAAGTCTATCTTCATACGGGAGGTTCCTTACACAGTAAATCATTTTAGTCATTCTTCTCTGTATGTTCTCTAATGAGTCTATGTCCATCCTGTAGTAGGGGACCAAAACTGAGCAGCATAATCTAAATGAGGCCTCACTAGTGATGTATAGAGCTGTAAAATAACTTTTGGACTTCTGTTACTTATACTTCTTGAGATAAATCCAAGTAATCTGTTGCCTTGTTGCGCACACTGAGGCACTGCTGTCTTGGCTTTAGATTTCTGCTTACCATGACTCCCAAGTCTTTTATCACATTCTGTATGACCAAGCTCTACTTCACCTAGATTATAGCTTCGAGGGTTATTTTCATTACCAAGGGCAAGTACCTTACACTTATCCACATTAAACTTCATCTGCCATTTCTCAGACCAAGACATTAATTTGTTCAAATCGTCCTGGAGTTCATTGATATCCTCCTCAGAGTGAATTATACGGCCTATCTTTGTATCATCAGCAAACTTACTCATGTCACTAGTAATCCCTTCATCAAGGTCATTAATGTAAATTATGAACAAGAGAGGGCCTAAAACTGATCCTTGTGGAACGCCACTAGTGACTAATCCCCATTCAGATTTCACTCCATTAATGGTAACTCTCTGCTTTCTATTGGTAAGCCATGCCTCAATCCATGCTAGAACTTTACCTCCTATACCATGAGCTGCCACTTTTCTTAAGAGTCTCTTGTGAGGTACTCTGTCGAAGGCTTTACTAAAATCCAAATAAACAATATCATATTCCTTATCACTGTCAACTGCCTCAAATGTTCTATTGAAGAACGTCAGTAAGTTTGTCAGGCAGGAACGACCTCTCGTGAATCCATGCTGAGATTCATTTATCAAGTTATGCTCTTCAAGGTGACTTCTGATAATGTCAGCTATAATTGATTCTAATAACTTGCCCACTATAGATGTCAGGCTTATTGGAAGGTAATTTGAAGGAGTGGACTTATCCCCTGATTTGAATATAGGAACCACATTAGCCATCTTCCACATCTCTGGCACAACACTGGTAAGGATGGACGCATTGAATACACTCGTTAATGGCTGACTAAGCTCCATCTTGCATTCCTTAAGTACCCTTGAAAACAACTCATCGGGTCCCGGGGACTTATTTTGTTTCAGTTTGTCTATCTGTTTAATAACCATGTCCCTCGTGACAGTAATATTAGTTAACTTAAATTCATCAGGAACTAAATAATTGTTAATTACTGGAATCTCATTTACATCTTCCTGTGTAAAAACTGACAAAAAATAGTCATTAAATAAGGAACACATTTCCAGTTCATTATCCGTCAGCTGTCCATTCCCAGATTTCAGAGGTCCTACTTTTTCCTTCACCTTCGTCCTATACACTTGAAAGAACCCCTTTGGATTAGTCTTTGATTCATTAGCGACTCTAATTTCATAGTCACGTTTAGCCTTTCTAATCGCCTTTTTTACTTCTCTTTTAAGCTGAACATATTGGTCAGTAAGGTTAACCTCTCCTCTTCTGATGCGCCTATAAATTCCCCTTTTCTCCCCTAATAGATGCTTTAGCCTCCTGTTAACCCATTTGGGATCGTTATTATTAGACCTAATTTCTCTCTGGGGAATGTATATACTCTGGGCACTGTGTACATTATTAAGAAAACAATCATAAAAGCAGATCCCTTCATATTCATAAGTATGATTATCGTCAATAAAATCATTAGCTAGATAACCCCAATCAAGATTAGACAGATGTTCCCTAAGTCCATTATAATCGGCAGAACGAAAATCGGGGATTTTTACTGTATTATCATTATTCTTGCATTCCCAATTAATGCTAAAGGTGATGGATTTGTGATCACTTGCGCCAAGCTCTTCAGTGATCTCCAGATTATTCACTAGTGTTTCCTTATTTGACAAGACTAGGTCTAGCAAATTATTGCCCCTGGTAGGTTCAGTTACACTCTGTTTCAGAAAACAGTCCTGAACTGTTTCCATGAAGTCACTGGACTCTAGATTACCTGTCAAAGAATTCCAGTCAATTTGGCTAAAGTTAAAATCCCCTACTATGACTACGTTACTGTGTCCAGAAGCCCTAACAATTTCGTCCCAAAGAAGTCTCCCTCTATCGTGATCCAAGCCTGGAGGTCGGTATATTACACCTAGAATTAGTTTTTCTTGACCCTCCACGAACTCTACCCAAACAGACTCTGTTACTGCTCCATCTATTTTTATACCTTTTTTTATGCAACAATTAATATTTTCTCGAACATACAATGCAGCTCCTCCCCCCTTCCCATTACATCTATCCACATTGAATAACTTAAATCCCTGAATATTACACTCAGCAGTCATATCCCGACTCTTTAAATCATACCACGTTTCAGTTAATGCAATGATATCAAAGTTCCCAGCACATGCTACCAAACGTAGTTCATTAATTTTATTTCTTGCACTTCTACTGTTAGCTAACCGGTTTTCCTGAATCCTTTCACAAAATATTACCCTGCTCACAACAGCTCGTCAGGTCCTAAAAACCATTCGTCTCCATTCACTCCTATCTAACAAGATCATGCACGCTTGCTGGAAGTCCAAGCCCCTCATCCACAAAACCTCCAGCCTTTTTGGGACAACCCCTACCCCACCTTCCTTCCCCAACAGATTTATACGCTCTCCAAGTCATTCTACTTCGTTCCATTCTGTCTAAATGACAAAACCACTTCAACTGCCCCTCTTCAGCCCTCTGGCTAATACTTTTAGTAACTTCCCAATTCCTAATTTCCACACTATGAATTCTCTGTATAACATTTACACCACACATTGCCCTTAGACACGGCATCTCCATTGCCTCCAGCTGCCTCCTGACTGCAGCATTTACAACCCATGCTTCACACCCATATAAGTGTGTTGGTACCACTATACTCTCGTACATACCCTTCTTTGCCTCCATGGATAATGTTCTTTGTCTCTACAGATACCTCAATGCACCACTCACCTTTTTTCCTCCAATTCTATGGTTTACCTCATCCTTCGTAAACCCATCTGCTGACAAGTCAGTTCCCAAATATCTAAAAACATTCTCTTCCATACTCAGTAACTACAGTAAGTAAATACATGAATTAAACAACTTACTTGCTCTGAAACTGAAGCTCTTCTTGTTGGATCCAAATCTCTGCCTTCCAGTTTCACTTTAACTCGACGCCAAACATTGAGAGCATATGCATTGTGTTCTTGGACAGCTGAGAAAAAATTGATAGAAATACTTTATAAGAAAATATAGATGAAAGTAATAAATATTTTTCAATTCTTGTCTACTCTTAAGTTTATCTTAAAAGTTGTTACTTGCATAAATATCTTAGGACACCACTTGCAAAGCCTGGTGATATCCTTGCATCTGCATAGTTTAGGAGGAAATCTGTATTCCTCTCCTCCAGTATTAGAGAGCTGATCTAAATGGAATTTAGTACTAAACAGTACCTTGGATTTAGCTATAACTCCAGGGCACTATTGTTTCAGCATCGACAAAACTGTCTGAAAAAATTCAGACATATGGACACAGAAGAGTAATGTTGCATATCTTAGTTTTATCAATGTTTAAGGGCAAACTGTAAATAAGCAGTAAGTGAAGAAACAAAATGTATTAATGTTGGTAGAATTACTGACAAAATGCATCTACACAGTTTACCTTAAACTGAATTTTTTTTTTTTTTTTTTTTATCTAAAGAGATGCAAAACTTTAAGGAAATCTAAAGCTTCTACTTTAATGGTAGAGTATAATTTACAACAGAGCTAAAATTTTTTGGAAAAAGTAAAGGTGTTATAAAAGTTGAACCTGAGAAATTATTATACAGTGGTGCCTCAGGATACAAATTTATTTCGTTCCAGAAGGCTGTTCGAGTGCCGATACCAAACAAATTTGTTCTCATAAGGAATAATGTAAATTAGATTAATCCATTTCAGACCCCCAAAAATACGCTCACAAAAGCACTTACATATTTGTTCGAGTTTTGGGTTGTTCGTGTCCCAAGGTACCACTGTATTCATAGGGTAACACTAAGCCTGCATGGATAATACAATACCTGGGGAATGTGAGGTAATCAGATCTGATCCAAGGAAGGCAAGGGTATGTCCAATTCCTTGACTCAAGGGCCATTCATCAACATTAATGTGCTTTTTCATTGAAGGACAAACCTGAGGAAGTAAATTAAAACTTAAGGACTGACCTTTCCCTGTTAAGGGATGTCTCTTGACTTTAGTTTTGGAGTCAGGAGTGGAAGTTTTGACAGGGGACATTATGATGCTTGACTGACGTAGCAAGGGAGGTCTGCGAGACTCTCCACTACTCTCTCGCTGACCATCTGTTTCCTCTTGAGCTTCTTCAACACACTGGTTACCAAATTCGACGAGAAGATCATAAATAGTTCCTGTAAAAATTATGTGTTTGCAGGACTTAATCATGGTCAAGTCATTGGAGTTATTATTCATTTACATTATTACATTTAATAAGAAACTCAGTAATATTAATAGGTAATTTCTAATACACTGGCTGTCTCCCACTCAGAAAGGGTGAAAAAAAACACTACACATCACTCATTCAACAGCTGTCTTGACAGAAGTGTGTAGATAACACAATTCAAATGACCTGAACTGCAACAACTTCAGAGTACAGGCACTGTACTTTCCACCACCAGAATTCACATTTGGCTAGACAGTTTTCCAGACTTTCTTCATAAATGCTACCATCTAACAATCCAACAGCACATCAAGCCATAAAAACCATTTGTCTCAGTTCGCCTTGATGTAACATGCTCACACGATCCTGCTACTTGCTCAAGCCCCTAATGCTCACGACCTTCTTTACCCCCCTCCCTTCAAATATTCCTGGGACAACCCCTACCCCTCCTACCTTCCATCCCAGATTTATACACCCTCTTGGTCATCCTGTTCTGCTCCATTCTGTCTAAACACCCAAACCACTTCTGAATTACACCTCTGGTAACTATACATCGTCTTCTAATTTCTATGCTCCGAATTCTCTGCATAATATTCATCCCACACACTGCTCTCAAACATGACATCTCTAATGCCTCCAGCCTCCTTGCTGCAATACCCATATAAAGTGTTGATACCCCTATACTCTGTTATCATTTTCACTTCCATAGATAAATGTTCCTTTCCACAGAAAGAAATGTTTATCTATGACTCGCCTCACCTTTCACAGATCCATCTGCTTTTGACTTTGCCACCAATGAACACAAAAAATAGTATTACTACAGAAAATGAAATTTGAGGAAAGTGAAACAGAAGTCTTTGCTATATGCAGTTTTGAAAAGAATAAAAAGACACAAGTTTCATTTTCCTATTTGCAGGTTATCTGTGTACAGTTTTGAAAGTAAGGCAAATTATTGAAAGCCCTAATGAGAATCACAAATGAAGCTATCAAAGTTGTTTGGTATTGTAAAGTTGGTGAGACAACTTATCATGGCTTTATATTTTTTAAAATAAACTACAATGCTAGTGTTGTTCAGTACCAAGTGTGTATTAGTAAAATGAGTACTGAGATGGCTCAATTAAGTAAATGGAATTAAAACTAATAAAAAATTGTCCATTTTGTAACACATTACTGCTTTCTATCATAACAGGATGGATCAAAGAAGAAAAACACAGTCACTTTCAATTATTCTCTAGCTGTCCTTCCAGCAGTGCACAAACATAACTATGCATATAAGCCACCAACCCACAACATTCCCACCCAGCCGTCTGAGAACTGTTGTATCTGTGCACCTCTGGCAAGAAAGTGATAGTGTGAATAATGGTGAAAGTGTTTCTTTTTCGGGTCACCCTGCCTTGGTGGGAGACGGCCAGCACGTTAAAGAAAAATTAGTAAACAAATGTAATTATTAGTTACTATTATTTTATATATTGAAGACCTAAACCTATAAGGGTCATACAGTGCCTGGGGAATGGGAGGCAATGAGGTGTGATCTGAAGAAGGAGAAGGCAGTTTCCATTCCCTGGATCAAGAGCCCTTCACGAGTATCATGGTTGTACTGTCCTTGAAGACTAGACAAGTACAAAGTATGTCAGTATGGAACAGAGTGATTATTGTAAGAAACATCCAAAATATGGACAGGGCCGTGGGGGGCACTGACCCCCGGAACAATCTCCAGGTATACAAATAAACATTTTCATGTACCTCATCACAATTCCTGTAATTCCTACTGTTCAATGTTATACAGTACAAGTAATATCTGTGCAATATATTTTAACCAACCTGTCTGAGCAGTAACATCTCTTAGCTTTTGAAGGTACACTGAAGCTTTGTCCGGCGTTAGTGGATCATGAAGCATTTGTCGAATTAATCCTGAAATAGCTTCAGAATAGCTGCGGTATAAAGCAAGATAGTCCTCTACACCAGCTAACCCGCCCTCTCCTTCAAACTGAAAAAAATTGAAGTTCACTCACAAAAACTAGTTATTAATGATAAAAATGTCACTTCACACTTCCATCAGATGGTCCTTAATGTCAATGCTATTGCAAATATTAATACACCATACCAACTGAGGCTATTATCAGTAAATGAATAAATTTTTGTTTGTATCCAGGTTACAGAAGGAAGTTCTGCACAGATATGTTAGACATGTATCATGGGCCTGTGTTAAGAGTTTTTTAATGAGGGTGCATATACAACAGTAAGTATTTTCTCATTTCACATAAACAGCTGTATATCTGTAACCAATCACAGAATGGGTGAGGACTGAGCTCACTTGCAGTGGGTTCAATCCCCACCTGTTACGTGGTTTGTTTGCAATAGTGTTATTACGATTTCACAAATCTGTAACAAATATCAACATTTATAGAGAATTCTGGGATCACTTAAAGATCTATCCCCACCCCAAGAAAAATGGCAAAATATATTGCAAATTATTGATATTCTGAATTTTATATATTACAGTGGAACCTCAAAAATCGAACTTAATCCGTTCCAGGAGCTAGTTCTAAATTTTAAAATTATGAAATTCGAAGCAATATTTCCCATAAGAAATAATGGAAATACAATTAATCCGTTCCAGAAACCCAAAAATATTCACACAAAAAATACATTTTATAGAGATTAATTACAGTTTTACATACAACAAATACTATAGTTTTTAATTATGTATAATAATACATATAAAATAACATTTTTACTTACCTTTATTGAAGATTGGTGATGGCATCTGGAAAATAAGGAGGAGGAGAGAGGGAGTTGGGGTTAGTGTTTGGAAGGAGAATCCCCCTCCATGAGGACTTCAGGTAAAGCCCTCTCTGGGGTTACTTCCCTTCTCTGTCTTTTAATGCCATTAGGACCAGCTTGAGAGTCACTGGACCCCTGTCTCACAAAATAACTGTCCACAGTCCTCTGTTTCTGGTGCCTCTTTAACATTTCCCTAAAATGGGACATGGTTTTGTCACTGAACTTGTTGCAAAGATGGCTTGTTTCACTTGTTCAGGTTTGAATTCTTCACTGTCTATGTACCCCTTAAACTCCTGTACAAACTTCTCAGCCACCTGTTTGTCTGAACTGGCTGCCTCACCATGTCTTACAACATTGTGTATGCCACTATGCTTCTTAAATCTGTCAAACCAGCCTCTGCTGGCCTTAAATTCACTATCAGCACTGGTTCCAGGAGTTTTCTGTACCAGATCGGCATGCAACTTCCTTGCCTTTTTGCAAATAATCGTCTCTGAAACACTATCACCTGCAATCTCTTTATCCTTGATCCACACCAGCAACAACTTCTCAACCTCTTCAACTATTTGTGGTCTTTTTTTGGTTAGCATATTAACACCTTTTGCAACATCAGCTTCCTTGATTTGTACTTTCTTTGACAGGATAGAACCGATGGTCGACTTGTTTTTCCCATACATCCTGGCAAGCTCAACAAGTCTCGCACCACTCTCATACTTCTGTATTATTTCCTTCTTCACATCTATGGTGTTTCTCACTTTCTTTACCACAGGGGTACCACTAGCAAGTTTTTTTTGGGCCCATGGAAGCTTATTTCACAGTCCCACAAGCACTAAACACAACGAAATAATGTGTGAATAAGAGAGCAGGTTAGTGTTCACTCAAGCATAAACAAAGCTAGACTGCTCACGGCGCCTGCGCGGGGACGTGGACAGAGCGGGCCTGTGGACATGTCCTGTACCCGGTGGTCCGAAAATAAGGGCGCGTTCGATAATAGGGACACAATTTGTCCAAAAAAATGGTCCTATTTTCGAAACGTTTGATATGTGATACGTTCGATTTTTGAGGTTCCACTGTATATCAAAACATAACAGCCATTATGATTAAATTAAACCTATTAAGAATTTGCATAATTATGTCAGTTTTCCTTGGAAGGGATGAATCTTGAAGTGACCCAATTTCTGTATTAACATAATAATCCCTATGTTTCATTTCTTTTCATTGCTTTTTGTGCACTTTTCTAATTAGGTAACTATGATAAAAAATTTAATTAAATGAAATAGTTATAATACAGGAGCAAGGGGCTAGTAACCCCTACTCCTATATACATTATCAAAGTTAAAGAGAGAAACTTTTCTTTTTCTTTTTGGGCCACCCTGCCTGGGTGGGATACAGTCGATTTGTTGGAAGAAGTAGTAGTTATAATACAGGATACTTTGAAGTAAAATGCTCACCTTTGCCATACTCTTCAGTAAGGCTCTAATGTCAGACATTAATTTATGATGCATGGTAAGATGGATGCGAAGTGAAACTACAGAAGAGCGAACATTCTCCACAGACTTCCTCAACTCTCCACTTCGCTCACCCACCAACTTAGTTAGCAGTTCTATATGATCTGTAGAAAAAAGAGAGATGAAATTATGGTAAGGAATATCCAATGCCTAAATCACTCTTCTGGACATTCTTATGAATACCAAAAATAACAGTGCTGGAGTGATATTTAAAAAGATATACCCTCTGAAATACAAAACCAATCCAAACTTGAAAAATCAAAATATGTGGATAGTGTTAATTTGTCCTAGGTAGTAGGTTGGTAGACAGCAACCGCCCAGGTAGGTACTACCGTCCTGCCAAGTGAGTGTAAAACAAAAGCCTGTAATTGTTTTACATGAAGGTAGGATTGCTGGTGTCCATTTTTCTGTCTCATAAACATGCAAGATTTCAGGTACGTCTTGCTACTACTTCTTACACATAGGTCACACTACACATACATGTACAAGCATTTTTTTTTTTTTAACAAGTCGGCCGTCTCCCACCGAGGCAGGGTGACCCAAAAAAGAAAGAAAATCCCCAAAAAGAAAATACTTTCATCATCATTCAACACTTTCACCTCACTCACACATAATCACTGTTTTTGCAGAGGTGCTCAGAACACAACAGTTTAGAAGCATATACCTATAAAGATACACAACATATCCCTCCAAACTGCTAATATCCCGAACCCCTCCTTTAGAGTGCAGGCATTATTTTTATTATTTTATTATCACACCGGCCGATTCCCACCAAGGCAGGGTGGCCCGAAAAAGAAAAACTTTCACCATCATTCACTCCATCACTGTCTTGCCAGAAGGGTGCTTTACACTACAGTTTCTAAACTGCAACATTAACACCCCTCCTTCAGAGTGCAGGCACTGTACTTCCCATCTCCAGGACTCAAGTCCGGCCTGCCGGTTTCCCTGAATCCCTTCATAAATGTTACTTTGCTCACACTCCAACAGCACGTCAAGTATTAAAAACCATTTGTCTCCATTCACTCCTATCAAACACGCTCACGCATGCCTGCTGGAAGTCCAAGCCCCTCGCACACAAAACCTCCTTTACCCCCTCCCTCCAACCCTTCCTAGGCCGACCCCTACCCCGCCTTCCTTCCACTACAGACTGATACACTCTTGAAGTCATTCTGTTTCGCTCCATTCTCTCTACATGTCCGAACCACCTCAACAACCCTTCCTCAGCCCTCTGGACAACAGTTTTGGTAATCCCGCACCTCCTCCTAACTTCCAAACTACATTGTACTTCCCATTTCCAGGACTCAAGTCCGGCTATATAAAAATAACCGGTTTCCCTGAATCCCTTCACTAAATATTACCCTGCTCACACTCCAACAGATCGTCAGGTCCCAAATACCATTCGTCTCCATTCACTCCTATCTAACACGCTCATGCATGCTTGCTGGAAGTCCAAGCCCCTCGCCCACAAAACCTCCTTTACCCCCTCCCTCCAACCTTTTCGAGGACGACCCCTACCCCGCCTTCCTTCTCCTACAGATTTATACGCTCTCCATGCCATTATACTTTGATCCATTCTCTCTAACTGACCAAACCACCTCAACAACCCCTCTTCAGCCCTCTGACTAATACTTTTATTAACTCCAACCCTTCTCCTAATTTCCACACTCCGAATTTTCTGCATAATATTTACACCACACATTGCCCTTAGACAGGACATCTCCACTGCCTCCAACCGCCTCCTCGCTGCTGCATTTACAACCCAAGCTTCACACCCATATAAGAGTGTTGGTACTACTATACTTTCATACATTCCCTTCTTTGCCTCCATAGATAACATTTTTTGTCTCCACATATACCTCAACGCACCACTCACCTTCTTTTTTTTTTTTCTTTTTCAACAAGTCGGCCGTCTCCCACCGAGGCAGGGTGACCCAAAAAAGAAAGAAAATCCCCAAAAAGAAAATACTTTCATCATCATTCAACACTTTCACCACACTCACACATTATCACTGTTTTTGCAGAGGTGCTCAGAATACAGGATACAGAATACTCACCTATATATATATATATATATATATATACACATATAGTCGGACTTGAGTCCTGGAAATGGGAAGTACAATGCCTGCACTTTAAAGGAGGGGTTTGGGATATTGGCAGTTTGGAGGGATATGTTGTGTATCTTTATATGTTTATGCTTCTAGACTGTTGTATTCTGAGCACCTCTGCAAAAACAGTGATAATGTGCGAGTGTGGTGAAAGTGTTGAATGATGATGAAAGTATTTTCTTTTTGGGGATTTTCTTTCTTTTTTGGGTCACCCTGCCTCGGTGGGAGACGGCCGACTTGTTGAAAAAAAAAAAAAAAAAAAAAAAATATACACACCCCTCTGGGTTTTCTTCTATTTTCTTACTAGTTCTTGTTCTTGTTTATTTCCTGTTATCTCCATGGGGAAGTGGAACAGAATTCTTCCTCCGTAAGCCATGCATGTTGTAAGAGGCAACTAAAATGCCGGGAGCAAGGGGCTAGTAACCCCTTCTCCTGTATAAATTACTAAATTTAAAAAGAGAAACTTTCGTTTTTCTTTTTGGGCCACCCTGCCTCGGTGGGATACGGGCGGTTTGTTGAAAAAAAAAAGTGTTGATTTGTATTGTATTTGTCGAATTTGAATTTGCTGAGACCTCTAGAAGTGTATCCCAAAAATTTGGATTGAGTATTGTGTATAATAATGTCATATTAGCAAACAATGCCCTCACAGCTTTCAAATGCCACCTGTGATACGTGTCTAAGGAACGTGTTAACTTTGCATTCTTCAGTGACAGGCCTGGAGAAGAAGAGAGAACTACATGTAATGGTAGAGAATCTCAAAAAAACAGAGCAGAAGGGACTAAGACTGCTTGATTGCAAGAGGTGGTCCTTTCAAAAGTCACTTCTTTATAACAGCCAAGACCCTGTACATCTTAACCTAATTCTCCCAAATGAGCATTTGGAGTTCGAGTCTTTCCTCATGACGCCACCTTCTCCTTGGAATGAAGATGAACTCTACCAACATTTCATGGCCTCCGTCTCTTCACTGAAGATTGTGAGCAACAGCGGTGAAAGGGTTATTGGTTTGATCTCACAATTCAATTCATTCATCACTAAGGATGAGACCCAAAAACTGTACCTCATAAGAGCTATGACTCAGTGCAGGCAGGATATGCCCTCCATGTCAAAAGTTGTAGCAATGAAATAAATTAGACTACAGTAATGCTGATCTTAGGTTCCTTTTTGATGACTTAAAGTTGAATTTTTCTGGAACCTCTCAAAAGTCAACTAAGGAACTGAAATTGCACCAGAAGTTACATTTAGGTTAAAAGTAGTTGGGAGTTAAAAATGCTTGTACCACTGTCTTCACATTTGTTGGCAATATGAATTTTCATAGGAACTTACCTGAAACAGCAACTGATGCATGTTGGATCCACTGAGTATTGACATCTGCTGGTAAGGGACACAGGGACACTAACACTTCTTCTTGTGGGTTTACAGTTGTATGGTAACGTTCTAATAACATACAACTCTCTTGGCATGTATTCAAAACCTGTTGAATGATCATGCTGTTTAGCAGTGGTTATAAAATGGTTATACCACTTTTAGTGGTTATATTACAGCATCTATAGTGGTTATATAACACATCGGCCATCTCCCACTGAGGCAGGGTGACCTAAAAAGAAAGGAAAAGCTTTCATCATTCAATACTTTAACCAACACTCATACATAATATAATCACTGTCTTTGCAGAGGCGCTGAGATATGACAGCTTAGACATCCCTCCAAACTGCCCACATCCCAAACCCCTCCTTTAAAGTGCAGGCATTGTACTTCCCATTTCCAGGACTCAAGTCGGCTAACTGGTTTTCCTGAATCCCTTCACAAAATATTACCCTGCTCACACTCCAACAGCTTGTCATGTCCCAAAAACCATTAGTCTCCATTCACTCCTATCTAACATAATCAAGCACACTTGCTGGAAGTCCAAGCCCCTCGCCCACAAAACCTCTTTTACCCCCTCCTTCCAACCTTTTCGGGGACGACCCCTACCCCGCCTTCCTTCCCCAACAGATTTATACGCTCTCCAAGTCATTCTACTTTGTTCCATTCTCTCTAAATGACCCAACCACCTCGACAGCCCCTCTTCAGCCCTCTGACTACTACTTTTAGTAACTGCACACCTCCTCCTCATTTCCACACTACAAATTCTCTGCATAGTATTTACACTGCATATTGCCCTTAGACACATCTCCACTGCCTCCAGCCTCCTCCTCCCTGCAGCATTTACAACCCATGCTTCACACCCACATAAGAGTGCTGGTACCACTATACCCTCGTACATTCCCTTCACTGCCTCCATGGATAACGTTCTGTCTCCACAGATACCCCAACGCACCACTCACCTTTTTTTCCTGCATCAATTCTATGGTTAACCTCATCCTTCATAAACCCATCTGCTGACAAGTCAACTCCCAAATATCTGAAAACATTCACTTCTTCCATACTCCCTCCCTCCAATGTGATGTCCCAAACTCGTCCACTAACCTTTGGAACTTTTCTTTAGAATCTCCCATAAGCACAGTATCATTAGCACAAAGTAACTGTGTCAATTCCCATTTTGTATTTGATTCCCCATAATTTAATCCTGCCCCTCTCCCCAACACCCTAGCATTTAATTCTTTTACAACCCCATCTATTAATATGTTAAACAACCATGGTGACATTACACATTCCTGTCTAAGACCTGAAATACAGTGGACCCTCCCTTTTTGCTGGGCTGTATTTTCGTGAATTTCAGTTATTGCCGACTTTTTTCGTAAAAATGTTGGCTTAGTTTTCATTACTTTCCTCCATTCTCATTGGTGGTAAGGTACCTATCCAAGTGTCGCACACACACAAAGCCTCCCACATACGCATTCTGAGGCAGTGTCGCTTTGTTTCTCGGTGAGTGAACATTATCCTGCTAAGCCATAGGAAACATTTTGTAATAATTCATTGTTTTCTGCACTTGTTTATTCTGTATGACTGCTAAATAAGCCACCATTGGCCCAAAGAAAGCTTCTAGTGCCAGCCCGTTGATAAACAAGGCGAGAAACACGATAGAATTCAAGAAAAAACTCGTAGCAAAGTACCAAAGTGGAGGAGGAAGAGAGAGGGGAGAATGTGCCTTCTTCCGTGATTCTATGATATGTACAATACTAAAGCAGCAGAAGTCGATAAAGGCTATAGAGCCAGCCAGCGATAAAGTGTAGTATTAACAGTGTAGCAAGTAAGTTAAGCAATTAAGCGATAGAAAAAGGATGAAACGAAACTAACTCCTCCAATGTTATTGGAGATATATAGGGCCAGTGACAAACATACACCGCCCTGCCTCTCTTCCACCACCCGAAACCAATGCCAGCATCTCCAAGGTACAGTAAGTGTAAATATTTCTAATTTATAAATTACGTACACTTGTGTGAATAGTGTTGGTGGCTTCTGCTGCCGCCTCCACTACCACTAATGTGTACGGCTTGTGCTCTTAGTGGACCTTATAAACCCAACAACAACAACACAACCACCACTCCTCACATACGTATTGACATATTTTATTCATTCTAGAGTATATATCGTGTTTCTATGTTATTAATATTGTTTATTATGTCATATTACATGAATTGTGATAGATAAATAAGCCGTGGAATATAGTTATTCTCTATAAAATGTATTTTTTGTTTATACTTTTGGGTGTCTGAAACGGATTAATTGGATTTACATCATTTCTTATTGGAAAAATGGTTTCAGTTTTTGTGAATTTCACATTTCGTCAGACTCTTTGGAACGGATTAATCATGAAAAGGGAGGGTCCATTGTAATCTCCCTCTCTTACACACCTTAGCCTGAGCCTCACTATCCTCATAAAAACTCTTTACAGCATTTAGTAATTTACCACCTATTCCATACACTTGCAACATCTGCCACATTGCTCCCCTATCCAGTCTATCATATGCCTTTCTTCTTTCTATTTTTCTTTCAATAGACCGGCCATATCCCACTGAAGTAGGGTGGCCCAAAAAGAAAAACAAAAGTTTCTCTTTTTAACTTTAGTAATTTATGCAGTTAAATGTTAAATGTTAAATGATCAGTTATGGAAGGAGAAAAGAGAATATGAATGTGTAAATTCAAGAATTATGTGGATTAAAGTAAAGGTTGGATGCGAGAAGTGGGTCATAATAAGCGTGTATGCACCTGGAGAAGAGAGGAATGCAGAGGAGAGAGAGAGATTTTGGGAGATGTTAAGTGAATGTATAGGAGCCTTTGAACCAAGTGAGAGAGTAATTGTGGTAGGGGACTTGAATGCTAAAGTAGGAGAAAATTTTAGAGAGGGTGTGGTAGGTAAGTTTGGGGTGCCAGGTGTAAATGATAATGGGAGCCCTTTGATTGAACTTTGTATAGAAAGGGGTTTAGTTATAGGTAATACATATTTTAAGAAAAAGAGGATAAATAAGTATACACGATATGATGTAGGGCGAAATGACAGTAGTTTGTTGGATTATGTATTGGTAGATAAAAGACTGTTGAGTAGACTTCAGGATGTACATGTTTATAGAGGGGCCACAGATATATCAGATCACTTTCTAGTTGTAGCTACACTGAGAGTAAAAGGTAGATGGGATACAAGGAGAATAGAACATCAGGGAAGAGAGAGGTAAAGGTTTATAAACTAAAAGAGGAGGCAGTTAGGGTAAGATATAAACAGCTATTGGAGGATAGATGGGGTAATGAGAGCATAGGCAATGGGGTCGAAGAGGTATGGGGTAGGTTTAAAAATGTAAGTGTTAGAGTGTTCAGCAGAAGTTTGTGGTTACAGGAAAGTGGGTGCAGGAGGGAAGAGGAGCGATTGTGGAATGATGATGTAAAGAGAGTAGTAAGGGAGAAAAAGTTAGCATATGAGAAGTTTTTTACAAAGTAGAAGTGATGCAAGGAGGGAAGAGTATATGGAGAAAAAGAGAGAAGTTAAGAGAGTGGTGAAGCAATGTAAAAAGAGAGCAAATGAGAGAGTGGGTGAGATGTTATCAACAAATTTTGTTGAAAATAAGAAAAGTTTTGGAGTGAGATTAACAAGTTAAGAAAGCCTAGAGAACAAATGGATTTGTCAGTTAAAAATAGGAGAGGAGAGTTATTAAATGGAGAGTTAGAGGTATTGGGAAGATGGAAGGAATATTTTGAGGAATTGTTAAATGTTGATGAAGATAGGGAAGCTGTGATTTCGTGTATAGGGCAAGGAGGAATAACATCTTGTAGGAGTGAGGAAGAGTCAGTTGTGAGTGTGGGGAAGTTCGTGAGGCAGTAGGTAAAATGAAAGGGGTAAGGCAGCCGGGATTGATGGGATAAAGATAGAAATGTTAAAAGCAGGTGGGATATAGTTTTGGAGTGGTTGGTGCAATTATTTAATAAATGTATGGAAGAGGGTAAGGTACCTAGGGATTGGCAGAGAGCATGCAAGTTCCTTTGTATAAAGGCAAAGGGATAAAAGAGAGTGCAAAAAAATTTTAGGGGGATAAGTCTGTTGAGTGTACCTGGTAAAGTGTATGGTAGAGTTATAATTGAAAGAATTAAGAGTAAGACGGAGAATAGGATAGCAGATGAACAAGGAGGCTTTAGGAAAGGTAGGGGGTGTGTGGACCAGGTGTTTACAGTGAAACATATAAGTGAACAGTATTTAGATAAGGCTAAAGAGGTCTTTGTGGCATTTATGGATTTGGAAAAGGCGTATGACAGGTGGATAGGGGGGCAATGTGGCAGATGTTGCAAGTGTATGGTGTAGGAGGTAGGTTACTGAAAGCAGTAAAGAGTTTTTTACGAGGATAGTGAGGCTCAAGTTAGAGTATGTAGGAAAGAGGGGAATTTTTTCCCAGTAAAAGTAGGCCTTAGACAAGGATGTGTGATGTCACCGTGGTTGTTTAATATATTTATAGATGGGTTGTAAGAGAAGTAAATGCGAGGGTCTTGGCAAGAGGCGTGGAGTTAAAAGATAAAGAATCACACACAAAGTGGGAGTTGTCACAGCTGCTCTTTGCTGATGACACTGTGCTCTTGGGAGATTCTGAAGAGAAGTTGCAGAGATGGTGGATGAATTTGGTAGGGTGTGCAAAAGAAGAAAATTAAAGGTGAATACAGGAAAGAGTAAGGTTATGAGGATAACAAAAAGATTAGGTGATGAAAGATTGAATATCAGATTGGAGGGAGAGAGTATGGAGGAGGTGAACGTATTCAGATATTTGGGAGTGGACGTGTCAGCGGATGGGTCTATGAAAGATGAGGTGAATCATAGAATTGATGAGGGAAAAAGAGTGAGTGGTGCACTTAGGAGTCTGTGGAGACAAAGAACTTTGTCCTTGGAGGCAAAGAGGGGAATGTATGAGAGTATAGTTTTACCAACGCTCTTATATGGGTGTGAAGCGTGGGTGATGAATGTTGCAGCGAGGAGAAGGCTGGAGGCAGTGGAGATGTCATGTCTGAGGGCAATGTGTGGTGTGAATATAATGCAGAGAATTCGTAGTTTGGAAGTTAGGAGGAGGTGCGGGATTACCAAAACTGTTGTCCAGAGGCTGAGGAAGGGTTGTTGAGGTGGTTCGGACATGTAGAGAGAATGGAGCGAAACAGAATGACTTCAAGAGTGTATCAGTCTGTAGTGGAAGGAAGGCGGGGTAGGGGTCGGCCTAGGAAGGGTTGGAGGGAGGGGGTAAAGGAGGTTTTGTGTGCGAGGGGCTTGGACTTCCAGCAGGCATGCGTGAGCGTGTTTGATAGGAGTGAATGGAGACAAATGGTTTTTAATACTTGACGTGCTGTTGGAGTGTGAGCAAAGTAACATTTATGAAGGGATTCAGGGAAACCGGCAGGCCGGACTTGAGTCCTGGAGATGGGAAGTACAGTGCCTGCACTCTGAAGGAGGGGTGTTAATGTTGCAGTTTAAAAACTGTAGTGTAAAGCACCCTTCTGGCAAGACAGTGATGGAGTGAATGATGGTGAAAGTTTTTCTTTTTCGGGCCACCCTGCCTTGGTGGGAATCGGCCGGTGTGATAATAAAAAAAAAATAAAAATAATAATTTATGCAGTAGAAGGGGTTACTAGCCCCTTGCTCCCAGCATGTTAGTCGCCTCTTACAACATGCATGGCTTAAGGAGGAAGAATTCTGTTCCACTTCCCCATGAAGATAAAGAGGAAATAAACAAGAACAAGAACTAGTAAGAAAATAGAAGAAAGCCCAGAGGGGTGTGTATATATATGCTTGTACATGTATGTGAAGTGTAACCCAAGTGTAAGTAGAAGTAGCAAGATGTACCTGAAATCTTGCATGTTTATGAGACAGAAAAAAAGACACCAGCAATCCTACCATCATGTAAAACAATGACAGGCTTCCGTTTTACACTCACTTGGCAGGACGGTAGTACCTCCCCGGGCGGTTGCTGTCTACCAACCTACTACCTAGTACCCAGTGAACTTATTCCCCTACAATTTTTACAATCTCTTTTGTTCCCCTTTCTTTTATTTCAAGAAATTATACAGTACATGCTCTCTGCCAGTCCCTAGGTACCTTCCCCTCTTTCACACATTTCTTCTTTCTTCTTTCAACAAACCGGCAGTATCCCACTGAGGCAGGGTGACCCAAAAAGAAAAACTAGTTTCTCCTTTTCAACTTAGTAATATATACAGGAGAAAGGGTTACTAGCTCCTTGCTCCCGGCATTTTAGTTGTCTCTTATGACATGCATGGCTTACGGAGGAAAAATTCTGTTCCACTTCCCCATGGAGATAAGAGGAAATAAACAAGAACAAGAACTAGTAAGATAATAGAAGAAAACCCAGAGGGGTGTGTATATATATGCTTGTACATGTATGTGTAGTGTGACCCAAGTGTAAGTAGAAGTAGCAAGACATACCTGAAATCTTGCACGGTTATGAGACAGAAAAAAGACACCAGCAATCCTACCATCATGTAAAACAATGACAGGCCTCTGTTTTACACTCACTTGGCAGGACAGTAGTACCTCCCCGGGCAGTTGCTGTCTACCAATCTACTACCTAGGACCCAGTAAACTTATTCCCCTATAATTTTTACAATCTCTTTTGTTCCCCTTCCCTTTATATAAAGGAATTATACATGCTCTCTGCCAATCCCTAGGTACCTTCCCCTCTTTCATACATTTCTTTTCTTTTAACACACCGGCCGTATCCCACCGAGGCGGGGTGGCCCAAAAGGAAAAACGAAAGTTTCTCCTTTTACATATAGTAATATATACAGGAGAAGGGGTTACTAGCCCCTTGCTCCTGGCATTTTAGTCGCCTCTTACAACACGCATGGCTTACGGAGGAAGAATTCTGTTCCACTTCCCCATGGAGATAAGAGGAAATAAACAAGAACAAGAACTAGTAAGAAAATAGAAGAAAACCCAGCGGGGTGTGTATATATATGCTTGTACATGTATGTGTAGTGTGACCTAAGTGTAAGTAGAAGTAGCAAGACGTACCTGAAACCTTGCATGTTTGTGAGACAGAAAAATGGACACCAGCAATCCTACCATCATGTAAAACAATTTCAGGCTTTCGTTTTGCACTCACTTGGCAGGACGGTAGTACCTCCCTGGGCAGTTGCTGTCTACCAACCTACTACCTAGGTTTCATACATTTATTAAACAAAAATACCAACCACCTGCTTTTAATATATCTGTCATGGTCCTGTCAGTTATAGCTGCTTTACCCGCTTTCATTCTATGTAATGCCTCACACACCTCCCCACTCTCACGTTCTGCTCTTCACTCCTAAAAGATGTTATATCTCCTTGGCCAGTGCATGAAATTACTGCCTCCCTTTCTTCAGCAACATGTAAAAGTTCCTCAAAATATTCCCGCCATCTACCCAATACCTCCAGCTCCCCATCTACTAACTCCCTTACTCTGTTTTTAACTGACAAATCCATTTGTTCCCTAGACTTTCTCATCTTGTTTATCTCACTCCAAAATTTTTTTTTTATTCTCAGCAAAATTTCTTGACAGTGCCTCTCCCACATCTAAAGTGGTTATATTACAGCACTTGGTATGCTATATTATAGCACTTACAATAATTATATTACAGCACCTAGTGGTTATATTACAGCACTTACAGTGCTTATACTACTGAATATATAGCAGTTATATTACAGCAATTATATATATTACTTTACACAGTATAAGCTTTCCTCTAAGGTCTTTTCTGAGAATTCAAAATTATAAAGACATGCACTTTTTTCAAATATTACTGACACAAGTAGAGTTATACCATTTCTATTAGTCATAACTAAAATATATCACTTCTGTCGAACTCTTGAAACTAAGAGAATCTTCTTCCTTTCACAATAGAAAAACTCACCGAAGTGAAACTGGCATCCCACGTTATAGCATCTACAGTGTGCGCGCGCAAAGCCTCATAATGAAGCACAGCATTACAAAGTGAAGCAACTTCCTCACTTCTCTGGAGCAGCTCAGCTAGACCATTCAGGGCAATTTCAACACCACTGCTGAACTCTTCTAGTGCCTGTAGGATTAAAAAATAAGTTGCAAATAAAAAATTTACCTCAGAATCTTAAAACGGTGTAGTAGCAAAAATGTATCTGCAGTGCTGAGAGTGGCAGACCATTTGCCAATGGGGAGCTTGTGAAAAAGTATGTGGGGAAAGTAATATAGGAAATGTGCCCTGACAAGGCTACTTGTATTGGGAATGTTTGTCTATCTACATTCACAATCACCAGGCAAGTTGATGACATGAGGAATGTGTTAGATAACATATTAACTGACATGCAACACGTTTTGAACATTTTTCTTTGGCACTAGAGAAGAGCAGTAACACTCTAGACACTGTTCAATTTCTAAGTTTTATAAAGGAATTTATTCTAATTCTAGAATCACTGAGGAGTTGTGTGTACTGCAGAGCTTGAAAAATACTACTAGTCTTACTGTAAAAAAATGTATTTATAATGGTGAGCAAATCTGTAAGCAAACTTAACCTGAGTTGGGTAAACTGAGAAGTTTGATAAAATCAATAGTGCAAGGAACATGGCTGGAGGAAAAACTGCTGTAGTGTAAAAATTAATAAAAAATGTACTGAAATTGAATGCTAAGCTCCCCATGCAATTTCACAGCATTATTCACCAGCAGACTTTGTGAAGTAAGATTCTTCAATATGAAAATAAGATGAGTGTTACTGTATCAAACATGAATTTTATCAGGCATTATGGCCTGAAACTTCACCAGTTTCAGTTTTGTATCTGAAACAGATGCAGACTATGGGGATGTGTTATACAATGCAAAAGTCAGGTAATGAGTTCAAAAATGTTTTTGCTCTGCATCAAATAAGTGATATTTCTCTAAGACAAAGAGATCAAGAAGCAGTCCAAATTGAATGTACTGAATTTGGTTTTCTTGAGTGATGCACCAGAACATTTGAATAATTTAATTCTATGGGATCTAGGGTTAAAGAAATCTGATGCAAGAGTGAAAGTTTGTGAGATAAAGAAGCAGGGTAATGAAAGAAATTCTCCCCTGCTGTAAAATCATTTGTTCTTTGAGTAATACAGCACTTATTAAAGTTAATACAGTGGTTACATTAGTTACTACATTAATTCACCTCCTGTTTCAAAGTGGGGCATTCATCACACATTTGACCATCTAACATGTCCCTCTTATGCAGAATGATTGGGATCACTGGAATACACCATACATGGATTTCAAACCCTTGAAATCATTATGTATGTGTAAGGTGACCCCAAATTTTTGCCTAAAATTTGGTCACAGAATCCAGATATACACTCAAATATATACAGAATATAAGATCACACAAACTGGAAATAACCATATACTTTTTTTTTTTTTTTTTTTTTTTCAACAAGTCGGCCGTCTCCCACCGAGGCAGGGTGACCCAAAAAAGAAAGAAAATCCCCAAAAAGAAAATACTTTCATCATCATTCAACACTTTCACCACACTCGCACATTATCACTGTTTTTGCAGAGGTGCTCAGAATACAACAGTCTAGAAGCATACACATATAAAGATACACAACATATCCCTCCAAACTGCCAATATCCCAAACCCCTCCTTTAAAGTGCAGGCATTGTACTTCCCATTTCCAGGACTCAAGTCCGACTATATGAAAATAACCATATACATACAATAATTTAAGTTTACAATAGTGAGGAAGCTTTATAAAATGTTTCGATTCACTCCAGCTAATGATCCAAATATCATTCAAAGCTCTCTCTATGAATCATAAGTTAGTTGTGAATCATGTACATACCTTAGCAATGGATGGATTAGAGCCAGCTGCCCATTTCAGACGCTGCTCAACATTCCCTGTCATATTTGTGTACTTCTCTCTTAATTCCGAAACATTCTGATGCAATGCAAGAAGCTTACTCACATTGCTTCGTAAGTCTCCAAGAAGGGCACCACGACCTAGATTAAAATCACATTTTACAATACTAATTCTTATTTATTTTAATGGTACTTATATATACTTTATAATAATTACTATTCTTCTTTGGCTACAGAAAGAATGGCTTTATAGATTGCTAAAGAAAAGAAAATAATCACTAATGATTTATTTTCTCACTGCTTATCATACAAAGGTACAAAATGACTTAGATGACCTTCAATAAAGAATAAAAAGGCACAATACCATAACTGGAACAATACACAAATAACCCACACACAGGAGAAACAAACTTATGACAATGTTTCAATCTGATGTGAAACATTAACCCTTTGACTGTCGCGGCCGTATATATACGTATGCGAGGTACCGTGTTTGACGTATATATACTCATAAATTTTAGCGGCTTCAAATCAGGCAGGAGAAAGCTAGTAGGCCCACATGTGAGAGAATGGGTCTGTGTGGTCAGTGTGCACCACATAAAAAAAATCCTGGAGCACGCAGTGCATAATGAGAAAAAAAAAACTCCGACCGTTTTTTTTAATTAAAATGCCGACTTTGTGGTCTATTTTCGTATAGTATTTGTGGTTGTATTCTCGTTTTCTTGGTCTCATTTGATAGAATGGAAACTATATTATAGAAATGGAGGTGATTTTGATTAATTTTACTATAAAAAGAACCTGGAAATGGAGCACAAAGTACAGGAAATGTTTGATTTTTGCCGATGTTCAAAAGTGAACAAATGATGTCATTGTCCAATAAATGTCCAAATAGCCATTCTAATACGCAGTCATGAATGGGTTGATGTAATTTTTACAATTATTACAGTATTGCAGTAGTCTGCATAACAGTAAATCTTCTATTTTTTGTTTGAATAAAATTTCAAAATAAAAAGCAAGAGTAATATCACAGGGACCTGGAGACATGACTGATGAACAAAGAAAATGTTATTTTAGAGCCAGGAATGTCTGCATTGTTCATTCTGGACCTTATTTTGAAATTGTCGTATTTTTTAATTTTCGTGAAATTGGCCAAATTGCAAATTTCTGACCATGTTATTGGGTAGTTGAAATCGGTAAATGGGCAGTTTCTTGTACTCAATCGATAGAAAAAATAGAGTTCTGAAGAAATAGTTATGAGTTTGGTTGACTGGAATAACGGAATTAGCCGAAAATAGGGCTCAAAGTGGGCGAAATTGCCGATTTTTAAATATCGCCGAAGTCGCTAACTTCGCGAGAGCGTAATTCCGTCAGTTTTCCATCAAATTTCGTTTTTTTGGTGTCTTTACAATCGGGAAAAGATTCTCTATCATTTCATAAGAAAAAATAATTTTTTTTTTTTTCGAATATTTTGCGACACCAGAAGCAACTTCAGGATTTGGCCCTTCGACAGTCAAAGGGTTAACTAGTCAGTAGACCAAGTCGGACTGAAACAGTCAGAAATTTCTTTCTCCTATCCGCAGGTTATTTGTGTAATGACCTTCAATCATGATTTAAAGGTTGGCAAATACTATTTAATGAAACAAAATGTAAGATTGTAAGATACAACAATGTAAAAAACATATAGAATACTGCCTTGTTATTTGAAGAAAAGGAAAGTGATTTTGGAATAATAATTCTCAAACTTAGATAAGGATACACCCACATTGATAGGGTGAAATGATTAATTGTGGAAGATCTGAGAAGGAATTGAGCCATTTACCTTTCTTGGATCAAGACCTGATTATATCCCATCCAATTAGTATGATCCATAGTTTAGCACTTTCCATGAGTTTTTTAGCACACGAGCTCTCGCACCAAGAACATGCGGACCCAAAAGAAAAAAAAAAAAAAAGTTTTCTTTTTACATTTAGCATTTTACAGGAAAAGGGGTGTAATGTCACAGGATCGCGGTATTTTTGCACCTTTACAACATGCTGGCTTACGGGAAGGATTCTTCTCCACTTGCCTGAGAGTTTCCCCATGAATAATAAAAATATAATTTGAAACATAGGAAGCATGAAGGTTAATATCAGGGATGTATAACCACAAGGGTCACAGTGCCATGGGAAAGTGTAGATAAATAGAAGGAAGGAAAGGATGGCACCTTGGAGAAAGGGAGTAATTCAGCAGATCTAGTGAACCGCCTTCAAGGCTGACATGGTAAAACAGCCATAAATTCACCAACCAACTAATAGAACAATTTTTTGAATTTAAAAAATAATTGTAGAGTGTACAAAACAATATGAAGTTAATAAAGGACAAGATGAACCAATTTCTTAAACATCTGATTGAAGGAGGGGTGTTAATGTTTGGTAAAATGTGGCAACAGGTTCGGCTCATTATCAACTGTAGTTTGTGCTAAAACATTTTATACGAAACGAACAAAATATCTGCTAAGGCTAACCCAATAAATAAAATAATTCAGCTAAGACGTGTTGTGAAGGCTTGATACCTCTTTGAAAGCGCCTAAGCAGATCCTTTAAACTGGATACTTGCAGTAAAGAATGTTGAATGAAGGTGAGCAACTTACTTGGATGACAGGAACAACATGCGTGCTTGAGGACATGACGTAGTAGAGTCTGTGACCAAGGTGCTGGGCTGTTACTCGCTGGTGAGTTGTCCGCAACCCTTCTGCTTCAGCTTCCCAGTGTCTGGAGAATATTCTTGATTTAAAATACATGTAAAGAATATTTGCACAAAAATCTTAACTATGCTTAAACTGTACTACAACCATTTATTTCTGAATCAAAATTAATGGAAATATAAATGTAAATAGAGATGTGAAGAAGTCCTTCCTCTGTAAACCTTGCATGTTGTAAGAGGCAACTAAAATGCCAGGAGCAAGGGGATAGTAACCCCTTCTCCTGTATAAATAACTAAATGTAAATTGAAGAAAAACTTTCAATTCTTCTTTTTCAGGTCAACTTGCCTCAGTGGGAGATGCCTGGTGTTTATAAAATAAAAATAAATGTAAATGAAGATTATTAATAGTGAAAATGAACAGTGGTTAGATAAGTGGAAGATGCTTATCTTTCACTCAAATTACTGAATTCAGAATCTGCTGGCATGGCCAGCCTTGGCTATCTCTCCTTCATGTGAACTTTGACATAGTGTCTTACTACAGTCCCACCATAGTACCTACACAACTGAATGGGTTGTCTTATGACAAAGTCCCATGTCAGTATGTTTACCCTAATGAATGAACTAAAAATAACATAAGTTAGGTTTAAGAAATATAAGGCTGAGCTGGAAGACAGGTTCATTAAAGAAACATGCAAAAATGGGAGGAAGATGTAGAAAACCAACCTGAGGAGCAATTTCTTTCTAACAGCATTCAGGTGATGTGTGAGTGTGGTAGCAGCAGAGGTGGGAAGAGCAGGGTCGAGACCATGACGAGTGATACAACACTCCAGTGCTTCCTGAACTATTCCCTCCAGACTGACTCGACCTTCTGTACCAACATCCCGTGCCTCAATGTACCCTGCAATTAAAAGAGTCCTTGGGTGATGCTTGAAAATGGAGCTTTTATAATCGAAAAATATCTGAAAACTTCATACTGTAAATATGAATGCAAATATAAAACTACATGCACCAACTGGAATCTTCTTTCAACAAACTGGCCGTATCCCACTGAGGCAGGGTGGCTCAAAAAGAAAAACATGAGTTTCTCTTTCCAACTTTAGTAATGTATACAGGAGAAGGGGTTACTAGCCTATTGCTCCCAGCATTTTAACCGACTCTTACGACACGCATGGCTTACGGAGGAAGAATTCTGTTCCACTTCCCCATGGAGATAAGAAGAAATAAACAAGAACTAATAAGAAAATAGAAGAAAACCCAGAGGGGTGTGTATATATATACTTGTACATGCATGTGTAGTGTGACCTAACTGTAAGGATAAGTAGCAAGACGTACCTGAAATCTCGCATGTTTATGAAACAGAAACAAGACACCAGCAATCCCACCACCATGTAAAATAATTACAGGCTTTTGTTTTACACTCACCTGGCAGGACAGTAGTACATCCCTGGGCAGTTGCTATTTACCAACCTACTACCTAGGACCAACTGGAATACAGTGGACCCCCACATAACGATTACCTCCGAATGCGACCAATTATGTAAGTGTATTTATGTAAGTGCATTTGTACGTGTATGTTTGGGGGTCTGAAATGGACTAATCTACTTCACAATATTTCTTATGGGAACAAATTCGGTCAGTACTGGCACCTGAACATACTTCTGGAGTGAAAAAATATCGTTAACCGGGGGTCCACTGTATACTTATTTATTTATTTCTCTATTTAATTTTTTCCTCATGAGAAAACAGAGAAACAAAGTTACAGGTTGACCATCACTAATCCGGCATCATCAGGACCTGTAGAGTGCCAGATGAGTGATTTTGCCAGATTACAGAGTGGTTAAGTTAGCATACACTTAACACAACGGCGATATTTACGTATCAGCGGTTTCACCCACTTTAGGCCCTATTTTTGACCCATTCCATTGTTCCAGTCTACCAAACTCAAAACTATTTTGTTCGTATTCCTTCTATTCTGTCAGATGAGTGCAAGAAACTGCCCATTTACCTATTTCAACTACCCAACAGTGGTCAGAAATCGGTAATCTGGACAATTTCACACAAATTTCAAGAGATGCCAATTTCAAAATTGGGTCCAGAATAAACAATGCAGACATTCCTGGCACTAAAATAACGTTTTCCCTGTTCATCAGTCATGTCACCAGGCCCCTCTTATATTATGCTTGCTTTCCATTTTGAATTTTCATTCACACAAAAAATAGAAGATTTACTGTTATGCAGACTACTGCATTATTGTAATAATTGTATAAATAATGTCAACCCATTCATGACTGTGTATCAGACTGCCCAGTTGGACATGTACTGGACAGTGAAATCATTTGTTTACTCCTGAACATCGACAAAAATCAAACATTTTTGATGCTTTAAGCTCAATTTTAAGGTACTTTTCAGCATGAAACCAATCAAAATTATATCTATTTCTGTAATATATCTTCCATTCTATCAAATGAGACCAAGAAAATGAGAATACACCCATACAAACCATATGAAAATACATTGCAAGTTGCTGTTAAACATCAAAAGTACAGTCGCTGTTTTTTCTCATTATGCACTGCATGCTGCAGGATTTTTTTATATAGTGCATACTTACCACACAGACCTATTCTCTCATATGTAGGCCCAAATTTATTAGTCACAGCTTATCTGAGTGAGCTGAGCTCATGGCAACACACAGTGGCTTCAAAGCCTCCTTATCTTTTATGGACAATCTACAGTGTATATGCTTTACACAATGAGAAGCATTCTTTTATTTGTCGGAACCATGGTTAGTGCTAAAAGTGAGCAGGTTATAACAATAAATGGAAAAAAAGAAATTGGAATGATTTATGCAGCAAGCAGCACCAACAAAGTAGCAGCAGGTTGGTGAGGCAACCCCAGAAATTTGAAATTATGCTATCTGAAATTAGTGCCGGATTGCTGATTGCCGGATTAGTGATAGCCAACCTGTACTAAGCTGGAAAGATGAACTGACCAGGATGCCATTCAAATATGATTAGCATTACTATATCTGTATACTGTTGTTTAACATTCTTTAACAATATCTAAGAAGGGGCTTGTACAAAATTTGTCTCATCCAATAGTTGGGGATGTGTATTTTAAGAATAAAGAAACCTATTCCAAGAACTGTGACTCTATCTTGGATACTTTATCTATTCTCAAGAATCTCCTTGAAGAAGAATTTGTCGTTTATTCTTCAGGAAACATTTCAGTCACAACCATCTTAAAAACTATATATTAAAAAATCTGTATATCAGTAAATTTATGAACAGCAATACTAGTTACACTAAGACAAGTGTATGTAATCACAGTTCAAACAGATAACATTTTAACAGACTTATGAACAGTGATACCAGTCATACTAAGACATGTGGATGTTATCACAGTATAAACAAAAAACTTCTAAAGAAAGCTTGTGCCAGTTCCTCTGACATGTATACAGTGGACTCCCACATAACGTTGGCATCGCATAGTGTTAAATCCGCATAGCGATACATTTTATCGCTAAAATTTTGCCTCGCATAGTGCTAAAAAATTCACTCTACGCGATTCGTCCGAGACACGTCCATGCGGCCTGAGCCAGCCTCACTTGTTCTGCCAGTGGCATTGTTTACAAGCCAGCCTCCGCAGTAACATTCAAGCATACAATCGGAACATTTCGTATTATTACAGCCTTTTTATAGTGATTTCACCTGAAAAATAAGAGACCATGGGTCCCAAGAAAGCTTCTAGTGCCAACCCTACAAGAATAAGGGTGAGAATTACTATGGAGATGAAGAAAGAGATCATTGCTAAGTATGAAAGTGGAGTGCATGTCTCCGAGCTGGCCAGGTTGTATAGTAAACCCCAATCAACCATCGCTTCTATTTGTGTCCAAAGAGAACGGCAATCAAGGAAGCTGTTTTTGCCAAAGGTTTAACTGTGCTTTCGAAACAGAGATCGCAAGTGATAGAAAATGTTGAGAGACTGTTATTGGTGTGGATAAACGAAAAACAGATAGCAGGCGATAGCATCTCTCAAGCGATCATAAGTGAAAAGGCTAGGAAGCTGCACGAGGATTTAATTAGAAAAATGCCTGCAACTAGTGGTGATGTGAGTGAATTTAAGGCCAGCAAAGGTTGGTTTGAGAGATTTAAGAGGCGTAGTGGCATACATAGTGTGACAAGGCATGGTGAGGCTGCCAGTTCGGACCACAAAGCAGCTGAAAAATATGTGCAGGAATTCAAGGAGTACATAGACAGTGAAGGACTGAAACCTGAACAAGTGTTTAATTGTGACGAAACAGGCCTGTTTTGTAAGAAAATGCCAAGCAGGACCTACATTACTCAGGAGGAAAAGGCACTCCCAGGACATAAGCCTATGAAAGACAGGCTTACTCTTCTCATGTGTGCCAATGCTAGCGGTGATTGCAAAGTGAAGCCTTTATTAGTGTATCACTCTGAAACTCCCAGAGCGTTCAGGCAAAAGAATATCCTCAAGGCTAATTTGTGTGTGCTGTGGAGGGCAAACAATAAGGCATGGGTCACTAGGGACTTTTTCTATGACTGGTTACACCAAGCATTTGCCTCCACTGTGAAAAATTACCTAACTGAAAAGAAATTAGACCTTAAGTGCCTTCTGTGTTAGACAATGCCCCGGTCATCCTACAGACTTGGCAGAGTGACTTTGTGGGGACATGAGCTTCATTAAGGTGAAGTTTTGCCTCCTAATACCACTCCTCTCCTGCAGCCCATGGACCAGCAGGTTATTGCAAACTTCAAAAAAACTGTACACAAAAGCTCTGTTTGAAAGGTGCTTTGTAGTGACCTCAGAAACTCAATTGACTCTAAGAGAGTTTTGGAGAGAGCACTTTAATATCCTCAATTGTGTAAACCTTATAGGTAAGGCTTGGGAGGGAGTGACTAAGAGGACCTTGAACTCTGCTTGGAAGAAACTGTGGCCAGAATGTGTAGACCAAAGGGATTCTGAAGGATTTGAGGCTAACCTTGAGAATCCTATGCCAGTTGAGGAATCAATTGTGGCATTGGGGCAGTCCTTGGGGTTGGAGGTTAGTGGGGAGGATGTGGAAAAGTTGGTGGAGGAGGACAATGAAGAACTAACCACTGATGAGCTGCTAGGTCAACTTCAACAGCAAGAGGCCACACCTGAGGAAATTGCTTCGGAGGAGGGGAGAGAGAAATTGAAGAAGTTGCCTACTTCAAAGATTAAGGAAATCTGTGCAAAGTGGCTTGAAGTGCAAACCTTCATTGATGAAAATCACCCTCAGACAGCTATTGCAAGCCGTGCTGGTGACTATTACACTGACACTGTTGTGAAACACTAAAACCATCCAGTCTCCCCTCCTCCCATCCCATCAATCATCACCACATCTTCAATAAAGGTAAGTGTCATGTAACTGTGCATGTTTTCTTAAGTTTGTGTGTATTAAAATTAATATTTCATGTGGTAAAAATTTTTTTTTTTCATACTTTTGGGTGTCTTGCACAGATTAATTTGATTTCCATTATTTCTTATGGGGAAAATTAATTCGCATAACGATAATTTCGCATAACATTGAGCTCTCAGGAACGGATTAATAGCGTTATGCGGGGGTCCACTGTACTTAAAAAGGAAATGAAGAATGTATTCTGGCATATAGTAGGCAATGATTTTGGGAGTACCTGAATCCAAAGCATTTCCTTCAGACAAATGTGTAATGATCATATACACAAAGTGTATGTGATCATATGGAAGTTTCAAAATAACTTAGTTGTATTCATCTTGTATTTTGCTATGAATCATACCTTGTCTCCATTCAAGACTGGACATTTTGATTTATATTTCAGCAGTTATAAAGCTAATTCTTCCTCTGTAAGCCATGAGTGTTGTAAGAGGTGGCTAAAATGCCAGGAGCAAGGGACTAGTAACCCCTTCTCCTGTATATATTACTAAATTTAAAAGGAGAAACTTTCATTTTTCCTTTTGGGCCACCCTGCCTCGGTGGGACATGGCTGGTTTGTTGAAAGAAGAAGTTATAAAACTACTCTGTTCTCTCCCACTAACCTGTCACATTTATTCCCAGCTTCTGACTATGTAGCAAGAGTAAGTGAGTTGCTAAGTGAGAGGGCAAGCCAAGCAGGAGGAGGGAAACACAGTCACTGGCATATCGTCGAACTATTCTCTGTAATCGATCTTCATCACACAAATTATTTCTGCTCCTGTTACCTGAAAAAGATTGGCAAGACTGCATTGAAATACAAATACACAAGTCATCTGAGTTCACAAAAACATTAAAAATCCTAACCTGTACTGCCCCAAATTTCAAGAAATTGTCTAGATGTTTTAAAAATGGCATTCAGTATTTTAAACATAAAAGTACAGGCAGGCCCCACTCATACAGGAGGTTAGGTTCCAGGCTACTGCTGTAAAGTGAAAATCACTGTAAAGTGAAACCATAGCCTTTTTTCACTTTTAAATGCATATAAAAGCCTAATAATATATTTACACTATCATATTAAGTAAGAAATAGAGCTAGGCCTAAGAAATACATTTACAGTACACACATTACCTTAAAATATTTTTGTCCTTATCCTAAAGTGAGCAGTAAATATACAGCGGAACCCCAGATTTTGTCCGCACCGGATATCGTACGGTTTGCATTTCGACCACTTTTTTCAGTGAAAATTTGCTCCGGATTTCGTACCTCATCCCGGAAACTGTCCGTATCAGATGCATCCGCCTGCCCGGGATGCTGCCACTTATGCGTACGTGTCTCAATCTGGTTCTGTCACTGGTTGAGTGAGCATTCATACGAAACACTTCATAATACTCCATTGTTTTTTGTGCTTGTTTATTGAATGCAATTGCAAAATAAGCCACCATGGGACCAAAGAAAGTTCCTAGTGTCAGCCCTTTGGTAAAGAAGGTAAGAAACACAATAGAATTCAAGAGAGAGATTGTAGAAAAATGCAAAAGTGGTGTACGTGTGGCCAAGCTCGCCAAGATGTATGGCAAATCCAAATCAACAATCAGTTCCATCCTGGCAAAGAAAGTAGAAATCAAGGAAGCTGATGTTGCAAAAGGGGTGATTAAGAACATTTGTGCAAAGTGGAATCAGGTGCAAACTTTTGTGGAAAAATACCACCCTGACTAAGCTGATACAAGCTGTATCTGCAACATGTTCAGTGACAATACCTCATCCCATTTTAGGCAAATCTTAAAGAAACGCCAGAAACAGAGCTCTCTGGACAGATTTTTAGTACGACAGGGGTCCAGTGCTAGTAAAAGACAAAGAAGGGAAGTAACCCTGGATAGGGATTTGATACCTGAAGTCCTTATGGAGGGGGATTTCCCTTCCAAACAATAACCTCTCCTCCCTCTCCCCTCCTCGCTGTCTTCCAGGAGTTTTCAATAAAGGTAAAAGTGATGTTAAATGTTCATTTATCCATTTCATTAGTCATTTATATTTATTTCTCATTGTTATCTGTATGTAAACCTCTAAGTTATTCTCTATAAAATGTGTTTATTTTTTTTTTATTATCGAAACGACTATTGATTACAATTTGGGGCCCGAAAAGAAAAACTTTCACATCATTCACTCCACACTGTCTTGCCAGAAGGGGCTTACACACAGTTTTTAAACGAATTAACACCCCGCTTCAGAGTGTTATGGCAAACTGTACTTCCATCTTCCAGAACCAAGTTCGGCCTGCGTTTTCCCGATCCCTTTCATAAATTTACATTAGCTCACACTCCAACAGCAATTAAGATATAAAAACCATTTGTACTCCATTCTACTCCTACAAACGCCAACTGTCATCGGAAGTCAGCCCCTCGCACTACGTAAAACCCCTTTACCCCGCTCCCCCAACCCTTCCTAGCGCCGACCCCTACCCCCTTCCTTCCACTACAGACTGATACATCTTGAGTCATTCTGTTTCGCCCATTCTCTCTACATGTCCGAACCACCTCAACAACCCTTTCCTCACCCTCTGGACAACAGTTGGTAACCCGCACGCGTCCTCAACTTCCAAATACGAATTCTCTGCATTATCAACCACACTTGCCCACAGACATGACATCTCCACTGTCCAGCCTTTCCTGCTGCAACATTCATCACCCACGCTTTCACACCAAATTAAGAGCGTTGGTAAACTATACCTCTACATTCCCCTCTTGTGCCTCAAATGGTACGAAAGTTCATTGTCTCCACGACTCCTAAGTGCAACATCACTCTTTGTCCATCTCAATTCTAATGAATTCACCTCATCTTTCATAGACCATAGTCTGACACCCTTCCTTCAAATATCTGAATACGTTCAAATCCTCATACTCTCTCCCTCATTCGAATTCAATCTTTCATCACCTGATCTTGTTTGATATCCTCAATAACCTTACTTTTCCTTATTCACCTTTAAGTTTCTTCTTTTGCACACCCTACCAAATTCATCCACCAATCTCTGCAACTTCTCTTCAGAATCTCCCAAGAGCACAGTGTTCATCAGCAAAGAGCAGCTGTGACAACTCCCACTTTGTGTGTGATTCTTTATCTTTAACTCCACGCCTCTTGCCAAGACCCTCGCATTTACTTCTCTTACAACCCCCATCTATAAATATATAAAATATAAAATAAAATATATATTTAAATATATATAAATATATATAAAATATAAAATATAAAATATATATATAAAATGTGTTTTTTGTTAATATTTTTGAGTGTCTGGAACAGATTAATTGGATTTACAATATTTCTTGTGGGAAATATTACTTCAGTTTTCGTACAAATCGGTTTTCAGCCGACCTTCTGGAACGGATTAAAGATGAAACTCAGGGTTCCACTGTATTTATTTACAAAGACATTATGCTCATATTTATAAACCAAATGTTCAATGTGCATTTTCCACTTTTGTAAATTTAATAACAATAGCTGCATTTTGAGTATAAGGTTAATATTCAGAAACTAAGATGAGGATACAATAAAGACTCTTTACTCCATATATGTGACCAATTATTAAATATACAGGACCAGTATGGATGCTTTATCTAGTCAAACACAAGGCAAAAGTTGCTACCACTGACCTATTACTCAATATGAATGTTGACAATAGTTCAGTTAAAAATAAATGATTTGCATACTAGGCAAGAAAGGGAGTTAACTGGGTAGAAATGTTGAACTTACCAACTAGCTCATCTCTCTTGAAAGACGGTGATGACTGATAAGCTGTGGTGAAAAATTCAACGATAGTCTGTACCTTCTTGACGCGAAGCAAACATCTTAATATCTGACGAAGAGCTGGGTCTTGTAGTGGAGCCTAAAAATGTTAATGGGAAACATTAATTTTGTAGTACTTATATCTGATGTCAAGGAATATATATTGGACATGTATGTGGTAAAAGGCAATTAAAATGCTGGGATCAAGAGGCTAGTAACCCCTTCTCTTGTATAAATTACTAAATGTAAAAAGAAAAACTTGCGTTTTTCTTTTCAGTTCACCCTGCCTTGGTGGGATACTGAGGTTTGTTGTAAAAAAAAATAAAAAAACTGTAAAGTTTTCTTCTTTTTTGGGTCACCCTGCCTAGGTGGGAGATGGATAGTATCCTGAAAAATTACATATTAAGTATTTACTCGAGTTAAAATTAATTATTCACAAGAAAACAACCTTAATATATCTTTCATTACAAAAATTGCTTCATTACATGAGTGTAAACAGTGTACCATTATTTCAGCAGCTTCTCTTGCTGTATCAACTCGAGGCCAGGGCTGAGGAAGTGGAGCATGACTAACAGCATCCATCAGCTGGTCCAGTTGTGTCTCTACAGCCTCAAACAATAAATGGAAGCCCATGAGCAGCATCTGACCTTGGCTCATGTCAGCACTAGACTTTCCAGTGGATCCTCCTGATGTGATTCTCTCAATAACTTCTATCAGTTTCTGATGAAGTGCTTTGGCCTCCTGCAGAGCATCCTCATGGCGAGGCTGTATAATGGATAAATAATTACAGAGTTGGAGAGAATTGTTAGTACATTTGCCTCCCAGTTCTCACATGTTTAATTTTATATGTTTGTATTATACATCTGTACATTATTTGGTGTTTGTTTGTTTAGTCTGAGCGAGTGTGGAATGGTGGCTCTTGTCTATATTAATACAATCTCATACACAAACACCTTAGACAATGTCATTTTTGAGACGAAGAATTTCTGAGCATTGTCTGGCATTTACAACCCATGTTAATTGTGAGGACTCTTGTCATTTTAACTACATTGTTAAACAAAACTTTGGAGAGAAACAGCCATTAAGCTGAATTTCATTTAGACTATCCATAAAACACTGCTAACTGCTACACTTTCATGAAAACATACATTGTGGACTCTCTGATTCTTGTTATGTTGGAAAATAGTCTGAGAGAGGTGACAGCACTGGGCTTCTGCATATTCAGAAGTAAACACACTTAATATTTTTGCAATTTTGTGGACTAAGCCTATACTAGGACTAAATTAACTTTTTCTCTAACTGGATCAAGAGTCCCTTACCAGAATAACTGCACCTTCCTTGAGGAAGGGGGAAAGAATTAATCTATAGTACATATATGTACTTGTAACCAGTTCTGAGTTTTTATTACCCTTGAATCCCAGCCATTGGCCAAGATTTTCTGTTGATTCCCTGGTCAACCAGGCTGTTGCTGTTGGTGACCTACTGACCCACATATCTATTACACATGCACACAAATAAATAATGTGACTGACCAACCATTTTTATCCAGCTAATTCATCTTTAAAATTCTGTAAATTTCCACGATAACCAAAGTATATTTATTATAACAATCTGAAATTTGTTAGTCATTTACGGAAAGTAATTTTTTTGTTGACACTCCGATATGTGGTAAAAAATATGGAGGATATGGAGCATAAAGAGGAGCTTTCGAAAGGAGGCAGGACTAGATTTTAATTTTAACCCTTAAACAGTCCAAACGTATATATACGTTCTCTCGCATAGCGCCCCAAACATATACATGTATATATACGTTTCATTTGTCATTCATTCAACATTGGCACAATAGGCCTGAGTCACCTAGACATGAGAGAATGGGTGTGTGCACTCAAGTGTACGCCATATGAAAAAAATTGGGGACGCCTGGGTAACACATGCTCTTGTTTCCTATAAAATAAAACAATTTTTTTTCTCAAAATATTCGGGGCGCTACGTGAGAGAACGTATATATACGTTTGGACCATTTAAGGGTTAACATTTTAGTATGTGTTTGAATTTTCTATTTTCCATTGCAGACTTTTACACAAAATTTGGTACTGTGCTATGGTATTCACTTAAACAATTATACAGTATTGACAGAACATCTGAATGAAGAATGTTATAAACATGCTATGTAGTAAAAATGTGTTGGAGCAGACTTTTAAGATTTCATGTGTGACTTACAGGCATCATGAGAATCATTAGTCGGAGCTGTGTAGTGAGCTGCTGGCAGAGTGCAGAGGGTGATGTGGGGGCACTCGAGACAACAGACTGGAGCTCTGTGGCCAAATTAACTACAGATGGCTCTCCTCTCCAAAACAACCGAACACCTTCTACGATGATGATTCCACTGGTGTTTAGAACCAGTTCCTGCAATTCCATATGAAAAGTTAACAAAACTATGTATATTTTTCCTCATTAATTCATTTTTCTTCTATTTCACCCATTAATTATTCATACGAGCTAAGCACACTCCGATACAGCAAAATTTCATTTAAATCAGTTACAATATTTCAAATTCATGATCATGAAAACTTATGCATTTTTTATAATCAAAAGTTAAACTTATATCCTGACTCTGAAAATTTGTATACACTAATCACCCTTAACATTTTATTTTCTAAAAGCTGAGAAGCTGGAAATATATTGAGAAGTCTAATATAAAATGAATTAACCTTTTTTGACACCACATCCACCTTCACTTTCTTGAAAAGTTTCTGTTTTTTTTTAAGTTATTTTTGCTACCTAGTTTCAGTTTTTTTTTTAACACGTTGGCTGTTCCCATCAAGGCAGGGTGACCCAAAAGGAAAAAAAAATCCCCACAGAAAGAAAAAACTTTCATCATCATTCACCATTTTCACCCTCATTCATACATAATCACTGTCTTTGCAGAGGCGCTCAGATTTGACAGTTTAAATGTTCCTCCAAACTGCCAATATCCCAAATCCCTCCTTTAAAGTGCAGGCATTGTAATTCTCACTTCTAGGACTCTAAGTCCGGTTAACCGGTTTCCCTGAATCCTTTCGCAAAATATTACCCTGCTCACACTCCAACAGATCGTCAGGTCCCAAAAACCATTCATCTACACTCACTCCTATCTAACATGCTCATGCACACTTGCTGGAAGTCCAAGCACCTCATCCACAAAACCTCCTTTACCCCCTTCCTCCAACCTTCTCGAGGATGACCCCTACCCTGCCTTCCTTTCCCTACAGATTTATACGCTCTCCAAGTCATTCTACTTTGTTGTATTCTCTTTAAATGGCCAAACCACCTCAACACCCCCTCTTCAGCCATCCAACTATTACTTTTAGTAACTCCATACATCCAACTAATTTCCACAGTTTCAAAATATTGCCCTAATATTTATTTAGCACATACATACTGTAATAATTATTTCCATATTATACTGCACATATATCTCTGTAGAGAATATATAAGTGTTGACTGAAACCTAGTAATGCAGAGTATCTCAATCTTACATTGCACTAACACTGTATATTGTATTATAATATTACTATTACTACTACTATTGCTGTGACTATTACTGCTATTGCTATGACTATTACTACTACTATTGCTATGACTGTTACTACTACTATTGCTGTGACTGTTACTACTACAATTGCTATGATTGTTACTACTACTGTTGCTATGATTGTTAATACTACCATTGCTATGACTATTACTACCACTATTGCTGTTACTGTTACTACTACTGCCATTACTTCTAGTATGGTTTCAAGTTGGAAAAATTCAGATTCAGAAAGGATACAGGAAAGCACAAGTTTGGTAACAGAGTTGTGGATGAATGGAACAAACTCCTGAGTACCATCATAGAAGCTAAAACATTGTGTGGTTTTAAAAATAGGTTAGATAAATACATGAGTGGGTGTGAGTTGGACCCAACTAGCTTGTGATAGTGGGTCTGATGCTATGCTCTTTCCTTAAGTGGATGTGACCTGAACCTGACTAGGTTGGGTCAGTGGTTTAAGCTGGTAGGTATGTTCTTATAACAGGCCTCTGGCAAGACAGTGATAGAATGAATGATGGTGAAAGTGATTTTTTCAAGTCACCCTACCATGGTGGGTAACAGCCAGTGTGATAAAAAAATGACAAAGATTTTAAAGTAGTTTTTACAATATACACATACTGACTATCAGTTTACAAGTGTTTCCATTTCAATGTGTGGAAGCAAAGTACTTTAAGAGAATTCACAATCATAAGTAAATATGAAACTTGCAAGTGATGAACTGTATCTCCTTGTAGGATTCTGTAACACTGGTGTTTACTTCCTCCAGGTATTACTAAACATTCTCTCAGCTGTGATATCAAGGAAGCAGATCTTTGAGTGAAATATAAATTTGAAATAGAAGAGCCAAGCTGCATGCCTAATATCAATTATATGACACGGTGCTTCATATGACATGGATGATTATGTCACCCAGTTGTCTACATGACAGTGTACATGTGGAAAAACACACTTCTGTACATTTTTTTCTTTCAACACACTGGCCATATCCCACCGAGGCGGGGTGGCCCAAAAAGAAAAACGAAAGTTCCCCTTTATAAATTTAGTAATGTATACAGGACAAGGGGTTACTAGCCCACTTCTGTACAGTTAAGGACATTAATTAAAGGCAATGTTTCACCACAAGCCACTCGTGACAAAAATGTTGGTTCAGTAAATGTTCTGAACAATACATATACATACGTATATCGTTTTCACTTCTTGATTTTATCAAGATACTCTTTACTTCCAGTGTATATAAATCTCATACAGTATGAGAATTAATGTATTAATGTAATATACTAATGTTAACCCTTTCTCCTGTATATATTACTAAATTTAAAAAGAGCAACTTTCTTTTTCCTTTTTGGGCCATCCTGCCTTGGTGGGATGTGGCCAATTTGTTGAAAGAAGATACTTATATTAAAGGTACAAACACTTTTGAGCTTTTTTCTCATCACTGATTAGATACATACATGGAGACTGGCAAACACATCATGGAGAGCAGACACAGCTTGTATAACAGGTGTCTCTTGGGGATAGGTTGGAGGGGAATGTGTGGTGAGGAGAGTCACCAGTTCCACCATCCCACCCAGGGTTACCATGCTCTCACGTAACCACCAGAGTCCTCCAATTGTGAGGTCCACAAGGCCCTCCCCAGTGCCAGCAGCAGTCTTGTCTGCACGTAACCTAAAAGGGAAAACATGTAATTATTATTAATAATAGCAGTTGGAGTGTGAGCAGGGTAACATTTTAAGGGACTCAGGGAAACTGGTTAGCCAGACATGAGTCCTGGAGTACCTGCACTATAAAGGAGGTCATTGGGATATTTGCTGTTTAGAGTGACATATAAACTGTTGTACCTGTGTGCCTCTGGCAAGACAGTGATAGTATTAATGATGGCGAGCGTGTTTCTGTTTCTGGTCACCCTGTCTCAGTGGAGGATGGGCAGCATGTTGAACAAAATAATAGCAGTGAGAGAGGAGTATGTTCTTGGTGCGAATACAAGGTGAATAAAGAAATAATTTACGATATTGGAATATGTTTTGACAGCTTCTCAGCTGTCCTCTTATCTTCTGACTCTTAAAAAATTCACTCAAATATATCTCTTTACTGCTTAAAATAATCCTCTGTTCAACATAATTACCATATATGATCACAGTACACATTCCTGTCTTATCAAATACAAATTTTCACATCACACTTCTAACCAAAAAATAAGCAGTCTGATTTTCTTTTAACATGCTTGTCATCTCCTACCGAGGCAGGGTGACCCCAAAAAAGAAACACTTTTTTGACTTTATCCTCTTATAACCCCATATGCTCCTCAGACTGCCCACCTCCACTGCTATAATTAAATTACACAATAAATAATAAACTGCAAACACACCTGGCACTGGTAAGTTGTGTAAGGGAATTGAGGAGAGCACATGTTACAGCTGCCACTCCTGATATCCCATGATCATTTACTAGTGCAGAAATAGATCGTGATGTCTCTTGTACCGTATTAACAACCATCACTCTGTCGTTCAGGCCCTCAGCTCGCATTCTTTCATAAACCTGGTTGTAAAATGCATTTTTATAACTGAATATCCCTTTGAAACATATAACAGATCTTGCATTTAAAATACAACTGCATTAATTAAAAGAAAGCTACAGTGTGATTGAGATGTATCAAGACATCAACTGGATTAAGCAGCAGCAGCAGCAGCAGCAGCAGCAGAAGCAGCAGCAGCAGCAGCAGCAGAAGCAGAAGCAGCAGCAGCAGCAGAAGCAGCAGCAGCAGCAGCAGAAGCAGCAGCAGCAGCAGCACAGCAGCAGCAGCAGCAGCAGCAGCAGCACAGCAGCAGCAGCAGCAGCAGCAGCAGCAGCAGCAGCAGCAGCAGCAGCAGCAGCAGCAGCAGCAGCAGCAGCAGCAGCAGCACAGCAGCAGCAGCAGCAGCAGCAGCAGCAGCAGCAGCAGCAGCAGCAGCAGCAGCAGCAGCAGCAGCAGCAGCAGCAGCAGCAGCAGCAGCAGCAGCAGCAAGCAGCAGCAGCAGCAGCAGCAAGCAGCAGCAGCAGCAGCAGCAGCAGCAGCAGCAGCAGCAGCAGCAGCAGCAGCAGCAGCAGCAGCAGCAGCAGCAGCAGCAGCAGCAGCAGCACAGCAGCAGCAGCAGCAGCAGCAGCAGCAGCACAGCAGCAGCAGCAGCAGCAGCAGCAGCAGCAGCAGCAGCAGCAGCGCAGCAGCAGCAGCAGCAGCAGCAGCAGCAGCAGCAGCAGCAGCAGCAGCAGCAGCAGCAGCAGCGAGCAGCAGCAGCAGCAGCAGCAGCAGCAGCAGCAGCAGCAGCAGCAGCGCAGCAGCAGCAGCAGCAGCAGCAGCAGCAGCAGACAGCGCAGCAGCAGCAGCAGCAGCAGCAGCAGCAGCAGCAGCAGGCAGGAGCAGCAGCCAGCAGCGGTGATGACAAGAGTGGTGGTAATAGTAGTGATGAATTATTTAAGTAATATGAATGGGTTTTAAGCAGACATGAAATGTTTGATTTTAATTACAATAATTAATTTAACAACTGCATGTAGTGCTACATAACTTACTCACGTGTAATCAAAATGGTAGATATAAGTAAAAATAGTGAGATAATATTAGTCTGTACAGTACAGTATTTAGAAAACAACATCATTTGAATAACAAAACAAGAAGAAATTCAGACCAATTTTGGAACACCAAAAAGAATTAGATACAAAAAATTCCGTTTTTTTTTTTTGTGATGTCTTACTTTAAATGAAAAGTCTCAGTTGCAGCATGTGACCAGTGTGATGTATGGTGTAAGACAAACCTTTTGTATTTGGGAGGTAATTTGCAGGGCTTTGTTGTGAAGCTCCATGTCAATACTGCACACCAGGCTGACAGTGCTGCTTTCTGAGGCATCTGTGTGGCTCTTGCTAATTATCATCTGAGCACTAAAAAACAAAACAAAACAAGAAAAAAGCTTTTAATGGCTGTTATATTTATTACAGTTTATGAAGTGGATGGATAACAGAGATAATAAAAAGAATATGAGGGAATTTGACAGCGAAGTGCTTAAGCCTTGGCAGTAACACCCAACATGAGAAAATTATGCTGTACTGATATGTATCAACCAAATCTGTATTACTGCCTTAACTTGCAATGGGAAATCCAAACTTTAGTGGCATGCCCTCTAGGGCACATTTGTAATTGTGTCATTACGATTTCTTGAGTCATGATGACAGTTTTGAGGGGACTTAAGCTAGAGTTTATCACAGCCATGCTGGTGGAAGATTCATCTGTAAAAACTTGTATTTATGGTCACAATGGTGCCTATGCTAACCTTCCTATGGTGTATAAATATACCTAGTTGGGTGAATCTTATTGTAGCCAGCTGGCCCAGCAGCTAACATGCTGGTCTGGAGTTTTACGACTCACTAGCTGCAAGTTCAATCTCTACCCGTACCATGGTTTGTATAAAAAAGTCCCTGTTATATTTCATTATTCTTGAGTTGAATAGAATCTGTTACAGCACTAACACTGCCATACTGTTCAACACTTAAACTGCTGTACTGTTCTTAAACTGTGCAGAGTAAAACTATGTGAATGGTACAGTTTATATATATATATGCAAGCTCTTAACTCATAAGTTATGTAGTACATTATTTTAAGTACACTATAAGGACTTCTCACAGTACTGATTCCTTGGCCTATACCTGGATTATTACTAATATTTCATTATTATTGCTGCACTTCAAGTTGATTTGCCTTACCAAAATTTGTCAGTTTCCAAATATGGCCTCACAGAACCAACAACAGGCACAGTTTCTTTTATCATCATCAGCACTTCACAGTATATATATATTTTTAAACCTTTAAGTATTGTATCTTAACTCATTCTTGTTAATTTTTACAAATGCTTTGTTGTGGCTTCCAGGAACAAATCTCCATAATTGCAAAACACAATTCACAAATAACCTGCACTTAGAATATGTAATGTGTCAGTCTGTTTTGGTCCAGCATCAAATCACTTGTGGGAGATTAGGTTTTTCTATACTGTTTTATTTTCTCTAAATTTTTTGTCTTTTTTCCACAGATTACTTACTTATTTAGAGAGAAATCTTGGAGAAGAGATGCAAGCCACACCAGTTGTTGTGAGAGGCGGTGGCGTGTTAAGTGGTCCGCAGGGTAATTGACCCATACACCACCATATTTAATCAAGAGGTCAAGACTGCTACCAAGGACACCTTGCACCTGGTTTACAACTTTACCTAACTCAACTTTAAAAAAAATGAGGGAAATTAAATACATTACATTAAAAACATAATGATCAAAATATACTTACAGTAGCGACAGAATTTATTAGTTGTTAGTGGTATCCATTAAATTTTAAGAAGTCAAATTATATGACCACTTTAGAACTTTATTTCTGTTATTTTTTTCATATAAAATACATCTCTGGTTGTCTTAAAACTTATCAGCCCCAACTGTGAATACTTTATATCAAACACTTTTTTCAAAACATACAACTGAGTTGAGTGAATAGATTTGCATCATAATGATACAATTATTTTCTCATCTCTTTGCTTCTAATTTTCAGAATACCCTCTTTATTATAAATTAATTACTTTGCAAATATGGCCTAGTTTTAAAACATAATGGAGAATTAATGATAATCCATCAAGCATAGAAAGTATATGGTTCAAAAGATCAGAGAATACAAAAAACTGAAACCAACCTTCTGTATGTTCACACTGTGTAGCCAACTGGCCCTGACCAGCCTTGGTCAGAAACTCATTCACCGGAGCCATACTGGCCTGAAGGTTACCCATACTGCTAACCTTAGCACGCCATTCCCCCGCTTGTCCACTTTCAAAAACTCGTGCAGCTGTCTAAAAATTTGGAACAAGCATACGTGTATAAAAATCCTATGTATATCTTTATGCTTCTCTTCCACTAAAAACAACTCCATTATTAATGGAGGTCTGCTACATGCAGATTTATTTTTTATATCTTAAATACAATGAAATTTTTTGGAAACTTAAAACAGTACCTAAAATTTTGACCAAAGAATTCAACATCAATTTTGATAATGAAAATGATGTAGCTGTTAGCTCATTGCAGCCAAGAGGCTGGTGCTGATGCAAGTTGCTTATATTGAGAAATAATACCCTTTATTGAATGGTTACAGTAAATTATTATTTTTATATTCATGAGGAAGCACTCAGATGTTAAAGGTCATACAATGCCTAGAGAATGGGAGGTAATCAGATCTGAACCAGATTCATTACCAGAATATTCAACATTTGTATAAATGCACTTCTTTCTTTCTTCTTTCAACACACCGGCCGTATCCCACCGAGGCGGGGTGGCCCAAAAGGAAAAACGAAAGTTTCTCCTTTTACATTTAGTAATATATACAGGAGAAGAGGTTACTAGCCCCTTGCTCCCGGCATTTTAGTCGCCTCTTACAACACGCATGGCTTACGGAGGAAGAATTCTGTTCCACTTCCCCATGGAGATAAGAGGAAATAAACAAGAATAAGAACTAGAAAGAAAATAGAAGAAAACCCAGAGGGGTGTGTATATATATGCTTGTACATGTATGTGTAGTGTGACCTAAGTGTAAGTAGAAGTAGCAAGACGTACCTGAAATCTTATAAATGCACTTATGGGAAAGTAAATGATTGTTAAAATCACAAGAATGAGTAAATACAGTAAAATTATCAGTTACTAGCCTTCATGTACTGTCTATTATCTATTTTTCCCTAATAATTTACTCCTGCTAAACAATAAATACAGAGAGGTCATCAAAAATACACTGCAATTTTTCAACGAGGTCATCGCAAAAGTGTTAATAGATCGTGTGTTAAAAGATAGTCTACATCATAATAACATAGAGTGATGATTGAGATATAATTCCCAGATAGTTAGAAATAAGAAGATATTTTTCTTTCTCACCAATACAGTGTGTGCCACTGTTTCACTTCCAAGATGCGAGCATTGACAAGATCTTTGGCACGATCAATTGACTTCTTCACCACTGAGTATTCTTCATAGCGTGGACGCAGACTATATAAAGTATGCTGTGGGTTGGCTTCAGCTTCCTGTCAGAAAGAAAGTACAAAGAGAGATAAATAGCATAAGATACACTTATGATGCAGTAATATTGTTATTATTAGGGAAAGGGACACTAACTGCCTGAACACACATTTCTGCAACTGATGTTTGCAATAATTTTTTTTTGAACTCTGCAACCCTGTATTTATCACATATAGCAACATGCTTCATGATTTAACTGAAAATACATAGTACTTCAAACAGAAAGCATACATAATCTACAGTATTTCCTTTGTATAATAGGATGCTACCCAAGGCAGACAGTTCCTTTAAAAACACAAATATTCTGTACAGAGTATATTACCTTGAGCACAGCCATAAGGTGGTGACCGTCCTGTAAGTTGGCTTCTGCTTTGGCAAGTAGTTCATGAGATGTGAGCCATTCACCAAGACTGACTTCCACCTCTGGGATGGCATGTAACACCTCCAATCTGAAAGGAAATGGATAACAATTTTAACAAATAATTCAGTAAATGATGATGAAGGAAAATATGAAGCTCAAATAATCAATCTTTTTTCTTCGGCAACATTTACTTAATGTATTTACATTTCTTACTTTTTACTCGCAGGTTTCTCGTAAGTTTAAATTATTATTCATCAGTTATTGATGAATGCCTATTTTCATTTCTGTTTATATGTCAATACTCCATTCATGGGTTTCACTCACAATCCTTTTAATTTCAGAATTAAATCTATATTTCTTCTAATATTCCTGCTCCATCAACTAAGCAATGACATAATGAAAGTGAATTCCATACATGGATTAAAAAATAGATATGATAAAGCTCAATTATATCAGTCAGTTGAAAGTTAAGAGGGAAGATAGAATGCTAGCCTCTGGCAGACTTAAATGGGTAATCACTAAGAGATATTTACTTGTCTTTCACAAACAATATTTTCAATACTCCTTCACAACAAGAACTAACACAAGTACGCATATAACAGAGGCATTTTTTTTTTAATTTTTAACACACTGGCTGTCTCCCACCAAAGCAGGGTGACCTGAAAAAGAAGAAACACTTTCACTTTCCCTCACTCCATCACTTTCTTGCCAGAGGCATACCAATACTACAGCTTAGATGCTCTTCCAAACTGTAATATTCCCATTCCACCTCTAGAGTACAGGCACTGTACTTCCCACCTCCAGGACTCAGGTCTGGAAAACTGGTTTCCTTGAATCCCTTCGTAAATGCTACCTTGCTCAAAAATAATATATAGTATTGCATATCATTACTGTACTGCATCAGAAAAACTTTCAAAACATTAATTTTTCTTTTTTTTTTACAAACTTTAGCTAAAAACTACAAAGTGAGCTTACTTGTTAGCAATCCAGTCAGCCTTCATCTCTGCCATTCTAACAGCAAACATACTGAGGGTGAGGCCACGTTCCAGTTGCTGTCGGCTCTGCCTTGCTCCCGATACCAATGCCTGGTCACCACCATACACAGCACCTGGAAGATAATAAAGTTAAAGATAATAATAAATATTCTTGCACCAGTAATACAAGATTTATACACCAGTAATTTGAGATTTATAGTCTGCTATGAATGAACTATAAATTAAGAGTATTTTAAATTCTTACCAGCATATCCTGATTCACTGTCTGGTGTCCAGTCAACTAGAGGGTCATAAATGAATGCTTCCAAAAGGGTGAGAAGAGTTTCTCTTCCACGGCGCATAGTACGCAGCACTTGCTCACATGCATTTCTGAAGACACCCTGAGGTGCAATATGAAAAAAGTTGTCACAAAAATTGTAAAAAAAGAAATGCTTTTATTACAAATTCAACCACCATTATTATTCCATAGTCTCAGCTTCTAAACGTTTTTTTTTTTTTTTGTTTCAGACCCAAACCCCTGAATTGTGAATTACAAACTCTTTGGGTTAGTCCAAGACAAATCAGTTAACATCAATGCTGTGAAGTAAGTTCATGTGCACTATTTTATTTTTTCTGTATCACTATCTACACCTGATCTACATGCTGGTGAATGTTCAGATGCAGAATAAAGTGAAAGGGAATGAAAAAACTCAAAGTAACACAGTCAGGGTGATTGAAATGCCTCTAAACATTAATAATAATTAATAAAATAGCATGAAATTATGATGATTATTATTATACTGATGAAGCACTAAACCCATAAGGGTCATACAGTGCCTGAAGATAGAGGGGGGAGGTGGGAGGGTAATCAGATGTAATCCAATTTAAATTTACTGCCTAGAATTACTGACCTCAGTTCCAGTTACTCCTAGTGCTGCTTCTATGTTATGAGTCATCCGGAAGGGAACTTTCTCTGGGACACGGAGATTTTTTCCTTTTTCAAAGCATACATTATAGTCAATGTGGACCACCTGAAGGTAACATTTCATTCAATAAGTAAAAAATTTACTTTTCAAAATATTCTGTCTGTGAACTCACAAATGCATGCATACACTCACGAGTGGAACACATTATGAGAGAAAATGCTGTAGTCAATAACAGCATGTGATTTAAATGTTTTTTAGTTCTAGCATTTTTAAACAAAGCTCAGTTTCCGAGCTTAGCCTCTCCTTCAATGCTGTTCTAATTTTTTCCCAGTCACTTAATTAATTTAGTTTCTACTGCACCAAAAGTTTTTTTTTTATATCATACTCCAATGTCTTATGATATGGATTTTTTAAAATGACTCTGCAATCTTCCCAGTAAAAATCTGAATATTTTATTAAACCCTATATTGCAATGAGTATGGCTGTGATAGTGAAGTCTATTCCAGCCAGGAAAGTTAAAAATCCACCTCAGGTGGATGTGACTGAACCTAATATACACCAGGAAACAATTTCAATGCAAAACATTTACTGTATCTATAAAAAATTTTTTTAGAATAAACTATTAACAAAATTGTAACTTACCTCTCCTGAAGTAAGATTTACTAGTACATTATCTAAATGTCTATCTCCCAAGCCAATGATGTAACCAATGATGGACATAACAGCTGTTGAGATGGAATAGGTCTGTGTCAGGTGCCACCAATCTCCCGCACTTACGCTGCACATCCATAGTTCTCTATATTACAATACATGATTAGGTTAAACAAGTAAACACAGTCTGTATTTCACTGTCAAAATTAAAAGAAAATATCAGTAAGACAAAATAATTAAATTTTAACTGAACACTTAATCACAGTACAGTAGTTTGAGAACAATAAATTATGTCTAACTTATTTTAGTCACTTATGCATCTTCAAAGAATGTTTTTAATATCTCACTTATATACAACGTATTGCAAGAAAACTAAGCAATAAAAATCAACAAGACAGTGTAGCTCACCTAGACAGCAAATTTGAGGGAGTTTCTTTGATAAGGTCTTTGAGAACATCTCGCATTATAGCCAAGGGCCACTCTTTTCTATTGTCTAAACTAATTCCAGCCTCTCGCAGACGAGGAGTGAGCTTACTATAGTACAACTCTGATGGCCGAGGAACCTGTGGTGGAGCTGTAAATAATAAAATTAAATCATAAATATTAAAATTTATGAGTTCTGGTTTTCTCCTAATTTCATTGTTAGTTACTTTGTAAATGGTCCCAGTTAGACCAAAATGTTGTCAAAAGCTTCTCTCTTCTATGTGTGGGTTATTTGTGTATTGTTTAGTGAGTTAGTGAATGATTAACCCTTAAACTGTCCAAACGTAGATCTACGTTCACTCGCGTAGTGCTCCAAACGTAGATCTACATTTTTTTTTTTACATGCTTTCAACTGGAGAAAATCAAGGCCGGAGCGCTACACACATAAACGTAGATCTACATTTGGACAGTTTAAGGGTTAAGATTACTATCAAAATAACGAGAAGGGACTACTTTGTCTTATTTCTGCCATTTTCTTACTAAAATGCTTTAATCATGTCTAACACACAGAAATTTATTGCCGGTAGAGTACTCAGCTCACATACCAAGGGCCCATGGTTCGATCTCATATTTACTTACGCTTGTTGTCCCTGTTCACCTAGCAAGAAGTAGGTACCTGGGTGTTAGTCGACTGTTGTGTGTCGCATCCCACAGGCATTAGCATGCCTGGGCTTTAAAATGAGATGAGGTAGGATAACAGCTCTTAGCCTGTAAAACTGATGTAAATAAAGAAAATACTTAGAATTTTACACCAGTAAAAGGCAGCAATAACACAAAGCAGCCCCCCCCCCTCCCTCCTCTCTCTCTCTCTCTTTTTTTTTTTTTTTTTTTTTACACAGGGTTTGACAAGGTTAAGGATCCCTAGCTTTATTGACAGCTATTTACAGGTTAAGGATTCCTAACTTTATTGGCAAGCTAAGAGCTGTTACCTACATCAGCTCATTTGAAAGCATTTTTATTGTTATGAGGCATACAAGTAGGGAACAGGATGAAGTTGGAGCCATCTGTGGGCCAGCATTTTCATTTGATCAACTGACTTTATCTCGTTGACATCATTATGCTGTACGAATGTGTTCCATACTCGAGTCATCCTGGGTATGTATGATCTCAGATGGAGTGATGTTCTGGAGAAGGGTACAGCCAGAGTGAAGTTGCTGCTTTCTGCCAGTCTTGTGGCATAAAAGCTTGCTTCACGCTGTCCTCGAAGTGGATCCAAGTGTGGTATTTTGACAATATTGGCCTTGTACATAACAGTAAGGCCACCCACATCCCTCCTATGTTGAAGGCTCTGCTGAAATGACAGATCTATCCAGGATGGGTCCAGGTGAGAGATGAGACGTCTTGCTCTGTTCTCTACTCTGTCAAGCAGTCGCAGATGAGAGGGGGGGCAGGCAAACCAAGAAAGTGGAGCATACTCAAGGTGTGAGCGTACTTGTGCCTCGTACAGGATCTTGCAACCCCTACTGTCAAGCAGATGTGAGTACAGTGATTGCTATAAGCTTCCTGCTGCTTGTTTGCAGATTACAAACGGTATGTCATGGGTATTTGGAGCAATTTCATGTCCAAGGACTTTACTCTTGCTCCATGCTGCAACATCCTCCATTCATCCTACATCATCCGGGTATGTAATTCAGATGAGGTGCTTGGAGAGGACGCCAGAGTGAAGTTGCTGCTTTGCAAAGTTCTTGTGCATTAAAGCTTTTCACAAGCTTCCTGAAGTGGTCCAGTGTGGTATTTTGACAATATTGGCTCCTTGATAAGAAGTCAGGTCACCACATCCCTCCTATGAGGCTCTGGGTGAAATGAAGAAGTCTTCGGATGGGTCCAGGTGAGAGAATGGACCCGCTCTTCCTTTACTCTTGCCAATGATGCCTTGAGGGGGGCGTCAAACCAAGAATGGACACTTCAGGAGCGTACTTGTCTCGAAGGATCTTGCAAGCCCCTCAATCCAGTGTTGAAGTTTTGGTAAGAAGTTCCTGGTGCCCCGTTGTTAACAGCATTCAACATGGTTCTTCATGTTAGTTTGAGTGCAATTTCACCCAGATTCAACTGTGCCCTTAGTGGAGCGTTAAACCTCATTCCTTACTACTGCATCACCTTTCCTAACCATGTTGAGTCCATAGAGACGTATCATTTGCGATTTCTCAGTGCAAATGTTACTTCCATCTATTTCCCAAGCTCAGTTATCTCTCGCTCGTGTAGTTTAGCTTAAGCTCAGATTTCTCTCTTGTCATCAGTTTCATACAGTTTCTCTTCAGTCATATCTATGAGATGAGTCGTTGAAGTGACATTCCATAACAATGGACCCAGTCTTCCTTGTGACCTTGCCCAATAGCTTCTGCTCTTCCTCTGGCTTCACTTGAGTCTACCATAGTATCTCTTCCTCTCTCCAGAGCCTCATTCTCATGCCTTGAGTTTTCTAAGGTCCTGGTGCCACCCCCGGTCAAAGCCTCTTCCTCGTCTCTCCACAGCTCTTTCTCATCCAGTCTGTGCCTCTAGTGAGAGGTTCTCTAACAACAGACTCACAGGTTCCTTTCTAGTCCATCTTCTCGCTCACAAGTCGTGTCTTTCAGTCCTCTCTCAGTCTCTCTCTCAGTCTCTAGCTCAGTCTCTAGTCTCAGTCTCTCTCTTCTCTCAGTCCTCTGTCTTCTCTCTCTCTCTCTCTTCTCTAGTCTCTCTCTCTCCAGTCTCTCTCTTCTCTCAGTCTCTCTCAGTCTCAGTCTCTCTCTCTTCTCTGTCTCTCTCTCTCTCTTCTCCTCTCTCTCTCAGTCTCTCTCTCTCTCTCTTCTCTCTCTCTTCTCTGCTTGCTGCCATCTTCTCCTCTTTCTACCAAGATTTACTCTCTTTGTGAAAAATCTTTTTTGAGGGTCACCCCACTGTGGTAGTGTGACCCAAAAAAAGAAGAAATACCCCTACCATCACTCATTCCATCACTGTCTTTCCAGAGGTGTGCTGATACTACAGTTCAAAACTGCAAATATCCCCACCCCTCTTTCAGAGTGCAAGCACTGTACTTCCCAATAAATATAATTCTTTGAAAAAAAAAAAAACCTGCCTCACATTATACTGATTTCCAGAAGGCTGTTTTAAGACATCCAGGAGAAGTGTTCACTAACAGGCTAATTTCCTATTCGACAGATGGAACACAGCAATCCAAACCTGACACTTGATTATATAACATTAATCAGGATTAACAAAACTTCTGCAATCTTGATGTCTAACTTGATAAATGAAGATGAAACTGTAGATAATGAACAAACCTTGAGGATGGATTGAAACAGCAGACGAATGTATTTTGAGGAGCACTGCATGAGCTTCCCGCTGTTGCCACCGCTTGTATAAGCCAAACAATGGTGTAGCACTGCCTACCCACTGGATAAGTCCTGATCTTGGCCCAAGAGGCACCACTGAATAATAGCGAGCACGGTAAACACAATCTTTACCTCTGAAAAGAGAGTTGTTGTATCAAATAAATTTAGCAGTACATTATAGTTCAACAAAAACAAATTACAGATGAAAGTACTCAGAGTACAGCTCTCACATGATAAAATTTAATATAAAAGTTAAAACTGTATTAAATAGCCTCTATGGTATTAAATAACATTATGTACACAAGTCAAGAATTAATTTTGCATTCACTTATGACAACTACTCATTAACTAACATGAAAGCACTTCCATCATCTACTAATGAGTGAGAATTCTCGAAATGGCTGGTAGCTGACATTTTTACACATTCCTTGTGCTCGGGTGAGTACATTGCAGTATACCCAGGAAATATTCTGGTCTAGCATATTTTATCTTTTTAATTGTAAATTTATGTACCAATCATATACATGCACAAATCATAACCAAATACAGGTCCACATTCCTTTATCCAAAACCCTTGGGGCCAGTAGTGTTTCGAATTTTGGAATTTTTCGAATTTCAGAATGAAGGTGGGGTCTAGGGCAGCACCCCATAATCAAACTTTAACAATGCAGCAAAAATGTATGAATACTCATACTAAGTGGGATAAATAGACTACAAATACTACTACCGTTTATTTATAGAGTAATATATTGATAAATGAAATAATGGGATAATTATAGACCAGGAACATGAGTCTCAAGATGACTGACAGATGGCATGTGGAGCAGTTCTCCAGGAACAATAAAATTTTACAGTTTACTTCTAGTCCAGCTTGCCTGCAATGAGCTCGTGCAGCTGGTACAAAGTGGTTATTGAACCAGTCAGAAAACATTTCTGCATTATTAATAACGTCAGACGCTTCCTTTTTATTTTCTCACTATTACCCATAGGGGTATCTGCAGCTTTTTGACATTTTTACAGTAAAATTAAACTTTTTTTTTTTTTTTTTTAACAAGTCAGCCGTCTCCCACCGAGACAGGGTGACCCAAAAAGAAAGAAAATCCCCAAAAAGAAAATACTTTCATCATCATTCAACACTTTCACCTCACTCACACATAATCACTGCTTTTGCAGAGGTGCTCATAACACAACAGTTTAGAAGCATATACGTATAAAGATACACAACATATCCCTCCAAATTACCAATATCCTGAAACCCCTCCTTTAGAGTGCAGGCATTGTACTTCCCATTTCCAGGACTCAAGTCCAGCTATAAAAATAACCGGTTTCCCTGAATCCTTTCACTAAATATTACCCTGCTCACACTCCAACAGATCGTCAGGTCCCAAATACCATTCGTCTCCATTCACTCCTATCGAACACGCTCACGCACTCCTGCTGGAAGTCCAAACCCCTCGCCCACAACACCTCCTTTACCCCCTCCCTCCAACCTTTTCGAGGACGACCCCTACCCCGCCTTCCTTCCCCTATAGATTTATATGCTTTCCATGTCATTCTACTTTGATCCATTCTCTCTAAATGACCAAACTACCTCAACAAACCCTCTTTAACCCTCTGACTAATACTTTTATTAATTCCACACCTCCTAATTTCCACACTCCGAATTTTCTGCATAATATTTACACCACACATTGCCCTTAGACAGGACATCTCCACTGCCTCCAGCTGTCTCCTCACTGCTGCATTCACAACCAAAGCTTCACACCCATATAAGATTGTTGGTACTACTATACTTTCATACATTCCCTTCTTTGCCTCCATAGATAACATTTTTTGCCTCTACATATACCTCAATGTGCCACTCACCTTTTTTCCTTCATCAATTCTATGATTAACCTCATCTTTCATAAATCCATCTGCTGACACGTCAACTCCCAAATATCTGAAAACATTCACTTCTTCCATACTCCTCCTCCCCAATTTGATAACCAATTTTTCTTTAAATCATTTGACACCCTCATCACCTTACTCTTTTCTATGTTCACTTTCAACCTTTACACACACTCCCAAACTCGTCCACTAACCTTTGCAATTTTTCTTTAGAATCTCCCATAAGCACAGTATCATCAGCAAAAAGCAACTATGTCAATACCCATTTTGTATTCGGTTCCCCAAAATTTAATCCGACCCCTCTCCTGAACACCCTAGCATTTACCTCTTTTACAACCCCATCTATAAATATATTAAACAACCCCATCTATAAATATATTAAACAACCATGGTGACATTACACATCCCTGTCTAAGATCTACTTTTACTGGGAAGTAGTCTCCCTCTCTTCTACACACCCTAACCTGAGCCTCACTATCCTCATAAAAACTCTTTACAGCATTTAGTAACTTACCACCTATTCCATATACTTGCAACATCTGCCACATTGCTTCCCTATCCACTCTATCATATGCCTTTTCTAAATCAATAAATGCAAAATATCAGTGAACAGCAGACGCATGTGTGAACACTACAAACGCTGAGACACAACTGACACCTGCCACTCTGGCTGTCAGTGCTGGGTCACATCGCCACGTGGCGGCGTTGGAGTTATGTAGAGATGACTGATGCTCCACACTCATTGAAAAAACTTTCTTAACTTTTCGAATTTCAGAATTTCGGATAAAGGAACGTGGACATGTACCAATTATATTCATGCACCAATAACATCCAAAAGCATTTTGTTAAAATAAAAACACTCTCCATCTCTCAGTATTTGTTAATTTTTTCTTTAAATAGAGGAGCTTTTGAAGGCAGAAGTTTGGCCAAATAACTTTACTGAGGAAAAAAAAATGAAATGTTCAGGAACTAAGGTAATTAAAAATCAACACTAACTGATGTACAATTCCAATTATTTTAATTTCCTTGAAAGGCTTGACAATCCTAGTCAACCTATATGGTCAAAAATGGACAAATTTATACAATCACTCAATTTCAATCCCTGGTGGTTAAAATGCAAACAAAAGAATGTTCAGTCTCTTGTTTCCTGGTACAGTATTTCTTACTAGTCGAGCAGTAATGATTCTTCTAATTAATATTCTGGCTCCTCTCATTATACATTATAACCTGCAACTTCCACATTATTGTTTTATTCACAGAAAATGCATTAAGCCCACATAAATCATTCAGTGCAACTTAAAACATCCATAAATCTTCCACCAAGGCCCTATTAATCTTTTAAGCAGGCTTCAGCACATTCTCTAAAATTATAATATAATTTTCTAGGTCTGCTGAATATCATTCTCTTTATTTTTTTCTTACCTCTGATTTTTGGCCAACATGGTATTAACAATTTCAAGAAACTGCATGATCCTCTCATCCAGATGAAGATCCTCCAACCCCTTAAACAAGTAAGTGTATCTGGAAAAAATAAAATGAAAAAGGCAACATAAGAATAAGAATGGAGGAACACTGCAGAAGTTCTACTTGCCCATACAAGACAGGTCCTTCTTAAAACCAACCATTCCTACCAACCTAATTGTTGAACCTTTTCCAAAAGCTACCTAAGAATTTGCTTCAATACCTCCGGTACATAAGAACAAAGGCATGACATGGGCCTCTGTAACATGGCCACATAAAAGTTATTTAAATTTGGCATAGACTGATTATAAACAACATGAATCATACATACAGTGAGTGCACTGCAGCTAAATCCTATTATGTACTCTATGAATCATACATACAGTGAGTGCACTGCAGCTAAATCCTATTATGTACTCTATGAATCATACATACAGTGAGTGCACTGCAGCTAAATCCTATTATGTACTCTATTTAAATCTGGTCCTCAACACTGCTCTGTAATCCATAACTAACCCACATATTGAGAATAAAGAGAAATGATGCTCCGGTTTGTCCTGGTCTATCTAGGACATCTTGAAACATAGTCTAGTTTCATCTCCAATTTGTGAATTGCAAACTGTTTCAGCCAAGGTATTGTGACTTATTCTTACATGGAATCAGATTACTATAGACTAGAATCAGAGTACCATAGAGGCTTATTAAGTAAAATTTAAATTTGATACTATAATTAAACATACTTACTTCTTGCCATCAGAACCCTGGAAGCTAAGCTTCTTGGGCTTTGTCTTTGTGGGAAGGATAGAGATATTTCCATCAACAGCTGCCACAGTAACAACCTGAAAGATTGTTGGAATAAATAATGATTTATAGTACATTTTTCAATACACATGTACGTATTAGATATTTTCTACCAAAGTAGGGTGATCCAGACAGAACTACATGTATATGTAAAGAAAATTAAGACAGGGGTCCTTCACAGCCTACAATTACTCTTTCTACTTTATTGAGATACAGTATTGCATTTTGCACTCCTATGCAATGTCATATTTATACAGCCTCTTCAAAGCTAATTTATCCTTCCACAACGTGAGATGTTTCTTGATACTTCCCATTCATTATCATATTCTGTAATTCCACTCATCCTCTGTCTTTGTGGGCTAAATCTACAAAGAATTTCTACATAAAGAAAGCATTATTTTCTCTACAATCTCGTGACCAATACCCTTAGGTACAGAATGATGATTGCGGTCTGTCCTTACAGTAAAAGTCATAGACTTATTTACTGCTCTGATTCATTTGGTTCCAGATTTATATGTTGGTCTGCTATGCACAAATTCTGATCTGCTTTTTGACTGCCAATTTTATGAGATGAATCTGTAGTCCATGAAGTATTTTCAGATATTTTATTTGCCAGGTCACCAACTGGACAAGACCCGGACCAGGACAATACCGGCGAACTGCATCAAATTGAATTTTATGTTTGGAGTGCAATAATTTCAAATGTACTGGAGGGAATAATATACTATATGTAATAAAACATATATTGTGAGGATAGGCTTTGTTTTGTTTACAATTAATGCCAGTATTACAAAGCAAGTTATCTAAAAATTAAACATAACATAAACTCAAAGAAATCTGTAAACTATTCTACAGTAATATATAAAAGCAATAAAATACTCCTCACATTCAAGGGACTTACGCTATGGGAACTTAAAAAAATTAGAAGCTAATAGGGCCACACTCAAAGATAATTTGAACACTAGGACATTAGATTAGCTAGGATTTAAAAAAAAAAATCTTACTTGTTGACTGGCAGACACCACACCAGGCATGGCAATCTTGGTGTTGTGAAGGTTGGCTAATTTGGGTGACACATCAAGCATCTTCAGATTAGATGAAGCTCTTCGATGAGCTCTTTGTTGAAGCATCTGTCAAAAAAAAATAAATAAATAAATATTCAAGATATCATGTACAACTCTGGCTTTAATAATTCTAATTCATTATCAACATTTTTCTTAATTCTAAATTATTATTATTATTATTATTATTATTTTTTTTTTTTTTCAACAAGTCAGCTGTCTCCCACCAAGGCAGGGTGACCCAAAAAGAAAGAAAATCCCCAAAAAGAAAATACTTTCATCATCATTCAACACTTTCATTGTCTTTGCAGAAGTGCTGAGAACACAACAGTTTAGAAGCATATACGTATAAAGAGACACAACATATCCCTTCAAACTGCTAATATCCCGAAACCCCTCCTTTAGAGTGCAGGCATTGTACTTCCCATTTCCAGGACTCAAATCTGGCTATATAAAAATAACCGGTTTCCCTGAATCCCTTCACTAAATATTACCCTGCTCACACTCCAACAGATCGTCAGGTCCCAAATACCATTCGTCTCCATTCACTCCTATCAAACACGCTCATGCACGCATGCTGGAAGTCCAAGCCCCTCGCCCACAAAACCTCCCTTACCCCTTCCTTCCAACCTTTTCGAAGACGACCCCTACCCCGCCTTCCTTCCCCTACAGATTTAAATGCTCTCCATGTCATTCTACTTTGATCTATTCTCTCTAAATGACCAAACCACCTCAACAACCCCTCTTCAGCCCTCTCACTAATACTTTTATTAACTCCACACCTTCTCCTAATTTCCACACTCTGAATTTTCTGCATAATATTTACACCACACATTGCCCTTAGACAGGACATCTCCACTGCCTCCAACCGTCTCCTCACTGCTGCATTCACAACCAAAGCTTCACACCCATATAAGATTGTTGGTACTACTATACTTTCATACATTCCCTTCTTTGCCTCCATAGATAATGTTTTTTGTCTCCACATATACCTCAACGCACCACTCACCTTCTTTCCCTCATCAATTCTATGATTAACCTCATCCTTCATAAATCCATCCGCTGACACGTCAACTCCCAAGTATCTGAAAACATTCACTTCTTCCATACTCCTCCTCCCTAATTTGATATCCAATTTTTCTTTATCTAAATCATTTGATACCCTCATCATCTTACTCTTTTCTATGTTCACTTTCAACTTTCTACCTTTACACACACTCCCAAACTCATCCACTAACCTTTGCAATTTTTCTTTAGAATCTCCCATGAGCACAGTATCATCAGCAAAAAGCTACTGTGTCAGTTCCCATTTTGTATTTGATTCCCCATAATTTAATCCCACCCCTCTCCCGAACACCCTAGCATTTACTTCTTTTACAACTCTATCTATAAATGCATTAAACAACTATGGTGACATTACACATCCCTGTCTCAGACCTACTTTTACTGGGAAGTAATCTCCTTCTCTTCTACACACCCTAACCTGAGCCTCACTATCCTCATAAAAACTCTTTACAGCATTTAGTAACTTACCACGTATTCCATATACTGTACTTGCAACATCTGCCACATTGCTCCCCTATCCACTCTATCATATGCCTTTTCTAAATCCATGCAATAAAAACTTCCCTACCTTTATCTAAATACTGTTCACATATATGCTTCAATGTAAATACTTGATCTACACATCCCCTACCCACTCTGAAACCTCCTTGCTCATCCGCAATCCTACATTCTGTTTTACCTCTAATTCTTTCAATTATAACCCTACCGTACACTTTTCCTTGTATACTCTGTAAACTTTTTTTTTTTTTTTTTAACACACTGGCCGATTCCCACCAAGGCAGGGTGGCCCGAAAAAGAAAAACTTTCACCATCATCCACTCCATCACTGTCTTGCCAGAAGGGTGCTTTACACTACAGTTTTTAAACTGCAACATTAACACCCCTCCTTCAGAGTGCAGGCACTGTACTTCCCATCTCCAGGACTCAAGTCCAGCCTGCCGGTTTCCCTGAATCCCTTCATAAATGCTACTTTGCTCACACTCCAACAGCACCTCAAGTATTAAAAACCATTTGTCTCCATTCACTCCTATCGAACACACTCACACATGCCCGCTGGAAGTCCAAGCCCCTCGCACACAAAACCTTTACCCCCTCCCTCCAACCTTTCCTAGGCCGACCCCTACCCCGCCTTCCTTCCACTACAGACTGATACACTCTGTAAACTTATTCCTCTATAATTTTTACAATCTCTTTTGTTCCCCTTCCCTTTATATAAAGGGACTATACATGCTCTCTGCCAATCCCTATGTACCTTCCCCTCTTTCATACATTTATTAAACAAAAATACCAACCACTCCAACACTATATCCCCCCCTGCTTTTAACATTTCTGTCATGATCCCGTCAGTTTCAGCTGCTTTACTCCCTTTCATTCTATGTAATGCCTCACGCACCTCCCCCACACTCACATTCTGTTCTTCTTCACTCCTAAAAGATGGTATACCTCCCTGGCCAGTGCATGAAATTACCGCTTCCCTTTCTTTGTTGACATTTAAAAGTTCCTCAAAATGTTCTCGCCATCTACCCAAAACCTCCATCTTCCCACCTACTAACTCCCCTACTCTGTTTTTAACTGACAAATCCATTTGTTCTCTAGGCTTTCTTAACTTGTTTAACTCACTCCAAAATTTTTCTTATTTTCATTAAAATTTCTTGACAGTGCCTCTCCCACTCTATCATCTGCTCTCCTTTTGCACTCTCTCACCACTCTCTTTACCTTTCTTTTACTCTCCATATACTCTACTCTTCTTATAACACTTCTGCTTTGTAAAAACCTCTCATAAGCTAATTTCTTCTCTTTTATCATACCCTTTACTTCATCATTCCACCAATCACTCCTCTTTCCTCCTGCACCCACCCTCCTATAAGCACAAACTTCTGCCCCACATTCTAATACTGCATTTTTAAAACCATTCCAACCCTCTTCAACCCCCCCACTACTCATACTTGCACCGGCCCACCTTTCTGCCAATAGTTGCTTATATCTCACCTGAACTTCCTCCTCCCTTAGTTTATACACTTTTACCTCCTTCTTGTTTGTTGTTGCCATTTTCCTCTTTTCCCATCTACCTCTTACTCTAACTGTAGCTACAACTAAATATGATCCGATATATCAGTTGCCCCTCCATAAATGTGTACATCCTGGAGCCTACCCATCAATCTTTTATCCACCAATACATAATCTAACAAACTACTTTCATTACGTGCTATATCATACCATGTATATTTATTTATCCTCTTCTTCATAAAATATGTATTACTTATTACCAAACCTCTTTCTACACATAGCTCAATTAAAGGCTCCCCATTTTCATTTACCCCTGGCACCCCAAATTTACCTACTACTCCCTCCACAACATTTTTGCCCACTTTAGCATTGAAATCCCCAACCACCATTACTCTCACACTTGGTTCAATACTCCCCACGCATTCACTCAACATTTCCCAAAATCTCTCTCTCTCTCTCCTCTACACTTCTCTCTTCTCCAGGTGCATATACACTTACTATAACCCACTTTTCACATCCAACCTTTATTTTACTCCACATAATCCTTGAATTAATACATTTATAGTCCCTCTTTTCCTGCCATAACTTATCCTTCAACATTATTGCTACTCCTTCTTTAGCTCTAACTCTATTTGAAACCCCTGACCTAATCCCATTTATTCCTCTCCACTGAAACTCACCCACCCCCTTCAGCTTTGTTTCACTTAAAGCCAGGACATCCAGCTTCTTCTCATTATTATTATTATTATTATCAGGAGTGCTAAACCCATAGGGATTAAACAGCACTTGTGTGTGGGGGGTTTGGAAAGCATTCAGGCTTAATTCAGGAAATTGGATCACAGATCCAATTTGCTAGATCAAGAGCCCCTCACTAGCATCAATTTACCTCCTTTGAGGAGTCTTAGTTCTAGAGAAACTATTACAATGCAAGAGTGCATGACAAAGATGGATTATAAGTAATATACAGTGGTACCTCGGGATATGAACTTATTTCATCCCAGAAGGCTGCTTGAGTGCCGATACCGAACGAATTTGTTCCAATAAGGGATAATGTAAATTAGATTAATATGTTTCAGACCCCCAAAAATACACTTACAAAAGCACTTACATAAATACACTTACATAATTTTTTGAGTTTTGAGCTGTTCGCATCCCGAGGTACCACTGTATATCTATATAGCATGGTGCACTTTTTACTCAGGTGAACACTATCAGTTAACACTCTGGCCATCTCCCACCAAGGTAGGGTGACCTGACAAAGAAGAAAACTTTCAATGTCACTCATTCAGTCACTGTCTTGCCACAAGGGTGCTGACATCACAGTTCCGATGACCCTCCAAACCACAATGTCACCACTCCTCCTTCAGAGTGCAGGCACTGTACTTTCCACCTCCAGGACTCAAGGCCATCTAACCGGCTTCCCTGAATCCCTTTATAAACATTACCTTGCTTACACTCCAACAGCACATCAAATCATAAAAACTACTTACCATTATAATTTTTTAATACCACCACACCAACCATCTACTACCAAGGAAGTGACCAAAAAAAATTAAATATTTCCCCATCATTCATTCAACATTTGTCTTGCCATAAGTGCACAGACATCACAATTTCAATGGCCCAATGCATATCACTGCCTCTCTTTTATCATAATCATTTAACATCACGAAATACTCTACCTTTCCAGTACCTCTCCTTCCATCTAACATCTCTCTTCTTTCTTTTTTAAATGCCATGTCTATTTGGTCCCTGTGCTTTCTCAACTTTTCAGTCCCTCCAAAACTGTTTCGTATTCTCGGCAAAATTTTATGATAAGATACTTATCCATTCTCTCATTGGCTTTCCATTTGCACTCCATCACCACTTATTTCATTTCTCTCTTTTTTGGGGGGATTTTAAAAATCTTTCATATTACAGTTTTTCTCCCTGGCCTTCCCCTAATTTATTCATCATATGCAACCTTTCATGAATATTTATTCTATTACTAATTCATATAAACTTGCTTGGTGTAACTGTCGTAACCCAGAGAGAGCGGCCTGAGGATCGAAGTAGCTTTCTGGTTCCCTTAGATTTGATAAGGCAGTTGAGATTTGTGAGCCATAAGTATCATGGAAGTGGTGCTCGTGTGGAGTCTCAGGGGGAGTGGAGGTAATGTCCGCCAGTTGATCCAGCACAAACAATAGCTGCAGAAGTGGTATGAATGTGTGAATGTCACAGTGTTATTACTGAAGTATGGAAATAATTAACTTTGACTATTTTGGGTTATTCTAGGTAATTTACACATGTTACTATGCAAAATAACCACAGGGGGAACTGAATGATAGTTTTAGGCCATGTGTTGCAATCAACACATCACCAGGAGGTTGCAATGTTGCAGAAATAGAGTAAGAAATGCAGGCAGATTCATTCAGGAGAAGGGTTCTCTCTAGAATAATCCCTTATTTACAATATGTATGTTACTATGCATGATAATTGCACTTATGTGTACCCGTACCTAAATAAACTTACTTCATGCAATAAGGAAATTAAAGAGACTAAAATTAAGTTGTTCTTCTTCTTTCTTTCAACACACTGGCCGTATCCCACCAAGGCAGGGTGGCCCAAAAGGAAAAACAAAAGTTTCTCCTTTCAAATTTAGCAACATATACAGGAGAAGGGGTTACTAGCCCCTTGCTCCTGGCATTTTAGTCACCACTTATGACATGCATGGCTTACGGAGGAAGAATTCTGTTCCACTTCCCCATGGAGATAAGAGAAAATAAACAAGAACAAGAACTACTAAGAAAATAGAAGAAAACCCAGAGGGGTGTGTATATATATGCTTGTACATGTATGTGTAGTGTGACTTAAGTGTAAGTAGAAGTAGCAAGATGTACCTGAAATCTTGCATGTTTATGAGACAGAAAAAAAAAAAGACTCCAGCAATCCTACCATCATATAAAACAATTACAGGCTTTTGTTTTACACTTGCTTGGCAGGATGGCAGTACCTCCTTGGGCAGCTGCTGTCTACCAACCTACTACCTAGGAAAGTGCTACATATCAAGATTATTTTTATTATTATACTCATGGGAAAGATACGAAACTCCTCAGGGGTAACACAGTGCTTGGGGTAATGTGAGGTAATTAGGCTTGATCAAAAAGGGAGGATAAGTCCAATTTCTTGGATCAAAAACTCCTAACTGGCATCAAAATAAAATGTGAGTAGTTATAATGAAGCTTCAATATTTTAAACTTACACTTCAGTGTCTTAAATGTAAGTACAGTGTTAAACTTAATCTTCAAGGTCTTAAATTTAAATGTCTTATTATAAAATTTGTCTCTTAAATGTTTTGTATTTCCATATTAACCCAAAGTAGAATACTTTACATACTGGTTTAAATATGATATCATATTTCTTTTTGACAAGCTGTTGCTTCTCTGTCTGTGAGAGTGACAGGTTGTTATTCAGTCGAGCTATCTCTGCTGTTAGCTGATGACATTTCCTAGACATGTCACTGTGATGCTGTGCCAATGTCCCAAGCCACAGTTCATCCCACAGCACAGTAATACGACGCAGCTCATGAACGAGCATTTGCACCTCGCTGATGCTAGATCCAATCTGGAAAAAGAGGTCATCTTACAGTTTACAAAAAGAGATCAGCATACAATAATTATAAATGCTTGACCACATGGGAATCATACATTATTATTATTATTATTAACTTTTCATTCAGTGAGGGGGAGTGCTGAACCTTTTATATAAAGGTCATACAGAACCTGGAACAATGGGAAGCAATTGGGCTCAATCCACGGAAGAGAAGGGAAGGTCCAATTTCCTGATCATGAGCCCCTCAGGGAACCTCCCTTTAGTGGGTAAGTATCATACAGAGACTGGGAAATGAAAGGTAATCAAATCTGACCAAATTCTCTGGATCATGAGTCCTATACTGGCATCAAAGCACTACTCTCCTTGAATGAAAGTTAGTGAATAAATATGTACTAGATCAAGTTATTACAAAATGTAGAACATTCTGTATCCCTAAGTAGAAACAAGGCGTGTTCCTTCAATGATCTACAGTTTCCACAACAGAAGTTTTTGATGCAGTAGAAATCACTGACATTTTACATACAAAATATTAATAAAAGGGAAAATAAAACATAGATCTGAAGATTTTATTCTTTTAACTTAACGTTGGCTCATTCCACCTTTAATTTTAATCACTTGTTTATGTCTTGAAGGAACATTATCCGAAAGATCTTGAAATCATCACTTGTTAATAGGGTTTGTGGACAGAGAGATGGCAGAAGGAAACAACTGTAAACTCTATTATAGAGGCATATATTTGGTAAATATGGAAGAGCCCAGCCTTCACATCTGCTCACTGCTATACCTAGTCGAGTTCTGAGGCAGAGGGCTATGGCCTAGCTGGCTGGTTCCAGTGGAAGTCACACAACCAAAACTTGGCCAGAGAGCCTGCCTATAAATGGTATTAGGAAATCTATAGATGAGCACACTACACAAATAATACTGTTGACATACTGTCCACTGTTAGCCAATGTACTTCTTTTGCCAGGACCAAAACAAAAGCCTTTTCTTCCATGCTAAGCTTACAAGGGGCCCCATTACGATCACTGGTAACCAAAATATAAGCTGTCGAACAATCCAACATGAAAGTCCAACATGTGGGTCGAGAGTGCACGAATATGCAGCCCCCTACAGCAATGCGAGAGCTGCCTGACATACAATCAGCCTCAATAACACTGGTCATATGCAAATGCACAAGAAAACAGCAAACCATTGAAATTCATCGGTGTTTTATGATGTTGGTCTGATGATTTCTTTTGCAAGAACTGTACGATAAACATAGGAAATACCTATGATTGATACAATGTGAGAAGGATAAACCATGACTTCAAGTTAAGGAAACTTCTAAATATCTTGGAATCAAAAGTTAACACTCATTAAGAACTGATAGAAAACCTCATTAGAGGGATATGTAAAGAAATGTCAGCAAAGAAATACCAGTTATGGACTGGGCTCATGATGTTTCACTTTTATTATTCATTGAGGGCTTACAAAGTGAAAGACTGAATGGGACATTCTAATGTTATAACTTCTAGCTCTCCTGTTATCATTTAGAAGTCTCATGCTATGGCTTGAGATTCTCTTGTAATTGCTTGGGATTCTTCTGTTATGGTTTGCAATTCTCCAATCATAGTTTTTGGTTCACCCATTATCTTTGGATTTACAATGCTTCATTTTGTAAACCCTCAGTAAAAGATAATAAATAAACAAAAAATAATAAATCCAGATCATAAGAGGAAAATATCCTTATCACTTTAAATTCTTCTTCTTTCAACAAACCGGCCGTATCCCACCAAGGCAGGGTGGCCCAAAAAGAAAAATGAAAGTTTCTCTTTTTAAATTTAGTAATTTATACAGGAGAAGGGGTTACTAGCCCCTTGCTCCCGGCATTTTAGTCGCCTCTTACAACACGCATGGCTTACGGAGGAATAATTCTGTTCCACTTCCCCATGGAGATAAAAGGAAATAAACAAGAACAAGAACTAGAAAGAAAATAGAAGAAAACTCAGAGGGGTATGTATATATATGCTTGTACATGTATGTGTAGTGTGACCTAAGTGTAAGTAGAAGTAGCAAGATGTACCTGAAATCTTGCATGTTTATGAGACAGAAAAAAGACACCAGCAATCCTACCATCATCACTTTAAATATCACTGCATTTTTATCAACATTCACAAAAAAGCAAAAGAAAAGAATTTCAGGTCTTGGAAATCCTTACACTACATTTCCATGTTTTTTCATTCAAAGGTAAAATGAGTTATTAATTATTAAACCTTTTAGAATAAATTTACCTGCTTTGTCAGTGTGTCTACCAAAGCAGAGAAACAATTTCGCATCAGCGTTCTTCTTTCTTGCTCCTCAGTTGACTCTGAAATAAGCTCCTCCTCCTCCTCTTCCTCCTCCTCTTCCTCTTCCTCTACCTGGTCATATTCTTCTTCCTCCTCTTCCTCTTCATCTTCCTCCTCATCTCCTAAGGCATGTTTCATTTTTCTTCTAAGTTGCCCTTTGTGCAAATATTTTGCTAACATATCTGTAGAAAGAGATTTGGTAATAAGTAATACATATTTTATGAAAAAGAGGATAAATAAATATACAAGGTATGATGTAGCACGTAATGAAAGTAGTTTATTAGATTATGTATTGGTGGATAAAAGGTTGATGGGTAGGCTCCAGGATGTACATGTTTATAGAGGGGCAACTGATATATCGGATCATTATTTAGTTGTAGCTACAGTTAGAGTAAGAGGTAGATGGGAAAAGAGGAAGGTGGCAACAACAAGTAAGAAGGAGGTGAAAGTGTATAAACTAAGGGAGGAGGAAAAGTTCGGCGAGATATAAGCGACTATTGGCAGAAAGGTGGGCTAGTGCAAAGATGAGTAGTGGGGGGGTTTTGAAGAGGGTTGGAATAGTTTTAAAAATGCAGTATTAGATGTGGGGCAGAAGTTTGTGGTTATAGGAGGGTGGGGGCAGGGGAAAGAGGAGTGATTGGTGGAATAATGAAGTAAAGGGTGTGATAAAAGAGAAAAAGGAAGCTTATGAGAGGTTTTTACAAAGCAGAAGTGTTATAAGAAGAGCAGAGTATATGGAAGTAAAAGAAAGGTGAAGAGAGTGGTGGGGGAGAGTGCAAAAAGAGAGCAGATGATAGAGTGGGAGAGGCAATGTCAAGAAATTTTAATGAAAATAAAAAAAAATTTTAGAGTGAGTTAAAACAAGTTAAGAAAGCCTAGGGAAAGTATGGATTTTTCAGTTTAAAAACAGAGTAGGGGAGTTGTAGATGGGGAGTGGAGGTACAGTGGGCCCCCGGTTAACGATATTTTTTCATTCCAGAAGTTATTGTTCAGGTGCCAGTACTGACCGAATTTGTTCCCATAAGGAATATTGAGAAGTAGATTAGTCCATTTCAGACCCCCAAACATACACGTACAAACGCACTTACATAAATACACTTACATAATTGATCGCTTGGGAGGGGATCGTTATGCGGGGGTCCACTGTATTAGGTAGATGGCGAGAATATTTTGAGGAACTTTTAAATGTTAAGGAAGAAAGAGAGGCGCAATTTCATGCACTGGTCAGGGAGGTATACATCTTTTAGGAGTGAGAAGAGCAGAATGTAAGTGTGGGGGAGGTATGTGAGGCATTACGTAAAATGAAAGGGGGTAAAGCAGCTGGAACTGATGGGATCATGACAGAAATGTTAAAAGCAGGGGGGGATATAGTGTTGGAGTGGTTGGTACTTTTGTTTAATAAATGTATGAAAGAGGGGAAGGTACCTAGGGATTGGCAGAGAGCATGTATAGTCCCTTTATATAAAGGGAAAGGGAACAAAAGAGACTGTAAAAATTATAGAGGAATAAGTTTACCGAGTATACCAGGAAAAGTGTACGGTAGGGTTATAATTGAAAGACTTAGAAGTAAGACAGAATGTAGGATTGCGGATGAGCAAGGAGGTTTCAGAGTGGGTAGGGGATGTGTAGATCAAGTGTTTACATTGAAGCATATATGTGAACAGTATTTAGATAAAGGTAGGGAAGTTTTTATTGCATTTATGGATTTAGAAAAGGCATATGATAGAGTGGATAGAGGAGCAATGTGGCAGATGTTGCAAGTATATGGAATAGGTGGTAAGTTACTAAATGCTGTAAAGAAATTTTTTATGAGGATAGTGAGGCTCAGGTTAGGGTTGTGTAGAAGAGAGGGAGACTACGTCCCGGTAAAAGTAGGTCTTAGACAGGGATGTGTAATGTCACCATGGTTGTTTAATAATATTTATAGATGGGGTTGTAAAGGAAGTAAATGCTAGGGTGTTCGGGAGAGGGGTGGGATTAAATTTTGGGGAATCAAATTCAAAATGGGAATTGACACAGTTACTTTTTGCTGATGATACTGTGCTTATGGGAGATTCTAAAGAAAAATTGCCAAGGTTAGTGGATGAGTTTGGGAATGTGTGTAAAGGTAGAAAGTTGAAAGTGAACATAGAAAAGAGTAAGGTGATGAGGGTATCAAATGATTTAGATAAAGAAAAATTGGATATCAAATTGGGGAGGAGGAGTATGGAAGAAGTGAATGTTTTCAGATACTTGGGAGTTGACGTGTCGGCGGATGGATTTATGAAGGATGAGGTTAATCATAGAATTGATGAGGGAAAAAAAGGCGATGTGGTGCGTTGAGGTATATGTGGAGTCAAAAAACGTTATCTATGGAGGCAAAGAAGGGAATGTATGAAAGTATAGTAGTACCAACACTCTTAATGGGTGTGAAGCTTGGGTGGTAAATGCAGCAGCGAGGAGACGGTTGGAGGCAGTGGAGATGTCCTGTTTAAGGGCAATGTGTGGTGTAAATATTATGCAGAAAATTCGGAGTGTGGAAATTAGGAAAAGGTGTGGAGTTAATAAAAGTATTAGTCAGAGGCAGAAGAGGGGTTGTTGAGGTGGTTTGGTCATTTAGAGAGAATGGATCAAAGTAGAATGACAAGGAAAGCATATAAATCTATAGGGGAAGGAAGGCGGGGTAGGGGTCGTCCTCGAAAGGGTTGGAGAGAGGGGTAAAGGAGGTTTTGTGGGCAAGGGGCTTGGACTTCCAGCAAAGTGTGCATGAGCGTGTTAGATAGGAGTGAATGGAGACGAATGGTACTTGGGACCTGACGATCTGTTGGTGTGAGCAGGGTAATATTTAGTGAAGGGATTCAGGGAAACCGGTTATTTTCATATAGTCGGACTCGAGTCCTGGAAATGGGAAGTACAATGCCTGCACTTTAAAGGGGGGGTTTGGGATATTGGTAGTTTGGAGGGATATGTTGTGTATCTTTATATGTGTATGCTTCTAAACTGTTGTATTCTGAGCACCTCTGCAAAAACAGTGATAATGTGTGAGTGTGGTGAATGTGTTGAATGATGATGAAAGTATTTTCTTTTCGGGATTTTCTTTCTTTTTTGGGTCACCCTGCCTCGGTGGGAGACGGCCGACTTGTTGAAAAAAAAAAAAAAAAAAAAATCTGTAAAATTCCACATGTGGCTTAATTAAAAACAGAGTCTGCATTCATAACCATTTCTGATCTTAAAAGTACAAAAGCTACTGGTAAAAGTAAACAAATATAGAAGAAAAAATATATTACTCAGCAGAAACAGGTAGTGAATTTGGAGAGATTAACAAATATTACAAGTACAAGGACACTTGTATTTCTCTCATCTTATGAAACAGATTGAAACATTGTCCCAAATACAAGTTTTTTCTGCAGCTTGTGCCACTGTCATCATACTTATTGGCAACATGCCATTTCACTCAATTTAAATCACAACCACAACTCACAGGTAAAAAAACTAATAAATACCAGTTAAAGAAGCTTGATTTGCAGCAACATTCCCACCAGCTGATCCTACTACTGCAGGGAACACAATAAGATGTGGAAAATCCTCCGCCAACCGGCAAAGAAGTTCTGAGATGCTCCCTCGTACATATGGCTCAGGATGATTCAAGCGTGCAAATAACTTAAGGGAAGATATAATATCACTATGTTAACAAATTATTATAACTAATTCAGCAATATCATATAATAACATGTGCTACAAATACTAATAAATATCTCTGTTAAAATACAGGTACAGCATTTTTTCAGTACAGTGGTACCTCAGTTTTCATCATTAATTCATTCTAGAAAGTCTGACGAAAACCGAATTTGACGAAAACTGAAGCAATGTTTCCCATAAGAAATAATGTAAAATCCAATTAATCCATTCCAGACACCCAAAATTATTAACAAAAAATACATTTTATAGAGAATAACTATAGTTTTACACACAGAAAACAATGAGAAATAAATATAAAGGACTAATGAAATGGATAAATGAACATATAACATCACTTTTACCATTATTGAAGACTCTTGTTGGTGTATCGAAAACACAAGGAGGGGAGAGGTTATTGATTGGAAGGGGAAATCCCCCTCCATAAGGACTTCAGGTATCAAGTCCCTATCTGGGGTTACTTACCTTCTTTGTCTTTTACTGGCACTGGACCCCTATCGCACAAACAATCTGTCTGGAGAGGTCTGCTTCTGGCGTCTCTTTAAGATTTGCTTAAAATGGGACAAAGCATTGTCACTGAACATACTGCAGACACAGCTTGCAACAGCTTTGTTAGGGTGATATTTCTCCACAAACCTTTGCAACACACTCCACTTTGCACACATGTCCTTAATCACTGAAGAAGGCACATTCTCTCCTGTGTCTTCCTCCTCCTCTGAAGCAATTTCCTCAGCTGCAATCTGTTGCTGTTCCAGTTGAAGATGTTGCAGCTCTTCAGTGATTAGCTCATCCCTGTGGTGTCCACCAACTCTTCCACATCTTGGCCACTCACATCCAACCCCACACTTTGCTACGAGTTCTTTCTTGAATTCTCTCGTGTTTCTCGCCTCCTTTACCAAAGGCCTGGCACTTGGAACTTTCTTTGGCCCCATGGTGGCTTATTTAGCAGTCGCACTCGATAAACAAGCACAAAAAACAATGGATTATTAAAAATTTTTCGGGGAACACGCAGGTAAGCTCACTTGACAGAAACAAAGCCAGATGACTCAAAACCCGGGGGATCTTTGTGTGGGCGCGGGCAGGCGGACACATTCGGTACAGTGGACCGACGAAAACCGAGGTGATAAACAAAAACGGGGGACAAACTTTTAAAAAAAAAAAAATCATTGAAAACCGAATTAAACAAAAACCCAGGGCAAACAAAACTGAGGTTCCACTGTACACTGTCCCCCCACCAAGGCAGGTGACCCAAAAAAAGAAAAAACAAAAAAGCTTTTTTTTTTTACTTTTAGTAATTTATACAGGAGAAGTGGTTACTAGCCCTGGTTCCAGCATTGTAGTTGCCTCTTATGGCTTAAGGGAATATTTTTTTCCACTTCCCTTGGAGAGTTATAGTATTGTACTCTTCTCCTTCTACATTTTTTGGGAAAATTTCAGTCCTATTTTTTATCGTACATACATGAAAGTTTTTTTTTTTTTGGCCCAAACCCCAGTTTTTTTTTTTAAATTACGGAGGGAAAAATATTTGTACTAAAAATCCTGGTCCTGTTTGTAATAAATTTTTTTTGGAAAAAGTCCAAAAACTGAATTGAAAAATCGGGATAAAAACAGTACTGTAGTGTTCCCTTTAGGGGTTTTTGGGCACCTGTCTGAAAAAACATGGTTTAACACTTTGTGCCCTGGCAATTCTTCAAAAATTTGTCCTAAGCCTGAAATTTTATTAGGAAATATGGTCCAAAACCCACATATGAAAAAAAGCATATTTTGGCCTGTTGGGAGCAAGGGAGTATAACCCTTTTAAATTTTAAATGTAAAAAAAAGAATTTTTTTTTTTTTTTTGGGGGGGGCCCCCCTGCCCCGGGGGGAGATGGCTGGAATTAGAAAAGAAAAAAAATTTGGCCTGTCTAAACCCCTTTTGAGTCAAGACCCAATGAAAAACATATCAAGTTTTTTGTGATACATTTATGAATAAGTATATAAAAATGAGTCCAGTCATTAAAAATTCCATACATACATGTACTATGGACTGTATTATTGTAATAATGTTAAAAAATAATCAAGCACAAATGTGGCACCTGTGGAATGATAGGCTTCCATGGTCGTGTAGGTGTTTCAGCCAAACCCTTCTCCAACACTTCTCTGAGCTCAGAAGCATGCTTAACCATGAGCCGCAGAAGACGCAAGGTTGATACTGTACACTGATCTGCGTGACTTACTGAAAACTGAAAAATATATATACACCTATATAATGATATACAGTACTTCATTCAGATTTTACATGTTTATATATCAGTACTTAACAAGATAAAAGTTTCTTTAACCCTTTAACCATGTCTGACATACTAGCACTCACTGCTGTTGCCAATTAGTGATCATTTTTTCACCAAATTCAACACACCACAAAATCGTAAGTTTTTACCAGATTTTGCTCATTTTAGTCTTACTCAGTTCAGAAAGACAAACTCTTATCTACATAATTATAAGAAAAAATATTTTTTTATTTTTCAAAATCTTCCCACAGGTAAAGGGTTAAATACAGTGGTACCTCAGGATATTAACTTTTTTAATTCCAAAAGGCTGTTCGAGTGCTGATACCGAATGAATCTGATCCCATAAGGAATAAAGTAAATTAGATTAATCCGTTTCAGACCCCCAAAAATAAACTTACAAAAGCACTTACATAAATACGCTTACATAATTGTTCACGTTTTGAGCTGTTCGTATCCCGAGGTACCACTGTATTAGGAACTTAGCAAAATAATATCTAATATTAGATATTAAAGAGTGACGTACATACAATAAAATAGTTTGAAATATGTCAAAGTTATTTTGCATCATAATGCATGAAAATATAAACTAATCCATTGTTTAATGTGTAATTTCAATTGTCTTGAATACAGTTCAACTGTTTTTACCATTTAATGTTGATAAACAGGTAAGCCAAGTGGAAAAATATTTATGTTTTCAAGAATATCTATGATTTTCTATAATTTATATTTATAAGAGCATCAACCCTTTCACTGTCAGAACCCCCAAAATTAAAAGTGTTCACAGTGTCAGCATTTAAAAAAATTTTTTTTGATTCTGAAATGATAGAGAATCTTTTTTGGATGGTAATGACACCAAAAATAAGAAATTTGATGGAAAACCTATGCAATACACACTCACAACAAAGACCCAGTGTCTCACATCTAGGCCAAAATTTACCACTCACAGGTTATCTGAGGGAACTGAGCTCAAAGTGTAGATCTACATAAGTGATCCTTACATCAATAACATAGACCTATGTATGAGACAGTGAATGGGTCTAAAGTCACAAACTGTTTCCGAGTCAAACAATGTTTAAAGTTTCAAATCAGAGGTCTTATGCTAATCCAGAAACTGAATGGAACAAGGTAAAAAGAAAAAATGGTAAATCTTCTTCTTTCAATGCATTGGCCGCATCCCACTGAGGCAGGGTGGCCCAAAAAGAAAAACGAAAGTTTCTCTTTTTAAATTTAGTAATTCATACAGGAGAAGGGGTTACTAGCCCCTTGCTCCCGGCATTTTAGTCACCTCTCATGCAATGTATGGCTTACAGAAGAAGAATTCTGTTCTAATTTCCCATGGAGATAAGAGGAAATGAACAAGAACTAGTAAGAAAATAGAAGAAAACCCAGAGGGGTGTGTATATATATATGCTTGTACATGTATGTGTAATGTGACCTAAGTGTAAGTAGAAGTAGCAAGGTGTACCTGAAATCTTGCATGTTTATGAGAAAATGGAAAATGAATAAAATAAATTCTCCTGGGGTATCTAATAATCATTACTTACTCCATGACTAGTCTTCAGAAATCGGAAGTAAGCTTTAGCAGCTGCAATGAGAACAGTGTAGTGCCTCTCCTGAACTGCTCTGTAAACTTCAACTAAACGGGAACTGAGGTCTGCAATCAAACTGCTTGACAAACCCCAACACTGCAGTGTTGTTGTGATCTGAGCAGTCACCTAAAAATATATGTGTATAAATGATAATTAAAGATTAATGGAATTACAATAAAAGTAAAAGTTAAACTTTGGATGAAAAGATTGTTAATTACTAGGTTTCAAGCAAATGACTTCATGTGAATCATTATGGCTTCATATCAATTAGACCAATCAGATCAAGTTTACAGAACTGAGAAAAAGCTGTATTAACAATACATATGTTAAAATTGAACATGAATTATTGTTTATTATTAACAGGGACATACGTAAATGGTTCTTCATCCCTAAATTACTAATTTTGCTGCCATACCTGGTGGAATCCCTGTACTTCCTCAAGTCGTAGGTCTTCTTCCTCTTCCTCTTGTGTGTCTTGTCCTGGTCTCATATTTGCCAACAATAAGCACATCTCCTCCACTTTCTCCTGACAATCGCCAGATTCTAAGCCGATTACTGGGGCAAGAATTTCTTCTATACGTTTACGATCAACCTCCGAGAGTTGGCTGTCATTGGTGCTGCTATGCTCTAGGATTTTTCTCCCCCATCTAGTGAGATCATACTATATGCACTATACTGAAATACCTACATTATTTTTATTTAAATTTAAAACTCTTCAGCGCTGAATGCACAAAATACAAAGCACAGCATATATTTTTTCTGACCAATATATAGAGTATACAATGCACAGTATTACATTATACAGTGTGATTCAATATTCTGTGTATATGAAGCTGAACTTTTATTTTGAACTGTATGAGGTAGGTAGGCCTATACAAGTGCATGCCATCACTCACCAGGCTCCATGGATCAACAGCAATGAATGCATAATACAATTCCTCACAAATGATGTAAATGGCAAGTAACTTCCATCCTTCCCATACATGGTATATACATAGTACAGTATACAGGAAGGCCCTGCACATACAGCACCTCTTTTAGTGTTCCATGTTTTTGTTGGCTTTCAACTGAGCCATTGTTTCATCCACTGGTGAAAATTGCCAGTGGGTGGAACAATGAACAACGGCTCAATTTGAAGCCAATGAGAATGTGGAAAACCCAAAAGAAGAAGATGTACATGTGGGGCCCTCCTGTATACAGTGCTTTTTCTTAACATATTACAGAAAACAACTTAATTTCATTATAAGATACACGAAATAAACTTGTAAACTATTATTTGAACATTATATGAAGAAGTGTTTCTCTTCATAAGTTTAAATTTTGACTCTGAAGCACTGACTGCCTCACTGTGCTGGGCAGCAGTAGTGGAGTTACAAATGGTCAGACAAATCTGAAGTACAGTACAATCCACAGGAACATGCTGTGAATGGTCAAGTTACTCTAGTGTTCATGTAATTAATAAAATTTTTTACTTTATTGACATATATTACAGTTAATAGATATTTTATTGTATTAAATTTGAAAATTTCTATCACATTATAATACTGTACAAGGATTTTTTCTTTTGCAAAATTAGGGAAAGTTTTAGGGTTTCATAGACCATAGTCTAAGAAATAAGATTTCTTACCTGAAACACCATGAGGCAATATGGAACCAAACTTTAGGTAAAGTAGGGCACTGTGTGGCTGCTAATGTGAGGATGTGACCCATTTTACTCTCCAACAGTGGTAAGGTAGAGTGGCTAACATCAGCTAAGGGTTGCAATTCTTCTGGTACAAACTCCTTCATCTCCTGATAAACTACATAAAAAAATGTTTGACTTCTTTCTTGAATTTTGCATTCTATATTTTTTAACATATAATGCTAGTCTGCAGTCTCTGAGAAGCACGTTTAAGGAATAAATTTGTTCTAACACATCGAACATCTCCCTGTGATGTAAGGAATAAAAAAGTTTGCATATGAAATAGAGAATTACCAAGTACCTGTATGAAGTTTATCCATCCAGGATGGGACACTGGTTGCAGTGTCTCCACACATCAGTAGTCGTCTTTCATCCTGCGACCACCATTTATTGAGGGTGATGATGGAGCGAGCACATAAATGACCAGCTTCATTAGGGGGTAGTGTAAGGAGAATGGTATCAGTTGCTGCCAAGGTTGCCAAACTAGGGTTAAGACCAACCACAGCTCCTGCAAGTACTGCACATCCTTGAGCAACATGGCCTTTGCTGCAAGATATAAGAAGAGTGTGTGTGTGTGTGATCCTTTCCCAAGAGCAAGCAGCTTCAACATAAAATACAAATAAAATAATTTATCTAAATTATCTAGATAAAACTTTAATTTAAACAACTAAAATGCTTTCTGGTATATTTTTTGCACTATTATAGTACTACAGTGTATTCCAATATATGTAAAACTGAGTTGTTTTAATTTCACACTGTAAAAGTCAGATAAGAATACACAATTGTCTACCGTCACTCCCCATGCACTATTAGTATTAAATGCACTAGTCATTCATGCATTAGAGTATTACAGTGCAGTAGTACCTACTGTCTAAGGTAGAATGCTTAACATGTTTTGGGTAATCAAATTTTTTCTTAACACACTGGCCATCTCCCACCAAGGCAGGGTGACCGGAAAAACACACACTTTCGCCATCATTCACACTATCAACTGTCTTGCTAAGGGTACACAGCTATGTTACAATAAGTAGTGGCTCTGGCCAACTTTTGAAAATTGCTCAATTTTTTATACAGTCTTCACTGGACAGCCCATTTGAAATAACAACAATTTTAGAACAGAAATTTTCAATATGTTCAAAGCACTTTGTATTAACGCAGTCACACATACAAGGAGCAGTCTGCAGGATTTGATGTGATGTTAAAGCATGAGAGGATTCAGAGAAACTAGCCAGCCAAACTTGAGTTTTGAAGTCTGGGAATTACAGTGATGGCACTTTGAAAGTGGGTTAAAAATACTATAGCTAGACAAATAAACACAGGACAATATTATTGTGCTTTTCTAGAAGGGCAGCAGTTATTTCTTACACGTACCATGCTAGCATCTTAGCTGCTTCCCTGTGTAGCTTTGCCTGTAATGGGTTATATTCAGCACTGGGTACAGCTTCAAGTACAGCATCCAACAAACTTGAGCTAACACTACCCAGCAGTCCTATTAGGGTGCTTTCTGCAAACTCCATATTTTCTTGCTTGCGAGCCTGCTTGGCAGACAAGAGGTCCAACTTTGTAATTGAGGCTGAAAAGCAAAATAAATCATATTTAAACAAAAATTGAACTCTTCTTAAATACAAAATCACTTACATATCCTTGATAAAATATGAATGAAAAGCCATCGTGATTTAAAAATACCCACTACCTTTTTTTAATCATTCAAGGAATCTATAGCAGCAAGGAATCTATAGCAGCATTTACTCTACACTGTCAGCGTGGTCTTTTACATATTCTCAAAACCACTTATTTTGACATACAAGTTTTTAAAACTACATACTTAAAAATTTTGATCTTTACATCAATTTGATTGCATTGCACTGAATTCTTTTTTATTCATTCAGACAAATGCAATATGATATTTACCTCTCAAACAAGTATCTAACAAGATACTATAGTGCAGACTTAATTTTTTTAAACAGAATTAAGTGTTGAAATTTATGAATAATTCTCGTTTTCTGTATAAAGCTGACCATTCAGCAGGTCATATAGTCACACTGTACGTACAGGTATACAAGTAAACAGATGGATGGACAAGGGGTTTGAACCATGGTCTGTAATTGGACGGACCACAGTTAAGGCCCCTTGTCCATCCTTCTGTTTATTCACTGACAGTTATTTATTGTAACCTAATCTGAGTTCATATAGGTATATCTTTTATAGATTTTTTTTTTTTTTTTTTTTTTTTTTTTTTTTTTTTTCAACAAGTCGGCCGTCTCCCACCGAGGCAGGGTGACCCAAAAAAGAAAGAAAATCCCCAAAAAGAAAATACTTTCATCATCATTCAACACTTTCACCACACTCGCACATTATCACTGTTTTGCAGAGGTGCTCAGAATACAACAGTCTAGAAGCATACACATATAAAGATACACAACATATCCCTCCAAACTGCCAATATCCCAAACCCCTCCTTTAAAGTGCAGGCATTGAAACTTCCCATTTCCAGGACTCAAGTCCGACTATATGAAAATAACCGGTTTCCCTGAATCCCTTCACTAAATATTACCCTGCTCACACTCCAACAGATCGTCAGGTCCCAAGTACCATTCGTCTCCATTCACTCCTATCTAACACGCTCACGCACGCTTGCTGGAAGTCCAAGCCCCTTACCCACAAAACCTCCTTTACCCCCTCTCTCCAACCCTTTCGAGGACGACCCCTACCCCGCCTTCCTTCCCCTATAGTTTTTAAAATGCTTTCCATGTCATTTTTACTTTGATCCATTCTCTCTAAATGACCAAACCACCTCAACAACCCCTCTTCTGCCCTCTGACTAATACTTTATTAACTCCACACCTTCTCCTAATTTCCACACTCCGAATTTTCTGCATAATATTTACACCACACATTGCCCTTAAACAGGACATCTCCACTGCCTCCAACCGTCTCCTCGCTGCTGCATTTACCACCCAAGCTTCACACCCATATAAGAGTGTTGGTACTACTATACTTTCATACATTCCCTTCTTTGCCTCCATAGATAACGTTTTTTGACTCCACATATACCTCAACGCACCACTTTACCTTTTTTCCCTCATCAATTCTATGATTAACCTCATCCTTCATAAATCCATCCGCCGACACGTCAACTCCCAAGTATCTGAAAACATTCACTTCTTCCATACTCCTCCTCCCCAATTTGATATCCAATTTTTCTTTATCTAAATCATTTTTACACCCTCATCACCTTACTCTTTTCTATGTTCACTTTCAACTTTCTACCTTTACACACATTCCCAAACTCATCCACTAACCTTTGCAATTTTCTTTAGAATCTCCCATAAGCACAGTATCATCAGCAAAAAGTAACTGTGTCAATTCCCATTTTGAATTTGATTCCCCATAATTTAATCCCCACCCCTCTCCCAAACACCCTAGCATTTACTTCCTTAACAACCCCATCTATAAATATATTAAACAACCATGGTGACATTACACATCCCTGTCTAAGACCTACTTTTACCGGGAAATAGTCTCCCTCTCTTCTACACACCCTAACCTGAGCCTCACTATCTTCATAAAAACTCTTTACAGCATTTAATAACTTACCACCTATTCCATATACTTGCAACATCTGCCACATTGCTCCTCTATCCACTCTATCATATGCCTTTTCTAAATCCTAAATGCAATAAAAACTTCCCTACCTTTATCTAAATACTGTTCACATATATGCTCAATGTAAACACTTGATCTACACATCCCCTACCCACTCTGAAACCTCCTTGCTCATCCGCAATCCTACATTCTGTCTTACCTCTAATTCTTTCAATTATAACCCTACCGTACACTTTTCCTGGTATACTCAGTAAGCTTATTCCTCTATAATTTTTACAGTCTCTTTTGCCCCCTTTCCCTTTATATAAAGGGACTATACATGCTCTCCGCCAATCCCTAGGTACTTCCCTCTTTCATACATTTTTTGAACAAAAGTACCAACCACTCCAACACTATATCCCCCCTGCTTTTAACATTTCTGTCATGATCCCATCAGTACCAGCTGCTTTACCCCTTTCATTTTACGTAATGCCTCACGTACCTCCCCCACACTTACATTTTGCTCTTCTTCACTCCTAAAAGATGGTATACCTCCCTGACCAGTGCATGAAATTACTGCCTCTGTTTCTTCCTTAACATTTAAAAGTTCCTCAAAATATTCTCCCCATCTACCTAATACCTCCATCTCCCCATCTACTAACTCCCCTACTCTGTTTTTAACTGACAAATCCATATTTTCCCTTGGCTTTCTTAACTTGTTTAACTCACTCCCAAAATTTTTTCTTATTTTCATTAAAATTTCTTGACAGTGCCTCTCCCACTCTATCATCTGCTCTCCTTTTGCACTCTCTCACCACTCTCTTTACCTTTCTTTTACTCTCCATATATTCTGCTCTTCTTATAACACTTCTGCTTTGTAAAAACCTCTCATAAGCTACCTTTTTCTCTTTTATCACACCCTTTACTTCATCTTTCCCACCAATCACTCCTCTTTCCTCCTGCACCCACCCTCTATAACCACAAACTTCTGCCCCACATTCTAATACTGCATTTTTAAAACTATTCCAACCCTCTTCAACCCCCCCATTACTCATCTTTTGCACTATCCCACCTTTCTGCTAATAGTCGCTTATATCTCGCCCGAACTTCCTCCTCCCTTAGTTTATACACTTTCACCTCCCTCTTACTTGTTGTTGCCACCTTCCTCTTTTCCCATCTACCTCTTACTCTAACTGTAGCTACAACTAAATAATGATCCGATATATCAGTTGCCCCTCTATAAACATGTACATCCTGGAGCCTCCCCATCAACCTTTTATCCACCAATACATAATCTAATAAACTACTTTCATTACGTGCTACATCATACCTTGTATATTTATTTATCCTCTTTTTCATAAAATATGTATTACTTATTACCAAATTTCTTTCTACACATAGCTCAATTAAAGGCTCCCCATTTACATTTACCCCTGGCACCCCAAATTTACCTTACTACTCCCTCCATAACATTTTTACCCACTTTAGCATTGAAATCCCCAACCACCATTACTCTCACACTTGAGTCAAAACTCCCCACGCATTCACTCAACATTTCCCAAAATCTCTCTCTCTCCTCTACACTTCTCTCTTCTCCAGGTGCATACACGCTTATTATAACCCACTTTTCACATCCAATCTTTATTTTACTCCACATAATCCTTGAATTAATACATTTATAGTCCCTCTTTTCCGCCATAGCTTATCCTTCAACATTATTGCTACTCCTTCTTTAGCTCTAACTCTATTTGAAACCCCTGACCTAATCCCATTTATTCCTCTCCATTGAAACTCTCCCACCCCCTTCAGCTTTGTTTCACTTAAAGCCAGGACATCCAGCTTCTTCTCATTCATAACATCCACAATCATCTCTTTCTTATCATCTGCACAACATCCACGCACATTCAGACTTCCCACTTTGACAATTTTCTTCTTCTTATTCTTTTTAGTAATCTTTACAGGAAAAGGGGTTACTAGCCCATTGTTCCCGGCATTTTAGTTGACTTTTACAACACGCATGGCTTACGGAGGAAAGATTCTTATTCCACTTCCCCATGGATATAAAAGGAAAATTAATAAGACCAAGAACTATTAAGATAAAATCAAAGAAAACTCAGATGAGTGTGTATGAATAAATGTGTATATGTATGTGTAGTGTGACCTAAGTGTAAGTAGAAGTAGCAAGACATGCCTGTAATCTTGCATATTTATGAGACAGACAAAAGACATCAGCAATCCTACCATCATGTAAAACAATTACAGGCTTTCGTTTTACACTCACTTGGCAGGACGGTAGTACCTCCCAGAGCTTTAGTGAGATGGGTAAGGATAGAAATTTTGGAAAAGGGTGGGAGGGGGGAGAGAGGTAGGATATAAAAGGTAAGTGGCCCAACCACTTTGGTGTAATTTAAAAAGTGTACGTGAAATGATAAGATATTCTTTAAGGGGTATAAGACTAACCCATCAGAGTCACATAGATATAACAGATATATAAGTACATGACTCTGAATTGGTAGTAATTATACAAGTTGCAATTGCTTTTTTTTTTTTTTTTTTTTTTTTTTTTTGCGATTGCACAACGGATATTTATGCGACAATGAAGACAATAATTTTCTGGCCAGTTTATAGAATTATGTGACAATGGCTTCTTACAGGTGGTGTCCAGCCATAGTAAATAGCATAATTTTTACATTAGATTGTTATATAAGATTTCTCCCTAATTGGGGGCGATGATGTACTCAGTATACATAGAAGGGTTCTGGTGTTACCCAATCTTCTTCATCAGGGAGGTTGCTCAATATCATGGGTCGATGGTAATCATCTTTATGTATAAAACGACGGACCCTCTGTGGGAGAGTCATTCTTTGAGTCCTGTGAGGAGGAGTATTGATGATATAATCCGTGGTATTTACCACTTGTATAGGATGTTCTCTATCTGGCATGTATAGTTCTTGCAGGAAAAAATACAGAATAGCAAATAGGAATCTGAGGAGAAATAAAGATGAAGCAGTTAGTCCCTTAAGGACTAACCACAGCATGCAGGCACTGTACTTCCCACCTTATAAAAATATATGTATAAAAATTGCATACTGTACTAAATAAATGAAAACATCAAAAATGTTTGTTATACTCACTAGGAGTAACAGTTCGGTTGAGTCGAGCAATAAGCTTGGCCCAACGAGAGACATGTGGAATGAGGTCAGCAGGCAGACTCATTAGGTTGGTATTTTCCCATCCCTCATGCAGGCGACCCACTCCAAGAGAATCATCCAAAATACTTGTCAACTGTGAATATTTACAATAAAAATGATTAATGATCACCAGCAGAAGAGAACAAAGGCAAAATTTATCTACCTGGTCATGGACCAGGCCACTAGAGTGCTGACCCCCAGAATACCCTCTGGGTAGACCTAAAATATACAGAAGAGTGGGTACAATATGTTAGCAAATCTTACCGAATACATTAGCTAATACAGTGGACCCTCGACCAACGATGGCATCGATTAACGATAAATCCGACTAGCAATACATTTTAACGCAAAAATTTTGCCTCGACTAGTGCTAAAAAACTCGACCAACACTATTCGTTCTGTCTGAGACGCGTCCACTTCTGGCCAGTGTTTACAAGCCAGCCAGCCACCACGGTCGCTTCCAAACATACAATCGGAACATTTCATATTATCACAGCCTTTTTAGTTATTGCACCTGCAAAATAAGTCACCATGGGCCCAAGAAAGCTTCTAGTGCCACCCCTACAGCAAAAAGGGTGAGAATTACTATGGATATGAAGAAAGAGATCATTGCTAAGTATGAAAGTGGAGTGCGTGTCTCCGAGCTGGCCAGGTTGTACACAAAACCCGAATCAACCATCGCTACTATTGTGGGCAAGAAAACAGCAATCAAGGAAGCTGTTCTTGCCAAAGGTGCAACTATGTTTTCGAAACTGAGATCGCAAGTACTCGAAGATGTTGAGAGACTGTTATTGGTGTGGATAAACGAAAAACAGATAGCAGGAGATAGCATCTCTCAAGCGATAATATGTGAAAAGGCTAGGAAGTTGCATGACGATTTAATTAAAAAAATGCCAGCAACTAGTGGTGATGTGAGTGAATTTAAGGCCAGCAAAGGTTGGTTTGAGAGATTTAAAGGGAAGGGAAGTAACCCTGGAAAATGTCTTGCCACCTCAAGTCCTAATGGAAGGGGATTCCCCTTCTAAACACTAAGACCATCAACACTCTCCCCTCCTCCCATCCCATCAATCATCACCTGATCTTCAATAAAGGTAAGTGTCATGTAACTGTGCATGTCTTCTTCAGTTTGTGTGTATTAAAATTAATATTTCATGTGGTAAAAACAATTTTTTTTCATACTTTGGGGTGTCCTACACGGATTAATTTGATTTCCATTATTTCTTATGGGGAAAATTAACTTGACTAACCATAATTTTGACTAACGATGAGCTCTCAGGAACGGATTAATAGCGTTAGTCGAGGGTCCACTGTACTATGTATAGTTATACAGTAATCTATAAAACAGACAATAATTATTGTTCAACATTTCTGATCATTTGAAGCTCTTAACCCTTTCAGGGTCCAAGGCCCAAATCTGGAGTCACGCACCAGTGTCCAAGAATTTTCAAAAAAAAAATTTGTTATTTTTTCTTATGAAATCGTAGAGAATCTTTTTGTGAAGGTAATAAAACAAAAAGTACGAAATTTGGTGGAAAATTGACGAAATTATGCTCTCGCGAATTTTGATGTGTCAGCGACATTTACGAATCGGCGATTTTGCCGACTTTGACTCCCATTTTAGGCCAATTACATTATTCCAATCAACCAAATTCTTAGCTATTTCACTAGTATTACTTCTATTCTATCGATTGAGCACAAGAAATCGCCAAGTCAACTGTTTCAACTACAAAATAAAGTGATCGGAAATTGTTAATTTGGCCAATTTAACACAAAGTTCAAATATTCCAATTTCAAAATAGGGTCCAGAATAAACAATATAGGCATTCCTGGCACTAAACTAACGTTTCCTCTGTTCATTAGTTATGTTTTGAGGCTTTACAAATAAATTCCATTTTGATTTTTTATTCACATAATGAATTTTTATTCACACCAAAAAAATAGAAGATTTACTGTTACGCAATACTGTAATAATTGTATAAATATCATCACCATATTTGTGAATGTATATTAGACCCACCAGCTGACGTGTATTAGACGTGTGAGGTCGTTTGTTTACTCTTGAATATCGGCAAAAATTTAACATTTCCGCTACTTTGAGCTCAGCTTCAAGCCATTTCCAGTGCTAAAACCAATCAAAATCATCTCTATTTCTGTAATATGTCTTCCATTCTATCAAATGAGACCAAGAAATCGCAAATACAACTATAAAAAACATACGAAAAAACACTGCAAAGTTGCTGTTTTAATCGAAAAATCATTATTTAAGTTTTTTTCTCTCATTATACACAGTGTGCTGCAGGATCTGTTTTATGTGGTGCACACATACCACATAGATGTATTCTCTCATATCTAGGCCCAAATGTACCACTCACAGTTTATCAGAGTGAGCTGAGCTCATGGCGTAGATCTACGGTTTGGACCCTGAACGTAAAGCCGTAGATCTACGGGACGGACCCTGAAAGGGTTAAAAGCATGATAGCTACCTCATGAAGGACCTGGTGGAAGAGGAGCAAATGTAGGTGCATTGTTGAGCATGAAGAAAGAGTGAACAACTGTAAGAGCCACTCAACTTGTTCCTGACACTCTGACACTATTTTTCTGATTGAATCCCTGCAAGAAATACCACACATTAATAATTACACTGCAGTTCAACAATACTTTTATGTGCAAATTATACAAATTTTCCATATGAAATTTAAAGCTTTGAGAATATACACATAGAATGAGAAACAAGAAACTCAAATTGGAAATGTTTGATTGAGAAAAGTGATGAAACTCAAATTGGAAATGTTTGATTGAGAAAAGTGATAACACAGAAACAAACTGAGAACAGAAAGCTACAAATAAACACTGAGCATTTTTGTCAGATGTCAACATGGATGTGAGCATGTGGTACATTAGTTTTTCAGAATAAATGTAAATCTGATGGTAGAAGAAAGGAAGCACTTGACCCTCCCTTCCTGGACAACTCATAGGCATCCTAGGAAGAGTTGGAGGGAGGGCTAAATAATAGGAATTTAAGAATGCAGCAGCCTTGTTGGATGGGGTTATATCGGAATGAATGGAGACAAGTTATTTTTATAGATTGATATGCTGTTGGAGTGTGAATAAGGTAACATTTATAAAGGGATTCAGAGAAACCAGTTAGCCAAACTTGAGTCCTGGTGGCAGATGTACAGTGCCTGTACTCTGAAGGAGGGGTGGGGGATATTACAGTTCAGAAGGTTATTTAACTGTGATATCTGCACACTTCTGGCATGATAGCAAATGAATGAGTGTTGGTTAATGTTTTCTCTATGTGGGGTCACCCTACCTTAGTGGGAGACAGCTGTGTGTTAAACAATCAATAACCTTAAATAGAGAAATGAAGAAACAATATTTACTCATGTATGAGCACAATATTATTGTTATAATCATAAGGAAGTGGTCATTGGCTTATATTATTTGCACAATCAGTACTTATTCTTTTCTTCTTTCAACAACTGATGAAATGCTGGAGAATCCCTGCATCCATGATAAGTCTCATTTAATAAAATTTTGGTGCATAGAAAGAAAAAAGTCTTAATTACCTTGAAGTAGATGGCTGGGGATAAACTGTTGAGGTAAAAGAATGAAGGAGGACAGTGTTGATGTCTTGAAACCTCTTCCACATGATCCAGTTCTGTCCTCGGGACCAATCTACTAAGCTGACTGAGTTGGTCAAGCTTGCTGTTACCCCTACTGGGTCTGCAGAGTCGAAGTGTGCCAAAGCTCTGAAAAAATATTTAACCCTTAAACTGTCAAAGTGTCTAAAATAAACATGCCCTCTGTACCAATGATTTTGAAAAAAGTAAAAAAAAAAAAATATTCCTTGCTTGATACAGTAATTTTTTTTGTGTGCAGATTATTCTAATTTTTATCTATGTATGTTAGGAAAGCATAGGTTCTCCTGATGTGTGATTATACTTTACTGCAGCAAAGTAAAGAAAGATTTAATGTAAACTTAATATGTGAACCAACACAACATTAACAAAGCACATTACCATAGCTTACATTCAACAGGATTCAAAAATACCAGTTAACTAACAACTAAGTTACTTACTGAACATGAGATAGGTTTCTGTACATGTTAAGAAGACCAGAATGAAATGCAGCACTTTCAGAGTCCTTTTGATTACTTCGAACCTGCATCATCCATTTCTGTAGTTCTCCCCACTGGCTTAGTTTACTGTAACATTCTGCAATCTGAAAGTTACAAATTAGTGTAAATGTTCAATAATAACCCACATGAATACACACATCTAAAAGATTAATCAGTCTGTGTATTTTGATCACCTTCTGGGATTCTCTTCAGCAAATACGTAAGTGAAATGAGAACAAGAATATATAGGGAAAGTTGCATCTCTTCCTGTATGGGTTGAGGTGCAACCTTCCCTATACATTCTTGTTCTCATTGCACTTATGTATCTGCTGAAGAGGATCCCAGAGGGGGATCAAAATATACAGACCAATTAATCTCTTCTGAGTTTTTGTCTCCATGTGGGTTATTGTTGAGCACTTACAAATGTTCATTACACTTCAGTTATCCATTAGCATAGATCTTAAATTTTAAATTACAGGCCCTGAAAGACAGCTAAGGAATGAGTAATGGTAAATGTATCTCATTCTTTGGGTCACTTCACCTTGATGTTAAACAGACAATGTGTTTAAGAAATACAGGAAATTAAAAGAATTACAAATGTATCCAAAAAACGTAAGTGCCCTATTAAGGCAGGCTGCTTGAAAATTGTAAACAATAAGTAATATATTACAAAACAATAAATTATTGCATGTAGTTACTTGGGCAGGATTACAATTAATCATTAGATGCATACTATCTTAATATAGGACCAAAAGAGAGGGAGGGAGGAAGGGAGGAGGAGGAACAAGAAAAGGAACAGGAAAAGGAGCAAAAGGAAGAGGAAGAAGAGAAAGAGGAAGAGGAGGAAGAGAAAGAGGAGGAACAAGAAAAGAAACAGGAAGTAGAGGAACAGGAGGAGGAACAGGAGGAGGAACAAGAGAAGGAATCAGAGTAGGAAAAGGACAGTGACAGTGTAAAGATAAAGATCCCAGGGAAAAACTTGAATACCTGAGAGTATATAAACTCTTGGATTAGAGGATCTAACTGCTTGACATCCACATGACTGCCAGGAGTGCCATGTGATGACCCGGAGTCACTCTCCATTGTCTTATCCTTGTCTGCTTCTTCGCTGTCCTCTATACCTTCTAAAAACTGCAAGTATCCCCTGAGTGACTTCTCAAATCTAAAATATAAATATAAAAATCTTTCAATTCTTTCAACAAACCGGCCGTATCCCACCGAGGCAGGGTGGCCCAAAAACAAAAACAAAAGTTTCTCTTTTTAAATTTAATGAGTATCTACATGAGGAAAAAAACTGACTGAATAGTTTTGTGACAGATTTTTAAGTAAGCTAAAAAAATTTATTGAATGTACTCCAAGAACATTCTTAGATTTTGATTTCTATCCCAAATAGCCAGTGGAGGTTTGTCTATTTCAGTAAAAAACATCAACAAAGATTATATTTTGAATACATCTTACTTATTGCCAGCACTGTATACTGCAGGTTTAAGCCAGGCAAATCGTCGACCAATGTGATCTCGGCACCAATGGTAGAGACCAGACACTCCTTCATCACAGCCTTCTGCCACAAGTGCTCGAGCACAGTAGCAGACTGCACGTTCAAAGTCATTACCCTAAGGAGATAAGAACCAAAAAACCTATGTCATTTGATATCTAGTTAAAGTGACGTGTCTCATCAATCTTTTTTAATACATACACAGCAAGGTTAGCCATTTATAATTTTTTTTTTTTCAACGAACCGGCTATATCCCACCTAGGCAGGGTGACATAAAAAGAAAAACATAAGTTTTTCTTTATAAATTTAGTAATATGTACATACAGGAGAAGGCGAAACTAGCCCTTTTCACCCTTTATGACACAATGACTTACAGGATGAATTCTGTTCACTTCCCCACTGAGACAAGGGGAAAAAAAGAACAGAACTTGTAAGAAACAAGAAGAAAACTCCAGATCTTCTTATCAACAAACGGCTGTATCCCACTGAGGCAGGGCTGGCCCAAAAAAAGGAAAAACAAAAGTTTCTCTTTTTTAAAATTTAGTAATTTTTACAGCAAGGGGCTAATAGCCCTTACTCCCGGCATTTTACTCACCTCTTACAACATGCATGGCTTACAGAGGAAGAATGTCTGTTCCACTTTCTTCATGGAGGATAGAGGAATATATAAACAAGAACTAGTAAGAAAATAAAAGGAAAACCAGAGGGTGTATATATGTTTGTACATTATGTGAAGTGTGACCTAAGTGTAGTAGAAAGTAGCAAGACTCGTACCTGTAATCTTGCTGTTTATGAGACAGAGATAAGACACCAGCAATTCTACCATCACGTAAAACATTGTACAGGCTTCCGTTTTACACTCACCCCCCCCCCCCCCCATGGCAAGATGGTGTATCTCCCTGGGACAGTGCTGTCTACCAACCACTACTAGGCATAAAATAATATATACATCAATAACAAATGATAATAACAATAATCTGCCCTGGGTCGGATATAGCCTGGTTTGTTAAAAGAAGCAAACAATATTTAAATCAATAATTTATTAATAATATTAATTATTTGGACTTTGGAAGAGGATGAAGCAGATAAGAATGACTAAGAGGGTATATTAATCTGGGGTGGAAGGAAGGAGGAGTAGGGCTGTTAATTCCAGGAAGGGATGGATGGAGAATGCGAATAAAGTTTTAAGTGGAAGGGGCTTGAGCATCCAGTCAGGCATGTTAGCATGTTGTATCTAATTTACCTGGGTATTGTTGTTATCTTTCAGTTCCTGAAGAAGTTGTATGAGTGTCGGATTGCTACCTCAGGGTCGTCCACAGATTGAGTGAAAACAATTTATAACTGCTGCTCGTATGCGACTTAACCATTCAGACATGTTTGACGATTTGTACGAATAGAAAAGTTCTATCACTCTAGAAAAAAAGAGACAAGAAATCAGTATACGTCCAGATATTTGATGAGCAAGCAAAACAGTACAGCATGCCATGGCATGCTAAATTTATTGGTTAGTATGGGTTACCTGATCTCATCCAGAGCATTTATTATTGTGATTACTCAAGTATAATTATCAACAAAATTGTAATATAAATCAAATTTGGATATTAGCTACATAACATTAACATATTCAGAAAGACAAAAACATGCCTTGAATGTATCATGAGGTACCTTTGTTTGGGGGGAGGAACTGCCACAGCACATCAATCATTGCTTAAACATGGCCTTTTCAAGACTCTCTACAAATTCGACTAGTAACATTACAGCAAGAGATTGAATTTCACATTATTACTCTCTCCATCAGCCTTTTCCATTCCATTTGTTTTGGTGGCAGATTTATCGTCCTCGTTCTTCACAGACAACTGCCTTTTACTAAATCTTGACACATTCTTTAACCTCTTTTGCTAGACTTTTAATGACCTCCTGTGGAACATAAATAATTATCATTATCATTTTTTTTTGAACACACTGGCCATCTCCCATCTCGGCAACGTGACCCCAAAAAGAAACACTTTCACCATCATTCACACTATCACTGTTTTGCCAGAGATGTGTAGATATGACAGTTCAGATCAGTGCACACACTGCACAATCTTTCCAAAACATTTAAATTACCATTTCATCTTAATGAAAAGTTTAAAATTCATGGCTTATATTATCAAAGAGTATTTCATTCACAAGCAAAGACAGAGATGCACATGCATATACAGTATGTGAACACACAATTAACCCTTAAACTGTCCAAATGTACATCTACGTTTGCGCGCATAGCGCTCAGACCTTGATTTTCTCAAAGAAACAATGTAAAAAACATAGATCTATGTTTGCAGCACTACACGAGCAAATGTAGATCTACGTTTGGACAGTTTAAGGATTAATATTTAGTTACCTTCAATACTAGTGAATGTGTCTAGAGGTTTGCCGAGAGTTGTTTTCAATTTATTAGCAATGCAGTGCTGTGCTGGTTCCCATGCCAACCACTTCCAGAGCAGTGTACGCAGGTGTGACGCCAAAATAGGGAGGCTCCAGTCCTCAGCCTTAGTCATTCTCTCAACTCTCTGGCACATGGCAAACAGATCATCTTGCCAAAACTCCCCTCTAAAAACAAAATTGAGATGCAATTTAATTTACAATGGTTTATAAATTATATTAAAAGCCTATACAGTACTGTTATTCTAAATAAATCCCAAGATAAAGAGTTAGACATTGCAACATCTGGATGTTGCCATTATTACAAAAAAAAGTGTTTTTTTAAAGATGGTAAGTTTTACTCCCTTTTTTTAATAAAGAGTTGGGGATACATAATACAACATTAAAATAAATTTAAATCTTTAATTTTAAATATAAAAATCAATCTTTGGTCTAGAGGTATTTAAAATAATATACATTTTTACAAATAAATTATTAGCATCTTAAAATAATAATATATATATCTATGCTAGGTTGGTAGACAGCAACCACCCAGGGAGGTACTACCGTCCTGCTAAGTGAGTGTAAAACGAAAGCCTGTAATTGTCTTACATGATGGTAGGATTGCTGGTGTCTTTTGCCCTGTCTCATAAATATGCAAGATTACAGGTACGTCTTGCTACTTCTACTTACACTTAGGTCACATACACATACATGTACACGTTTATTTATACACACTCATCTGAGTTTTTTTTGATTTTATTTTAAAATAGTTCTTGGTCTTATTACTTTTCCTTTTATATCCATGGGAAGTGGAATAAGAATCTTTCCTCCGTAAGCCATGCGTGTTGTAAAAGTCAACTAAAAAGCCGGGAACAATGGGCTAGTAACCCCTTTTCCTGTAAAGATTACTAAAAAGAATAAGAAAAAGAAAATTGCAAAGTGGGAAGTCTGAATGTCGTGGATGTTGTGCAAATGATAAGAAAGAGATGATTGTGGATGTTATGAATGAGAAGAAACTGGTGTCCTGGGTTTAAGTGAAACAAAGCTGAAGGGGGTGGGAGAGTTTCAATGGAGAGGAATAAATGGGATTAGGTCAGGGGTTTCAAATAGAGTTAGAGCTAAAGAAGGAGTAGCAAAATGTTGAAGGATAAGCTATGGCAGGAAAAGAGGGACTACAAATGTATAAATTCAAGGATTATGTGGAGTAAAAATAAAGATTGGATGTGAAAAGTGGGTTTATAGTAAACGTGTATGCACCTGGAGAAGAGAGAAGTGTAGGGAGAGAGAGAGATTCTGGGAAATGTTGAGTGAATGCGTGGGAGTTTTGAATCAAGTGTGAGAATAATGGTGGTTGGGGATTTCAATGCTAAAGTGGGTAAAAATGTTATGGAGGGAGTAGTAGGTAATTTTGGTGGTGCCAGGGGGAAATGTAAATGGGGGGCCTTTAATTGAGCTATGTGTAGAAAGAAATTTGGTAATAAGTAATACATATTTTATGAAAAAGAGGATAAATAAATATACAAGGTATGATGTAGCACGTAATGAAAGTAGTTTGTTAGATTATGTATTGGTGGATAAAAGGTTGATGGGTAGGCTCCAGATGTACATGTTTATAGAGGGCAACTGATATATCGGATCATTATTTAGTTGTAGCTACAGTTAGAGTAAGAGGTAGATGGGAAAAGAGGAAGGTGGCAACAACAAGTAAGAGGGAGGTGAAAGTGTATAAACTAAGGGAGGAGAAAGTTCGGGGCGAGATATAAGCGACTATTGGCAGAAAGGTGGGCTAGTGCAAAGATGAGTAGTGGGGGGGTTGAAGAGGGTTGGAATAGTTTTAAAAAATCAAGTATTAGAATGTGGGGCAGAAGTTTGTGGTTATAGGAGGGTGGGGGCAGGAGGAAAGAGGAGTGATTGGTGGAATGATGAAGTAAAGGGTGTGATAAAAGAGAAAAAGGTAGCTTACGAGAGGTTTTTACAAAGCAGAAGTGTTATAAGAAGAGCAGAGTATATGGAGAGTAAAAGAAAGGTGAGGAGAGTGGTGAGAGAGTGCAAAAGGAGAGCAGATGAAAGAGTGGGAGAGGCACTGTCAAGAAATTTTAATGAAAATAAGAAAAAATTTTGGAGGGAGTTAAACAAGTTAAGAAAGCCTAGGGAAAGTATGGATTTGTCAGTTAAAAACAGAGTAGGGGAGTTAGTAGATGGGGAGAGGGAGGTATTAGGTAGATGGCGAGAATATTTTGAGGAACTTTTAAATGTTAAGGAAGAAAGAGAGGCGGTAATTTCATGCACTGGCCAGGGAGGTATACCATTTTTTAGGAGTGAAGAAGAGCAGAAGTGAAGTGTGGTGGAGGTACGTGAGGAATTACGTAGAATGAAAGGGGGTAAAGCAGCTGGAACTGATGGGATCATGACAGAAATGTTAAAAGCAGGGGGGGATATAGTGTTGGAGTGGTTGGTACTTTTGTTTAATAAATGTATGAAAGAGGGGAAGGTACCTAGGGATTGGCGGAGAGCATGTATAGTCCCTTTATATAAAGGGAAAGGGGACAAAAGAGATTGTAAAAATTATAGAGGAATAAGTTTACTGAGTATACCAGAAAAGTATACGGTAGGGTTATAATTGAAAGAATTAGAGGTAAGACAGAATGTAGAATTGCGGACGAGCAAGGAGGTTTCAGAGTGGGTAGGGGATGTGTAGATCAAGTGTTTACATTGAAGCATATATGTGAACAGTATTTAGATAAAGGTAGGGAAGTTTTTATTGCATTTATGGATTTAGAAAAGGCATATGATAGAGTGGATAGAGGAGCAATGTGGCAGATGTTGCAAGTATATGGAATAGGTGGTAAGTTACTAAATGCTGTAAAGAGCTTTTATGAGGATAGTGAGGCTCAGGTTAGGGTGTGTAGAAGAGAGGGAGAATCCTTCCCGGTAAAAGTAGGTCTTAGACAGGGATGTGTAATGTCACCATGGTTGTTTAATATATTTATAGATGGAGTTGTAAAAGAAGTAAATGCTAGGGTGTTCGGGAGAGGGGTGGGATTAAATTATGGGGAATCAAATTTAAAATGGGAATTGACACAGTTACTTTTTGCTGATGATACTGTGCTTATGGGAGATTCTAAAGAAAAATTGCAAAGGTTAGTGGATGAGTTTGAGAATGTGTGTAAAGGTAGAAAGTTGAAAGTGAACATAGAAAAGAGTAAGGTGATGAGGGTATCAAATGATTTAGATAAAGAAAAATTGGATATCAAATTGGGGGGAGGAGTATGGAAGAAGTGAATGTTTTCAGATACTTGGGAGTTGACGTGTCGGCGGATGGATTTATGAAGGATGAGGTTAATCATAGAATTGATGAGGAAAAAAGGTGAGTGGTGCGTTGAGGTATATGTGGAGTCAAAAAACGTTATCTATGGAGGCAAAGAAGGGAATGTATGAAAGTATAGTAGTACCAACACTCTTATATGGATGTGAAGCTTGGGTGGTAAATGCAGCAGCGAGGAGACGGTTGGAGGCAGTGGAGATGTCCTGTCTAAGGGCAATGTGTGGTGTAAATATTATGCAGAAAATTCGGAGTGTGGAAATTAGGAGAAGGTGTGGAGTTAATAAAAGCATTAGTCAGAGGGCAGAAGAGGGGTTGTTGAGGTGGTTTGGTCATTTAGAGAGAATGGATCAAAGTAGAATGACATGGAAAGCATATAAATCTATAGGGGAAGGAAAGAGGGGTAGGGTCGTCCTCGAAAGGGTTGGAAAGAGGGGGTAAAGGAGGTTTTGTGAGTAAGGGGCTTGGACTTCCAGCAAGCGTGCATGAGCGTGTTAGATAGGAGTGAATGGAGACGAATGATACTTGGGACCTGACGATCTGTTGGAGTGTGAGCAGGGTAATATTTAGTGAAGGGATTCAGGGAAACCGTTATTTTCATATAGTCGGACTTGAGTCCTGGAAATGGGAAGTACAATGCCTGCACTTTAAAGGAGGGGTTTGGGATATTGGCAGTTTGGAGGGATATGTTGTGTATCTCTATACGTATATGCTTCTAAACTGTTATATTCTGAGCACCTCTGCAAAAGCAGTGATAATGTGTGAGTGTGGTGAAAGTGTTGAATGATGATGAAAGTATTTTCTTTTTGGGGATTTTCTTTCTGTTTTTTTTTTTTTGGGTCACCCTGCCTCGGTGGGAGACGACCGACTTGTTGAAAAAAAAAAAAAAAAAAAAAAAAAAAAAAAAAAAAAAAAAATCTATGCTAAAATAATAAATTATAAATAACATTTGTATAATAATAAATTAGTCAACTCCGTGTCTCACGACACCCTAATGAAGCTCCGTGTCTCACACGACACTTATCCGTGGTGTGTTGTGACGCTCCCTCTCAACTGTGCCACTTGACACCCTTTCTTCCGTGTAATGACGCTCCTGCTCAACCATGTCCACTAGACACCCTTTTCTCTGTGTCACATGACACTCCTACTCTCCATGTCACACGACACCCTTTTCTCTGCATCATACACAATATCTCTACTGTGTCACTCTTGACACCCTTGTCTCTGCGTCGCACACTATCACCCACAGCGTCTCTCTTATCAGAGACCAGTCACATGACACTATTCAATGTACACTACAACCAGGCCATCTTCAGTGTCACATGACACCCTTTTCTTCTCAGTGTTCCACTACGGTCCTGTAGCATATCTCAGTGTTCCACTCCATCATACTTCCCTAAGTGTCACACTACGGTCCTAGCCCAGTTCAGTGTAACACTCCAACCTTTTCTTCATGTAATGTCCCACTAAAACAGCATCAGATAACTCCGGCTCACAGTTGACCAGCGTAGGCGGTGAGTCCGCAGACATCACCGGTAGTCCTGTAAATACTCTCTAAGGCCGGTAGAAGTACACCGTAAGATGGTCTGGTGAGTACTACCTACCGCCTTCAAGACCAGTTGACACCGCAAGGAGGTTCGGTTAATCCTGCTTGCCGAACACCATACTGCAAGCTCACTGAATGCGGCCGTCAAGTAACTGAGGCCAACAGACTCAGTGAGCTGCGGTGAGCGGTTCTTCTAAAATCAGTAGAAGCCAGTAGAATACTCTACTGCCAGTAGATGTGTACCATTAGGTGTTCAGGTACCTACTGCTTCTAAAGCCAGTAGATGTGTACCATTAGGTGTTCAGGTACCTACTGCTTAGATGTGTACCGTGAGGTGCTCAGGTACTTAATGCTCTAAGGCTGGCTCAGCAGTCCCCACAATGGGTTTGATGACGTACCCAGTGGTACTGCCGGCCGGCAGGTTAACTATTTAACCGCTAGTTTGGCAGGGGGCCGTAACACATCTTGTTGGTATTGTATGCCTTCATGTACAATCCCAAGATAACTAGAATTTTTCAAACAGATGTCAAGCCAATGTTGATGCTCTTAAATCATTTATACACACTGTGTACTGCAATACAGCCTCTCCTCACTTAGCGACGTACTCGTTTACTGACGACTCAGACTTATGACAGGCTCTCTGACCAGTATGCATACTTAAATAATGTATATTAGAGCTGATTTCCTCTATTCTGTTTATTACAATATACAGTACACTACTGTATAAACATTTAAAAATATACTAAAAATGTTATATATGGTGCAAAGGTGACATTAAAACAATATCAAAGGCGGTTGACACAAACCCGCTATTACTGTAGTATGTTCCTTGCTTAGTGACAAGTTCATTTACCAATGTGGTCTTAGGAATGGAACTCCGTCATTAAATGAGGAGAGGCTGTACTGTTACATAGTAATAATTCTGGGTTGGGTGGAAAGAGGTATTGGGAATGTCTCAGGAAGAGTTTGCTGAAAAGGAACAAGTTTTGAGTGGGGAAGGGATGTCTGATCTTCCAGAAGGCACATGTGAGTGCAGAGACAAGTATTTGTCATGCTCTTATGAAGGGATTCAGGAAAAATGATTAGCCATACACAAATAACCCGCACATAAAAGACAGAAGCTTACGACGACGTTTCGGTCCGACTTGGACCATTGACAAAGTCACACTGTGTGACTTTGTCAATGGTCCAAGTCGGACCGAAACGTCGTCGTAAGCTTCTGTCTTTTATGTGCGGGTTATTTGTGTATCGTTCCAGTCACGGTATTGTGCCTTTTTGTTATTTATTTATGATTAGCCAAACATGAATAATGGACGTAGGAAATACAGTGTAGTTCAGAGGATCAATGGAATAGTGATAACTGCGCACTTTTGGGAAGACAGTTATTGAATGAGTGATTGTGAATGTATCTTTTTCTTTGGATCACCCTACCTTGGAGTGAAATAACCAATGTGATAAAAAAAAAAAGTAAGTTATGTACTGTACTAAGAAAATGAAATGAAACGGCAGCTGGTTGTTATGCACAAGAATGTTGTATACAGTACTGTATTCTTAAAAATATGACATGATGCTCCCTTCTATACTCAATAAAATAAACAAATACTTTATTATACTCTTACACCATAATTTAAAATGCATCAATTAAAAAATACAAAGTTAAATGCCAAACTTACTTTGGCTGAGAGACATGAAGAATAAATGCCATAAGTGTGTGAAATGCATTAGATGGCAGCTGTCCAGAAGTTGACCTGAGGACAAAGTGCCGCTCAAGACTCTTAACTGAGGTTGAGTCCAGACTTCCAAATTCCACACTTGATGATGAGTCTCCCTGCGAACGAATACGTTTTCAAAAATCCATTAAGAGCATTGCTAATTTGATTCAAAAAGCACGAATCTCAATTTTTTTTTTAACACACTGGCCATCTCCCACACAGGCAGAGTGACCCAAAAAAGAAACAATTTCACCATCATTCACACTATCAGTATGTTGCCAGAGGCACACAGATACAACATTTTCTATGTCACTTTAAAAGCAAATAACCCAAATCCCTCCTTTAAAGTGCAGGCATTGTATTTCCCAAAACATTACCCTGCTCACACTCCAACAGCTTGTCACATCCCAAAAATCATTTGTCTCCACTCACTATCTAACACACACACATGCTTGCTGTATGTTCAAGCCCCTTGCACACAAAACCTCCTTTACCCCCTCGCTCCATCCTTTCCTAAAATGACCCTTACCCCTCCTCCTCTCCACCTCAGATTTATACACCCTCCAAGTCATCCCCCACAGGTGCTGTATAATCCCTATGGGTTTAGCACTCCCCCATGATAATAATAATCTGTCCTAAGTGACCAAACCACCACAAGACAATACAAAATGGATTAAAAAGCAGAAAGATGCCGGCATGTATGGTTGTACATAGAAGAAACACATTCACTGTCATTCATTCAATCACTGCCTTACCACAAGTGTGCTGCTGTCACACGTCAGAATTATAACCACTTACCTTATTTGCTGTGTACTCATTTTCCTGGGTACCATTGCCAGTACAGAGTGAGTGAGAAACAGCACTGAGAGGTAACCTTGCCAACAGATCAAGATACATGCTTCGGATTTTTGGGTCTTTGTGGCTCACGTGGTGAACACACAATTTTATTACTTCTTCCAAGTTCTACAAGTAAAAATATAAAAAGATATAAATGTGTGCTGTACTTTAAATAATAAAAAGGAAATACTCAAAATACTCTGCATTAAAATAAAATTTTGATTATTAGGCCACCATGACCAATTACAAATTGAAGAACAAAAATTCACAAGACCATGACTGGAACAAATTACATGAATAACCCACACATAGGAGAGAGAACCTCACAAAGATGTTTCAGTCCAACTTGGTCCATTTACAAAGTCACTTTGTGACTCTGTAAATGGTCCAATTCGAACCGAATTTTCGTCGTAAGCTCCCCTCTCCAGTGTGTGGTTTGTGTACCAAACGAAATCTCATTTTATGAATATAGTATAAAATATACACATACATATGTGGCTAGCTGGCCCAGTGGCTAACACGACGGCCTGGAGTTTTTTTAAGTATTTTCTTTTTGGGGATTTTCTTTCTTTTTTGGGTCACCCTGCCTCGGTGGGAGACGGCCGACTTGTTGAAAAAAAAAAAAAAATATGCAATACACATAATGTGGAAGATTTGCATTTACAAGCTTTTACACAGTATGTATGTCATGTACTGATCTATGTACTGCAGTCACAATACAATCTGCATGTACTCTATCATAGATTCATACTATAGCAAGTCACATAATATAATTAATTTAGGCACATTGTATATGTAGCTTAAGTCACCACAATATAATGTTATGATTGTCAAGCACAGTGCCTTAATTAAAATATAGTTTGACTAGGGAAATGCTCATGAGCTGTTTGTGACAAAACCAACATGACTGATAAGTATACCTGTTTCCCACCAATGCAAGTTGACCCAGACAAAGAAATATATTCACCATCTCTCATTCAATAACTTTCTTGCCTGGTTGGCAATGCTCCCACACTGAGTGTCCATGGTTCAATCCCCGACATGGGTGGAAACAATGGGCATGTTTCCTTACACCTGCTGTCCCTGGTCACCTAGCAAGCAGGTAGGTACCTTAGTGTTAGTTGACTGGTGTGGGTCATATCCTGAGAGACATGATTGAAGGACTCCAGTGGAAATAAGACAGATAGTCCTTGATGACATACTGATTTTCTTGGGTTATCCTGGGTAGGTAACCCTCCAGGGTTAAAAATCCAAGCAAAATCTCATCTTATCTTACCATGAAAGTAAAACCACTACAACCCCAATTTATATTTATTAAAAACAAAAGATTTAAAATTTACCTGAGAAAGGGGCAAAATTGAGAAAATTGTAGACAAGCAAGCAGCAACAGCAGAAGTGACAGAATTCAGATGGTGGTAGCCTGTTTGCACTATTGTATCAATCAACTGTGTGAAGATCTTAATTTTCAGAAGCTGAGATACAGAGGTTTCACAGCTTCGCATTACATCTGCAGCCCACTCTAGGCACAGCTGCAGGATGTTAGCCCCAGTGACATGCCTCTGAAAACAAGTGCTTTACCTATTAATATTAAAATCACATTATTGCGCATACAGTATATATATATATACACACACACAGGGGCCAAGAGCTAAGTCTCGACCCCTGCAACCACAATTAGGTTCAGGTGAGCACACGCACATGCATGCACACACACGCACACACTGTAGTAAATGAGAGTGCTAAGCTATATATGGAGGCCCTAACAGACCACAGCAGAGCCCAGGGAAAGCCGGGAAGGGAAAATGACAGGCCACTGAGCCCAAGTACATTAGCTAGTGAAACTGAAGAAAGGAAAGCTGCAATGGAGGAAATTAAATTGAATAAGTGGATACGCAAGGATATGCAGTGGGAGAATGAAAGGGAGAGGTCAGTCTTTGTGTATGGGCTCCAGGAAGTTGAAGGGGAAACATATGAAGCAAGAAAACATGGGGAAAAAAAAGCAATTGAAAGCATCATAAAAGCAATAGGAGAAGACGACATGACCCAGATGGAAAATTTTCGGAGAATAGGGGGGTTTGCAAAAAGAAGGACCCGGCCAGTGAAAGTGGTCTTCAAGGCAGAATCGATTCGAAACAGGATCCTGCAGGAGAAAGCACGATTAAGGGACATGCCGGCATACAGGAAGGTGTATCTTGAACGCGACAGAACACAGGAAGAAAGGCAGAAACAGAGAGATGGTACGAAGGCGAAAGGAGGAAAGAGAGGGGATGGAGGAGACAGACAGGAGATCCCAGACCCAGGAAGAAGATCAAATACAGTCTCCCTCACAACTTCCTATAGAAGCCCCCCAACCAGGTCAACCCCAGTGCAACCAAACACTCTAAACCAAAACACCCATGCCATATCCAATGTCCCCACCCACTGCATTACAAACTCCACCCCCACAGCAGCCACCCATAGTTCCTTATCAGGTCTCCCACTTCCCCAACCCCAATATACCTCCCAGACCACAGTCTTAGAAAAGAAGTTGAAGGTGTGGTATACAAATGCAGATGGAATAACAAATAAGTATGAGGAGTGGCATGAAAGAATCAAGGAGACATCCCCAGACATAATAGCACTCACAGAAACAAAACTCACCAGAATAATAACAGATTCAATCTTTCCATCCAGATATCAAATCCTCAGGAAAGACAGAGGGAGGAGAGGGGGAGGAGGAGTTGCACTGCTCATTAAAAACCAGTGGGGTTTTGAGAAAATGGAAGGAATGGATGGCACGGGCGAAAGGGACTACTTAGTAGGAACAATCCAGTCTGAGGGACATAAGGTGTTAATTGCAGTAATGTACAACCCACCACAGAACTGCAGGAGGCCAAGAGAAGAATACGATGAGAGCAACAGAGCAATGGTCAACACACTAGCCGAGGTGGCCAGGAGAGCACACATGGGGGAGCAACATTACTAGTTATGGGTGATTTCAATCACAAGGAGATTGACTGGGAAAACCTGGAACCCCGTGGGGGTCCCGAAACATGGAGAGCCAAGATGATGGATGTGGTACTGGAAAACCTCATGCATCAACATGTTAGAGACACTACCAGAGAGAGAGGTGAGGATGAACCAGCAAGACTGGACCTAGTATTCACCTTGAGTAGTTCGGACATCAAGGATATCATGTATGAAAGGCCCCTGGGAGCTAATGATCATGTGGTTCTGTGCTTCGACTACATAGTTGAGCTTCAAGTGGAGAGAGTAGCAGGAATAGGTTGGGAAAAACCAAACTACAAAAGGGGGAACTACTCAGGCATGAGGTACTTCCTGCAAGACATTCAGTGGGAGAGGGAACTGACAGGAAAACCAGTACAAGAAATGATGGACTATGTGGCAGCAAAATGCAAGGAGGCAGAGGAGAGGTTTGTTCCCAAGGGAAACAGAAATAATGGGAAGAACAGAACGAGTCCTTGGTTCACCCAAAGGTGTAGGGAAGCAAAAACTAGGTGTACTAGAGAATGGAAAAGGTACAGAAGACAGAGAACTCAGGAAAATAAAGAGATTTGCCGAAGAGCCAGAAACGAATATGCACAGATAAGAAGGGAGGCTCAGAGACAATATGAAAATGACATAGCAATGAAAGTCAAGTCTGACCCGAAGCTGTTGTATAGCCACATCAGGAGGAAAACAACATTCAAGGACCAGGTAATCAGACTGAGGAAGGATGATGAGTTCACAAGAAACGACCGAGAGGTATGTCAGGAGCTCAACACGAGATTTAAAGAAGTATTTACAGTGGAAACCAGTAGGACTCCAGGAAATCAGAACAGGGGGGTACACCAGCAAGTGCTGGATGAGGTACATATAACCAAGGAGGAGGTGAAGAAGCTGCTATGCGAACTTGACACCTCAAAGGTGGTGGGACCAGACAACATCTCTCCGTGGGTCCTTAAAGAGGGAGCAGAGATACTGTGTGTGCCATTAACAAAGATCTTCAACACATCAATTGAAACTGGGCAACTCCCTGAGATATGGAAGATGGCAAATGTAGTCCCAATTTTTAAAAAGGGAGACAGACATGAGGCACTAAACTACAGACCTGTATCACTAACGTGTATAATATGCAAAGTCATGGAGAAGATCATCAGGAGGAGAGTGGTAGAGCACCTGGAAAGAAACAAGTGTATAATTGACAACCAGCACGGTTTCAGGGAAGGAAAATCCTGTGTCACAAACCTACTGGAGTTTTATGACAAGGTGACAGAAGACAAGAGAGAGAGGAGTGGATCAACTGCATTTTCTTGGACTGCAAGAAGGCCTTCGACACAGTTCCTCACAAGAGGTTACTGCAAAAGCTAGAGGATCAGGCACACATAACAGGAAAGGCACTGCAATGGATCAGAGAATACCTGACAGGGAGGCAACAATGAGTCAGGGTACGTGACGAGGTGTCAGAGTGGGCGCCTGTGACAAGCGGGGTTCCACAGGGGTCAGTCCTAGGACCTGTGCTGTTCTTGGTATATGTGAATGACATAACGGAAGGGATAGACTCAGAAGTGTCCTTGTTTGCAGATGATGCGAAGTTAATGAGAAGAATCAAATCGGATGAGGATCAGGCAGGACTACAAAGAGACCTGGACATGCTACAAGCCTGGTCCAGCAACTGGCTCCTTGAGTTTAACCCTGCCAAATGCAAAGTCATGAAGATTGGGGAAGGGCAAAGAAGACCGCAGACACAATATAGTTTAGATGGCCAAAGACTGCAAACCTCACTCAAGGAAAAAGATCTGGGGGTGAGTATAACACCGAGCATATCTCCTGAGGCGCACATCAATCAGATAACTGCTGCAGCATACGGGCACCTGGCAAACCTATGGATAGCGTTCCGATACCTCAGTAAGGATTCGTTCAAGACTCTGTATACCATTTACGTCAGGCCCATACTGGAGTATGCAGCACCAGTTTGGAATCCACACCTGGTCAAGCACGTCAAGAAATTAGAGAAAGTGCAAAGGTTTGCTACAAGACTAGTCCCAGAGCTAAGGGGATTGTCCTACGAAGAAAGGTTGAGGGAAATCGGCCTGACGACACTGGAGGACAGGAGGGTCAGGGAAGACATGATAACGACATATAAAATACTGCGCGGAATAGACAAGGTGGACAAAGATGGGATGTTCCAGAGATGGGACACAGACACAAGAGGTCACAATTGGAAGTTGAAGACTCAGGTGAATCAAAGGGATGTTAGGAAGTATTTCTTCAGTCACAGAGTTGTCAGGCCGTGGAATAGCCTAGAAAGTGACGTAGTGGAGGCGGGAACCATACATAGTTTTAAGGTGAGGTATGATAAAGCTCATGGAGCAGAGAGAGAGAGGACCTAGTAGCAATCAGCGAAGAGGCGGGGCCAGGACCTATGACTCGACCCCTGCAACCACAAATAGGTGAGTACAAAAAGGTGAGTGTGTGTGTGTGTACACACACACACACACACACACACACACACACACAGTGATTATGTATAAGTGATGATGAAAGTGTTGAATGATGATGAAAATTTATTTTCTTTCTTTTTGGGTCACAATGCCTCAGTGGGAAGAAGCCGACGTGTTAAAAAAGAAAAATTGCAAAGAAACACAAAATAGTTTACAGCAAAGTTCTGGCAGGTCGTGTTTGTTTGGTCAAGTGCCCAGCAAACGATTAACTACCGTGCGATTTGTTTACCGAACAAAGCATCTGAATAACAATGAATACCTCCATAATACATGATGTTATGTACAAATAATTTAACCAGCAGTGAGCCACTAGAATGACTATGAGGAATGAGGTGTTAAAGGGTACAAGCAAAATATTAACCTCTAGTTTAAGGTAACTTAGTTTAAAGTGATGAATGGTAGTGTTAACTTTCAAGCTAGACAAAATATTCAAAATAAGATGATAGTTGGCGAATGCTTAAGTGCAGACACAGTACACAAATAACCCGCACATAAAAGAGAGAAGCTTACGACGACGTTTCGGTCCGACTTGGACCATTGACAAAGTCAATGGTGACTTTGTCAATGGTCCAAGTCGGACCGAAACGTCGTCATAAGCTTCTCTCTTTTATGTGCGGGTTATTTGTGTATCGTTCCAGTCACGGTATTGTGCCTCTTTGTTATTGATTTGCAGACACAGCCAATACAGTAGCAGGCAAGACACAGTTACAGCAATGTATGGAACAATCATGATTATAACTATATGAAATTTATAATGCTGAAGCTACTGGGCTCTGAAAGTATATATTTCTTTTTTCAACACGACGGCTGTCTCCCACTGAGGCAGGGTGACCAAAAAAGAAAGAAACACTTTCACCATCATTCACACAATATCACTGTCTTTGCAAAGGCACTCCAAAGAGTATATATAAAAACCATGACTAATTATCTTAAGAGATGTACCAATTCTTATTTGTTTATTAACCTGGTGAAAGACTGAAGAGAGGACTGTGAGGATCGTAGTAAAATTCTCACTGGTCGAGGAACCAGAGAAGCCTCCCGGGGATCCTCCAGAGAACTTTACCGACACAGAGGACGGTATAAATGGAGATGAAGCCCCAACTATGAGGGTGCTGGAGCTGATGTAGTGGGAATGCTTGGCACAATGTGAATACAGGAGAAACAATATTGCATACTGAACCTGCAAGAAGAGAGATGCAATAATCAGTTATGTATAATCTATAAAAATAAAAAAAAAATGATAACTGAGATACTCAAAGCTAAAAGCATACAGTATTGTACTATAATTATGAAGGGTTCCTCCTTTCATGCTGTAGATGAGGTCTGGTCCCATGGCAGCTAACTGTATATAGACTGCATATGGTAAAAGTGTTTTTCTTTTTCAGTTCATCCTGCCTCAGTGGAAGTTGGCCAGTGTGTTAAAAAAATACGAGAAGCCCTAAATCTGTATGGGTCATACTATGCCATGGAAGGGGATGGTAGCTTCATTTCCTTATATCAAAAGCCTTTCACCAGCACCACAGTGCCCCTTTCAAAGGTAATATGTCAGGTAGAGACTTCAAAACACTGCAGATAGAGAAGAAGGGAAGAAATAGAGAGAGTAAAACAATTACTGTACAGTACTGAATTGAAAACTTAGTTTGATTAACATACCTCTGGATAATGTAATGCTAATTGTGAGCTGGCCGGTGTAAGGTGATATGCCAGCAGGTCAACTAATGAAGGAGTAAGAGCCCACATCGTGATTATGGAGTTTCTTGTGTTAGCTACCTGACAATGCAACAGTGTCTATATGTAGAAATATTTTTCAAAACTTAGAGAAATCAAAATAATAAGTCATTCAGTATGGTGTATTTACAATAAAATTATCTTAAAAATTTGAAGAACAAAAATTTCCAAATATTATTTGAAATATAAGAGTTTCTTAATCCAAGTACTTACTTCAGCCAGGACTGTCATATAATACATCATCAATATGGTTGCTTCAGTTTCATTATACTTGACACCTTCCAATACATCAGACACGGTAAACACAAAACCCTCTGGTATCAGTACACGATGAGCATGCTGTAAAAATTTCAAGAATGATCACTTGGCAAGTTTTATACTGCCAAGGTAGTTATTAACATTCAGGGTCTGGTACAAGTGCATTCTGTGAAAGTTGTGCACTACCTTAGTATCTGTGAAGAATATGTTTAGACAAAAGTTGTAAATGGTGAATTTGTGGAGAATGAACTACAGCAGGCATCATAAATGTGCATACCCACAGGTGTATGCCTTTTGCAGACTATCTGCTTGACAGATTTAAGAAATGCCAGGGCAGCCTTTGCTTGGAAGATGGCACCCCTTGCCATACTGCCAAAGACATAAAGAACTGACTAAATTACTGTGATTAGTCTATACTTATTGACTGGCCTGGAAACTCACAGGACCTAAATCCAAGAGAACATTTAGAAACGTAATAAGCATAAGCTTTATGGCAAGGACATGTAGTCTAACCCCAAAATCTTGAGTGTTATTATGCAGGTGTGAGAGAGTACGGACTTTTCTATCCTCTATAATTTAGCCTTATCAGTACCTAGGAGACTTAAGGTGAGGAACACATACATATTTCAGTATTATATGAATAAACAGAAGGATGGATGAGGGGACTGAACTGCGGTTCGACATTCTATTGTCTTGGCTACCTGGGCTTCTAATAGGAAAAAAACGGAACCAATATTTATTGTATTAATTCTGTCAGAGAGATCAACTATAACTCAACTGAAATCCTCCCCACAGCCCAGGAACTTTAGAAGTAGATCTATGCTTACCCCCCTTCAAGATCATATCAATATGGTGAGCAGTCTCATGTTCTGTGTTATCTGTTTATGCATGTAGAGTGGAACCTCAAAAATCAAATGTATCACATATCGAACGTTTCGAAAATAGGACCATTTTTTCGGACAAACTGTGTCCCTATTATCGAAAGCGGCCCTATTTTCGGACTGCTGGGTACGGGACCTGTCTGCCGCCCGCTCTGTCCGCGTCCTCGCGCAGGCGCCGTGAGCAGTCTAGCTTTGTTTATGCTTGAGTGAACACTAACCTGCGCTCTCATTCACGCATTTTACAATTATTTCGTTGTGTTTAGTGCTTGTGGGACTGTGAAATAAGCTGCCATGGGCCCAAAGAAACTTGCTAGTGGTACCCCTGTGGTAAAGAAAGTGAGAAACACCATAGATGTGAAGAAGGAAATAATACAGAAGTATGAGAGTGGTGTGAGATTTATTGAGCTTGCCAGGATGTATGGAAAAAACAAGTCGACCATCAGTTCTATCCTGTCAAAGAAAGAACAAATCAAGGAAGCTGATGTTGCGAAAGGTGTTAATATAGGGAGTGGATGAGGTGCCTTCTTCAAAGATTAAGGAGATTTGTGCCAAGTGGAATGATGTCTAAATGTTTGTGCAGAAGTACCACCCTGAGCAAGCTGAAACAAGCCATCTTTGCAACAAGTTCAGTGACAGAACCATGTCCCATTTTAGGGAAATGTTAAAGAGGCGCCAGAAAACAGAGGACTGTGGCAGTTATTTTGGAGACAGGGGTCCAGTGACTCTCAAGCTGGTCCTAATGGCATTAAAAGACAGAGAAGGGAAGTAACCCCAGAGAGGGCTTTATCTGAAGTCCTCATGGAGGGGGATTCTCCTTCCAAACACTAACCCCAACTCCCTCTCTCCTCCTCCCTATCTTCCAGATGCCATCACCAATCTTCAATAAAGGTAAGTAAAAATGTTATTTTATATGTATTACTATACATAATTAAAAACTATAGTATTTGTTGTATGTAAAACTGTAATTAATCTCTATAAAATGTATTTTTTGTGTGAATATTTTTGGGTTTCTGGAACGGATTAATTGTATTTCCATTATTTCTTATGGGAAATATTGCTTCGAATTTCAGACTTTTCGAATTTAGAACTAGCTCCTGGAACGGATTAAGTTCGATTTTTGAGGTTCCACTGTACATATTTATGACATCAACTAAGACTAATCTACCTAGAAAATGAATGTAGTGTTTAAAGCTTCTATACCTTGTAATTTATATAAAACAGTCAAGTGAAAACTTATGCTCTTCAGTTAATGTATTTAATCATGTAGTTTTGGAACTCTGGGTTTCAAAATAATTATTTTGGAGGAGTTCCAGAAGGAATATTGTAATGTTACCATATTTTCTGGCTAATAAGGAGCGCCTTTTTTCTCCACGAAAAGTCTTGGAAAAATCACTCTGTGCCTTATATGCTCAAGGTCAGAGTTAAGGGTAGGCTTCGGGTTATGTTTTAGAATGAAGTAAAAGGGTAATCAGCCCTTGAACATGATTACTGATTTACCATTATGATACTTTGTTGTGCACCTTATACACTGGAAAATACAGTACTTAGTCCTTGGAGCAAGTACAAATAGGAAGTGCATCTGTTTCGTGCTCAACAGACGGAGGATCAAGCCTCTGCCACATCTTGAGCTGAATAACCCACATGGGTTTAGCACTTAACATGAATTATTAAATTAAAATTGTACTGTATTAGTATGAATGAACACTTGATAAATATTAATTTCAAAGAACAAGACAAACCTGCAGATCAGCCAGAATGTAGTTGTAAGCTTCTTGTAGTAAAGGAACATTCTTGAGGCTAAGAACTGCATGATACACTCCAAGAGTCGCTTGCCAGATGGAGCGGTGGGGAGATAACCGAAGACTTCGTAAAGGAGAGGATTTGCCAAGTATTTTTTGTATAAACTCGACTGACAGGCTGCCGCCAATCTGCTTCAACATCTATACACATGGAAAAAATACATAAAAGGACAAGAAATCCACCTTAAATGTGATTAGTGTTAAGCAAGACACACTAGTTGATACAACCAACTGTGATGAGTAAACAAAATTGCCCCAACCCTTGTGTACTTAAGCAAAGAAAATTACCAAAGAAAGAAAAAGAGGAAGAGCAAGTGTGTTAAAGAGTTAGAGAGAGAGTCAGAGAGAGAGAGAGTGCTGTTGGACATATTAATGAAATGAGGTCAATGCATGAGAGAATAAATAACTGAATAAAGAAAAAATGTGTATTTCATATCTCAGCAGGTGAATAATTCTCAAACCTATTACTGTGTAATTTCATCCTCACCTGCTGAGTAATACATGTAGCATCCAGAATGCAATAAATACCTCTCTAAGAAACATTTTATCAAAAACATATCCAAGATTAAAGAAACTAAAACACAAGAGCTTAAAAAATTCTTTCTCCGTCTTAAATTGAAAAAAAAAAAAGTGAAGCTGAATGGATGCCAATTTTTTCTTTGCAGAGCAGTTACCTATGATGAGTTCCAAGAATTTTTCTACTGCCAGAGCCTGACCTTGGGCCAGGCTTGTCTGGGTGTAGGAAGTGCTACAAACATTGAAATCTAAAAAATAAATAAAAATATATAATACAATATAAAAAAATATCTTCTTCTTTCAACACACCAGCTGTATTCCACCGAGTCGGGGTGGCCCAAAAAGGCAAGGTGGCCTAAAGGCAAGGTGGCCCAAAAAGGCAAGGTGGCCCAAAAAGGCAAGGTGGCCCAAAAAGGCAAGGTGGCCCAAAAGGTAAAACAAAAGTTTCTCCTTTTGCATTCAGTAATATATACAGGAGAAGGGGTTACTAGCCGCTTACTTCTGGCATTTTAGTCACTTCTTATGACACGCATGGTTTACGGAGGAAGAATTCTGCTTCACTTCCCCGTGGAGAATATAATATAAATAGTATATAATAAAAATATGTATTATAATTTTTTTTTTTCAACAAGTCGGCCGTCTCCCACCGAGGCAGTGTGACCAAAAAAATCTATTCCCAAAAAAGGAAAATACAGTGGACCCCGGTTAACGATATTTTTTTACTCCAGAAGTATGTTCAGGTGCCAGTACTGACCGAATTTGTTCCCATAAGAAATATTGTGAAGTAGATTAGTCCATTTCAGACCCCCAAACATACATGTACAAACGCACTTACATAAATACACTTACATAATTGGTCACATTCGGAGGTAATCGTTATGCGGGGGTCCACTGTACTTTCATCATCATTCAACAATTTCACCACACTCACACATTATCACTGTTTTTGCAGAGGTGCTCAGAATACAACAGTTTAGAAGCATACACATATAAAGATACACAACATATCCCTCCAAACTACCAATATCCCAAACCCCTCCTTTAAAGTGCAGGCATTGTACTTCCCATTTCCAGGACTCAAGTCCAACTATATGAAAATAACTGGTTTCCCTGAATCCCTTCACTAAATATTACCCTGCTCACACTCCAACAGATCGTCAGGTCCCAAGTACCATTCGTCTCCATTCACTCCTATCTAACACGCTCACGCACGCTTGCTGGAAGTCTAAGCCCCTCGCCCACAAAACCTCCTTTACCCCCTCTCTCCAACCCTTTCGAGGACGACCCCTACCCCGCCTTCCTTCCCCTATAGATTTATATATATATATTTTTTTTTATTATCACACGGGCCCGGGATTCCCACCAAGGCAGGGTGGCCCGAAAAAGAAAAACTTTCACCATCATTCACTCCATCACTGTCTTGCCAGAAGGGTGCTTTACACTACAGTTTTTAAACTGCAACATTAACACCCCTCCTTCAGAGTGCAGGCACTGTACTTCCCATCTCCAGGACTTAAGTCCGGCCTGCCGGTTTCCCTGAACCCTTTCATAAATGTTACTTTGCTCACACTCCAACAGCAACGTCAAGTATTAAAAAACCATTTGTCTCCATTCACTCCTATCAAACACGCTCACGCATACCTGCTGGAAGTCCAAGCCCCTCGCACACAAAACCTCCTTTACCCCCTCTCTCCAACCTTTCCTAGGCCGACCCCTACCCCGCCTTCCTTCCGCTACAGACTGATACACTCTTGAAGTCATTCTGTTTCGCTCCATTCTCTCTACATGTCCGAACCACCTCAACAACCCTTCCTCAGCCCTCTGGACAACAGTTTTTGTAATCCCGCACCTCCTCCTAACTTCCAAACTACGAATTCTCTGCATTATATTCACACCACACATTGCCCTCAGACATGACATCTCCACTGCCTCCAGCCTTCTCCTCGCTGCAACATTCATCACCCATGCTTCACACCCATATAAGAGTGTTGGTAAAACTATACTCTCATACATTCCCCTCTTTGCCTCCAAGGACAAAGTTCTTTGTCTCCACAGATATATAATATAATATATATATTATTTTCATATAGTCGGACTTGAGTCCTGGAAATGGGAAGTACAATGCCTGCACTTTAAAGGAGTGGTTTGGGATATTGGCAGTTTGGAGGATATGTTGTGTATCTTTATACGTATATGCTTCTAAACTGTTGTATTCTGGGCACCTCTGCAAAAGCAGTGATAATGTGTGAGTGTGGTGAAAGTGTTGAAAGATGATGAAAGTATTTTCTTTTTGGTGATTTTCTTTCTTTTTTGGGTCACCCTACCTCAGTGGGAGACGACCGACTTGTTGAAAAAAAAAAAAAAAAAAAAAAAAAAAAAAAAAAAATTAATATATAATATATAATATATAATATAAAAAATACAAAATGGTAGTAGGTTGGTAGACAGCAACCGCCCAGGGAGGTACTACCATCCTGCCAAGTGAGTGTAAAACGGAATCCTGTAACTGAATTTACATGATGGTAGGATTGCTGGTGTCTTTTTTCTGTCCGTTAAACATGCAAGATTTCAGGTATGTCTTGCTACTTCTACTTACACTTAGGTCACACTACACTTACATGTACAAGCATATATATACACACCCCTCTGGGTTTTCTTCTATTTTCTTTCTAGTTCTTGTTCTTGTTTATTTCCTTTTATCTCCATGGGGAAGTGGAACAGAATTCTTCCCAGTAAGCCATGCGTATTGTAAGAGGTGACTAAAATGCTGGGAGCAAGGGCCTAGTAACCCCTTCTCCTGTATAAATTACTAAATTTAAAAAGATAAACTTTTCCTTTTCTTTTTGGGCCACCCTGCCTTGGTGGGATACGGCCGGTTTGTTAAAAAAAAAAAAATAGATATACAAGAATCACACATAAAGTGGGAGCTGTCACAGTTGCTCTTTGCTGATGACACTGTGCTCTTGGGAGATTCTGAAGAGAAGTTGCAGAGATTGGTGGATGAATTTGGTAGGGTGTGCAAAAGAAGAAAATTAAAAGTGAATACAGGAAAGAGTAAGGTTACAAGGATAACAAAAAGATTAGGTGATGAAAGATTGGATATCAGATTGGAGGGAGAGAGTATGGAGGAGGTGAATGTAATCAGATATTTGGGAGTAGACATGTCAGCGGATGGGTCTATGAAACATGAGGTGAATCATAGAATTGATGAGGGGAAAAGGGTGAGTGGTGCACTTAGGAGTCTGTGGAGACAAAGAACTTTGTCCTTGGAGGCAAAGAGGGGAATGTATGAGAGTATAGTTTTACCAACGCTCTTATATGGGTGTGAAGCATGGGTGATGAATATTGCAGCGAGGAGAAGGCTGGAGGCAGTGAAGATGTCATGTCTGAGGGCAATGTGTGGTGTGAATATAATGCAGAGAATTCGTAGTTTGGAAGTTAGGAGGAGGTGCGGGATTACAAAAACTGTTGTCCAGAGGGCTGAGGAAGGGTTGTTGAGGTGGTTCGGACATGTAGAGAGAATGGAGCGAAACAGAGTGACTTCAAGAGTGTATCAGTCTGTAGTGGAAGGAAGGCGGGGTAGGGATCGGCCTAGGAAGGTTGGAGGGAGGGGGTAAAGGAGGTTTTGGGGTGAGAGGGGCTTGGGGCTTCCCGCAGGCATGCGTGAGCGAGTTTGATAGGAGTGAATGGAGGAAAATGGTTTTTAATACTTGACGTGCTGTTGGAGTGTGAGCAAAGTAACATTTATGAAGGGGTTCAGAGAAACCGGCAGGCCGGACTTGAGTCCTGGAGATGGGAAGTACAGTGCCTGCACTCTGAAGGAGGGGTGTTAATGTTGCAGTTTAAAAACTGTAGTGTAAAGCACCCTTCTGGCAAGACAGTAATGGAGTGAATGATGGTGCAAGTTTTTCTTTTTCGGGCCACCCTGCCTTGGTGGGAATCGGCCAGTGTGATAATCATAAAAACCAAAACAAAATGGTAGTAGGTTGGTAGACAGCAACCGCCCAGGGAGGTATTACCGTCCTGCCAAGTGAGTGTAAAACAGAATCCTGTAATTGTTTTACATGATGGTAGGATTGCTGGTGTCTTTTCTGTCTCTTAAACATGCAAGATTTCAGGTATGTCTTGCTACTTCTACTTACACTTAGGTCACACTACACATACATGTACAAGCATATATATACACACCCCTCTGGGTTTTCTTCTATTTTCTTACTAGTTCTTGTTCTTGTTTATTACTTCTTACCTCCATGGGGAAGTGGAACAGAATTCTTCCTCCGTAAGCCATGCGTGTTGTAAGTGCTGACTAAAATGCCGGGAGCAAGGGGCTAGTAACCCCTTCTTTGTATGGATTACTAAGTTTAAAAAGAGAAACTTTCGTTTTTCTTTTGGGCCACCCTGCCTTGGTGAGATGCAGCCGGTTTGTTGAAAAAAAAAATTATAAATATATAAAAAATACAAAATAGTAGTAGGTTGGTAGACAGCAACTGCCCAGGGAGGTACTAATGTAATGCCAAGTGAATGTAAAACGGAAGCCTGTAACTGTTTTACATTATGGTAGGATTGCTGGTGTCTTTATTCTGTCTCAAAAACATGCAACAGTTCAGGTATATCTTGCTACTTCTACTTACACTTAGGTCACACTATACACACCCCTCTGGGTTTTCTTCTATTTTCTTACTAGTTCTTGTTCTTGTTTATTTCCTCTTATCACCATGGGGAAGTGGAACAGAATTCTTCCTCGTAAGCCATGCGTATTGTAAGAGGCGACTAACATGCCGGGAGCAAGGGGCCAGTATCCCCTTCTCCTGTATACATTACTAAAATTAAAAAGAGAAACTTTTGTTTTTCTTTTGGGCCACCCTACCTTGGTGAGATATGGCTGGTGCATTGAAAGAAGTTTACTGAGTATACCAGGTAAAGTGTATGGCAAGGTTATTATTCAAAGAATTAGAGGTAAGACAGAGAGCAGGGTTGCAGATGAGCAAGGAGGCTTTAGAATGGGCAGGGTATGTGTAGATCAGGAGTTTACATTGAAGCATATATGTGAACAGTATTTAGATAAAGGTAGAGAAATTTTCACTGCATTTATGGATTCAGAAAAGGCATATCATAGAGTGGATAGGGGAGCAATGTGGTAGATGTTGCAAGTATATGGAATAGGTACTAAGTAACTAAATGCTGTAAAGTTTTTTTTTTTTATGAGGATAGTGAGGCTCAGGTTAGGTTGAGTAGGAGAGAGGGAGATTACTTCCCAGTAAAAAATAGGTCTTAGGGATGTGTAATGTCATCATGGTTATTTAATATATTTGAAGATGAGGTAGTAAAAGAAGTAAATGGTAGGGTGTTGGGGAGAGGGGTAGGATTAAATTATGGGGAATCAAATAATAAATGGGAGTTGACACAGTTACTCTTTGCTGATGATACTGTGCTTATGGGAGATTCTAAAGAAAAATTGCAGAGGTTAGTGGAAGAGTTTGGGAGGGTGTATAAAGGTAGATATTTGAAAGTAAATACAGATGAGATGATGAGGGTATCAAACGATTTAGATAAAGAAAAATTGGATATCACATTGGAGGGAGTATGAAAGATGTGAATGTTTTCAGATATTTTGGAGTTGACTTGTTAGCAAACGGGTTTATGAAGGACGAGGTAAACCACAGAATTAATGAAGGAAAAAATGTGAGTGGTGCGTTGAGGTATCTGCGGAGACAAAGAACATTAACCCTTTCAGGGTCCGTCCCGTAGATCTACGGCTTTACAGTGAGTGTCCAAACCGTAGATCTACGCCATGAGCTCAGCTCACTCTGATAAACTGTGAGTGGTACATTTGGGCCTAGATATGAGAGAATACATCTATGTGGTATGTGTGCACCACATAAAACAGATCCTGCAGCACACTGTGTATAATGAGAGAAAAAAACTGAAATCATGATTTTTCGATTAAAACAGCAACTTTGCAGTGTTTTTTCGTATGTTTTTTATAGTTGTATTTGCGATTTCTTGGTCTCATTTGATAGAATGGAAGACATATTACAGAAATAGAGATGATTTTGATTGGTTTTAGCACTGGAAATGGTTTGAAACTGAGCTCAAAGTAGCGGAAATGTTAAATTTTTGCCGATATTCAAGAGTAAACAAACGACCTCACACGTCTAATACACGTCAGCTGGTGGGTCTAATATACATTCACAAATATGGTGATGATATTTTACAATTATTACAGTATTGCATAACAGTAAATCTTCTATTTTTTGGTGTGAATAAAAATTCATTATGTGAATAAAAAATCAAAATGGAATTTATTTGTAAAGCCTCAAAACATAACTAATGAACAGAGGAAATGTTAGTTTAGTGCCAGGAATGCCTACATTGTTTATTCTGGACCCTATTTTGAAATTGGAATATTTTGAACTTTGTGTTAAATTGGCCAAATTAACAATTTCCGATCACTTTATTTTGTAGTTGAAACAGTTGACTTGGCGATTTCTTGTGCTCAATCGATAGAATAGAAGTAATACTAGTGAAATAGCTAAGAATTTGGTTGATTGGAATAATGTAATTGGCCTAAAATGGGAGTCAAAGTCGGCAAAATAGCCGATTCGTAAATATCGCTGACACACCAAAATTTGCGAGAGCATAATTTCGTCAATTTTCCACCAAATTTCGTACTTTTTGTTTTATTACCTTCACAAAAAGATTCTCTACGATTTCATAAGAAAAAATAACAAATTTTTTTTTTTAAATTCTTGGACACTGGTGCGTGACTCCAGATTTGGGCCTTGGACCCTGAAAGGGTTAAACATGGAGGCAAAAAAGGGAATGTAAGAGAGTATAGTGGTACCAACCCTCTTACATGGGCGTGAAGCATTGGTCGTAAATGCTGCAGCGAGGAGGCAGCTGGAGGCAGTGGAGATGTCATCTAAGGGCAATGTGTGGTGTAAATATTATGCAGAGAATTCATAGTGTGGAAATTAGGAGGAGGTGTGGAGTTACTAAAAGCATTAGTCAGAGGGCTGAAGAGGGGCTGTTAAGGCGGTTTGATCATTTAGAAAGAATGGAACAAAGTAGAATGACTTGAAGAGCGAATAAATCTGTTGGGGAAGGCAGGGTAGGGGTCGTCCCCAAGAAGGTTGGAGGGAGGGGGTAAAGGTGGTTTAGTGGGCAAGGGGCTTGGATTTCCAGCAAGAGTGCATGAGCATGTTAGATAGGAGTGAATGGAGACAAATGGTTTTTGGGACCTGATGAGCTGTTGGAGTCTGAGCAGGGTAATATTTTGTGAAGGGATTCAGGGAAAAAAGTTAGCCAGACATGAGTCCTGGAAATGGTAAGTACAATGCCTGCATTTTGAAGAAGGGGTTTAGGATACTGGCAGTTTGGAGGGATGTCTAAACTGTCATATCTGAGCTCTTCTGCAAAGACAGTGATTATGTATGAGTGATGGTGAAAGCAATGAATGATGAAAGTTTTTTTTTTTTTTTTTTGGGTCACCGTGCCTCGGTGGGAAACAGCCATGTTAAAATAATAAAAAAAAAAATTAGAAATTATTAGAGGCCAATACCATGAACACTGCTCTGCTGCTGTTGTAAGTACAAATGGGCAATTACAATATACATACATACACAGAAAACTCAACAAATAGTCATGGAGCACATTAATTTAATGATGTTATAATAAAAACCCACCTGAGTGAGAAGTGCGAGGTAAGACAATGTGGTGACAAAGCCATAATGCTCTATGAGATTCTCCTGCAGGTCAATAACACCACAAAAATGGACTTGAAGTTCCGATATGTTTTGACTGTATGGAATTAGTACCAAGCATACCTGAAAATGATTATATACTTTGTGAATACTATACCATACTGTATTTCCTTTCAAGTGTGTTTTTTCTTTAGCCTTTTGTGATATATTTTCTATGTACACTCCTTTTACAGCCCCAGATGATAATCATGTGCATATTACATGCTCACATACATGTACATATGCACATACACTAATGCATATGTACACACAAGCAGAAACCAAAATGGTGGACAAATAAAAATCGTACTTGGTTAAGAGCGTCCAGTAAAGCTTCCTCCCAGTGATGTCGCAATATCTTTGCTGCCCCAGATTTCATTTTTCCAAGAGCATCCACTAAAAAGTCTGGAGAAAGAATGGGGTTGATGGCAGGGTCAACCTGTGGCTCTAGGCAGCGCAGGACAGTCGTGAACACACTGGAAACATGAGGTTGAAGTAAGTGTTTTAGGAAATGCTAAGATCTCATTTCTTTGCCTCTTTGTCCACACATGAAGTGCCACCAAGGACTGTTATTTATATGAAAATGACAAAACCTCTACACGAGCTATTCAACAATAGTCCTAGTTGTACATTAAAAACTCCTACTTAATAACCCATGTCTAGTTCTTAAGCAGAATTTAAGAATTAGGATTAGTCTGCCCAAAATGCACTGCATATTAGTGGCTTTCTTTTGTGCTTAACAATATTTTCTTACATGTAAACTGCATTACCTGTATACTGAAGAAAAGAAATAAATTTATATTATTATTTTTCAAATGTCCTTCACAAGTGTCAAAGGGGGCAGCTTTTATGCTGCAGCTAATCTAGCAGAAGGTAGGAAAGCTTAGTAGATTTACCTAATGAAAGCAGCTACTTTTTTAGCACACACCACAGGGTCTGTTGTGGCCTCCTCCTCAGGGGAAGACCGGCCAGACACACCTCTATCTAAATCCTGCAAATGCAAAACAATATTACCCAAGACAGAAAGACAAACAACCTACATGACAATTTCATTCAACTATATAGTACATGCTATGACAACACATTATTTAAAAAACTCATCTTAAGACACTGATAAATTTTGTACTTTAAAAACTTCTCTTCTAAGAGGATTTTAAATCAAAATCTTTATACAAAATGCACATTAATAATTTACAAATACATAAAAATTTACTTCACAGTAATCTTCCATATCTTCAACAAACTGTGAGAGAAGTGTAGTGGCAATAGGGACATTGATCTGCCAGAGCTGTGAAAAGCTTTTCAGTGCCATAGACACATACTTCATTACTTCTGATGACTGATGGTGATCGATGTGCCACCCAACCAATATATCCACAATATCCTGAAGAAAGTAATACAATTAATATGCAATGACTGTCAATATCTATCTTACTGGTATTTTAATGCCGACACAAAAATGTTCATATACAGCCTCTTCTCACTTAGCAATGTACTTGTTTATCGACAACTTGGACTTATGACCAGCTCTCCAACCAGTAAGCAAACCTAAGAAATGTATATTAGAGTTGATTTCCTCTATTCTGTGTATTACAGTATAGTACTTCTGTTTAAACATTTAAAAATATACTGAAAATGTTATCAATGGTGCAAAGGTGACATTAAAAAAATATCTAAAGATGGTTGACACAAACCCACTACCAATAGAATATGCTCCTCGCTTAAAGACCAATTTGCTTACCAACTTACTCTTAGGAACAGAACCCAGTCGTTAAGTGAGGAGAGGCTGTATTAATTTAAAATAAATTTCTTTAATCTGAGGGTAAAATATGCTGCACAAGACTTAAGAAATCGTAATGACACGATTGCAAACAAACCATACCCCCGGCCGGGATTGAACCCGCGGTCATAGAGTGTCATTATGATTTCTTAAGTCATGTTGACGGCAGTGAAGGGACTTGAGCTAGAGTTCGTCACGGCCACGCTAGCTGGAGATTCGTCTGTAAAAACTTGCATTTGTGGTCACAGAGGTGCCTGTGCTAACTTTCCTATGGTGTAGAAATATACCTAGTTGGATGAATCTTATTGTGGCTAGCTGGTCTAGTGGCTAACGCGACGGGCTGGAGTTTTGAGAGACTATGACCGCGGGTTCAATCCCGGCCGGGGGTATGGTTTATGCTGCACAAGATTTATTATACACGTATTTCAAACAAACTCAGTGTATCTGGCTTAATATACCATTAACCTAATGATGTTTTGTGGAAGGTTCTATATTAACCTCAACTTCTAAATAAAAAGGCTATTATCATAAGAAATAAGGTATCAAAGATATGAAGACACAATACAATTTTAAAAATAAAGTGTAAGTTAAAGGATATGCAGCAACCAGTGAATCATGTTATAAAAGGTATCATACCTTATTTTTAATGTTATTTTACTGCTTGAATCACAATAGGAATTGGAAGGATGGCCAGAAAGCTTTTGGGCGAATCTTCTTAATTTTTTTTTAGCACATTGGCCATCTTTATTCCTGTCATTACTTTTTAACACACTGGCTGTCTCCCACCAAAAAAAAAGAAGCACCTCTTCTTTTTACATTTAGTAATTTATACAGGAGAAGGGGTTACTAGCCCTTTGCTCCCTGCATTTTAGTTACCTCTTAAGACACGCTTGGCTTACGGAGGAAGAATTCTTCTCCATTTCCCCAAGGAGATTCTTCTTATTTTTTATTACAGAATACCCATAAAGAAGTATTAAACTGTAGGGATTATACAGAACCTGAGAAATAGGAGATAATCAGGTTTGAGCCAAGGAAATGGTATGATATTTATGGAACACTTTGACCTACAAGGAAGGGAAGGATATACTTAATTCCTTCAGTCAAGAACCTATCACCAGCATCAAGGCATTCACTTTCTTTGCCCCGATCCCCAATAAGTGATAACTTAATTTTCAAAATAGGTACAAAAAGGCCAGATTATTTATTCAGTATAAAGTTTTGAAAGTTTCAACCCAATTTAAAAAAAAAAGCCACAAGGGTAAAGCCATAAGGACTGCCTACCTAAATACTATTCAAAATAATTACTTTACAGCTTTGCAGTACTTACTTGGAAATAATTATTAAGAATATGACTATGATTTATATTAAGTTCCCTTAAAACATCAACCGTTGCCACCATCACTTCAGGAGTCTCGGTACCTTCTAGTACTCCTTGTAAACCTTCCACAATCTTTTCTCCAACCTGCAATACAAGACATATATGTACTATAACCCAGAAAATGTTGGATTTTTTTTTTTTCAACATGCTGGCTGTCTCCTACTGAGGCAGAGTGACCCAAAAAAAGAAAGAAACACTTTCACCATCATTCACACATAATCACTGTCTTTGCAGAGACATGCAGATACAACAGGTTAGATGTCACTCCAAACAGCAAATATATAGGCACTGTACTTCCCACCTCCAGGACTCAAGTCCAGTTAACCACAAGCCAAATAGAATGTAATTGTTTTTTATCCATAAACACCTCACTTACTACACATCTCATTTTTTTTTTTTTTACCATTAGCTAAATGCATACAGTACAGTAAAAATCTGAAACCTTTTTATTAATGATATGACTGTAATCTGAGACAATTGCCACAAGTTAAATTAGTATCTTTGTAATTTTCCTGTGGTCAATTCACTTATATGACTGCCAAACAATGCTCATAATTTATTCAGAGAAGTTAAAGTTTTTATGAGTTAATGTGCTGTTGGAGTGTTAGTAAGGTAACATTTGTGAAGGGATTCAGGGAAACCAATTAGCCAGACTTGAGTCCTGGAGGTGGGAAGTACAGTACCTGTACTATGGAGGAGGGATAGGGATGTTGTGATTTAGAGGGTCACCTCAACTGTGATATCAATGCCTAAATGGCAAAACTGATTGAATGAGTGACAGTGAAAATGTTTTCTTCATAGATGGGTTCTCCTATCTCAGTGGGAGATGGCCAGTGTTAAAATAAAGTTTAAAGTATGTATGGTAATGGTGTGAAGATGCTAAGTAGTCGTATTCTTCTTTCAGTGAACTGGCTGTATCCCACCGAAGCAGGGTGACCCAAAAAGAAAAACAAAAGTTCCTCTTTATAAATTTAGTAATGTATACAGGAGAAGGGGTTACTAGCCCCTTACATCTGTTACTTCTGGCATTTTAGTTGTCTCTTACAACACACATGGCTTACGGAGGAAGAATTCTGTTCCACTTCCACAAGGAGATAAGAGGAAATAAACAAGAACAAGAACCAGTGAGAAAAAAAAAAAATCCAGAGGGGTGTATGTATGTGTGTAATGGGAAGTACAATGCCTGCACTTTAAAGGAGGGGTTTGGGATATTGGCAGTTTGGAGGGATATGTTGTGTATCTTTATATGTGTATGCTTCTAAACTGTTGTATTCTGAGCACCTCTGCAAAAGCAGTGATAATGTGTGAGTGTGGTGAAAGTGTTGAATGATGATGAAAGTATTTTCTTTTTGGGGATTTTTTTTTTTTTTGGGTCACCCTGCCTCGGTGGGAGACGGCCGACTTGTTGAAAAAAAAAAAAAAAAAAAAAATATATATATATATATATATATATATATATATATATCTTCTTTCAACACACCGGCCGTATCCCACCGAGGCGGGGTGGCCCAAAAGAAAAAACCAAAGTTTCTCCTTTCAAATTTAGTAATATATACAGGAGAAGGGGTTACTAGCCCCTTGCTCCCGGCATTTTAGTCGCCTCTTACAACACACATGGCCTACGGAGGAAGAATTCTGTTCCACTTCCCCATGGAGACAAGAGGAAATAAACAAGAACAAGAACTAGAAAGAAAATAGAAGAAAACCCAGAGGGGTATGTATATATACGCTTGTACATGTATGTGTAGTGTGACCTGAGTGTAAGTAGAAGTAGCAAGACGTACCTGAAATTTTGCATGTTCATGAGACAGGAAAAAAGGACACCAGCAATCCTACCATCATGTAAAACAATTACAGGCTTTTGTTTTACACTCACTTGGCAGGACGGTAGTACCTCCCTGGGCAGTTGCTGTCTACCAACCTACTACCTAGAAGTAGTAGTAGTACTATTTTTTATTATTTTTTTTAATACACTGGCTTTCTCCAAATGAAGCAGGGAGTGAAAAAGAAACACTTTCACCATCATTCACACTATCACTGTTTTGCCAGAGGCACACAGATATAACAATTTAGATGTCACTAAACAGCAAATATCCCAAACCCCTCCTGTGCTTCCCACCTCCAAGACTCAAGATGCTTATTACAGTAATTTAATATATGAGTGTGTGTGTGGTGTCACTTAAATGCTCCAGAAGTGGAGATTCTGTACATGAGAGTTGCTCAAGTGAAATGCAATACATAAGCACATGCTTGGAGTCTCAGGACTCTTCTTTCTGTTGTAGGTGCTATAACTGTCAGAGGTCATTAACACCAAACTTTGGGTAAACTGCACACTATCAGTTAAAAATACCTTTACCTTAAAACAGGGATCAAAGAAAACTCTTGGCATGTATCCACAAAGAGACATGCAACTCTCAATATATATACTCCATCTTAGGACTTGATGCCCTAAAAGTGTTTTCAACTTTTTTGTGGTTTCGTGTAGTAGATAGCAGAGTGTAGCCATTCTTGTGGTGCCTGGCACATTTTATGGCAATTTACTACACCATTTACATCATGTGAGTCATTTATTATTTTTTATACTCATATATGAAGGCTATACTTTTATATATTACTTCTATTATTGCTCACCTGATCTAACTGTGACCCAGAAGAATCCAACCGCAACATCTCTAAGATGCATCTCAAGACCAACACCTTCATCTCTGCGGCTCTCCATGTTTCTAATCGATCTAAAGTTACATCCACATATCTGGCAAAAGAGAAACCAATATAAATAAAAACACAGTAATTATAAATCTAAAGAAACAAAATAAATACAGTGGTACCTTGACTTACGAGTGCCCCAATTTACGGGTTTTTTGATTTACGAGCCGTCGCTCAGTCGATTTTTTGCTTTGAGTTGCGAGCCAAAATTCGAGTTACGAACGAGCTCCAGATATGCCGCCACTAGTTGGTGGTGTATCTGAAGTCAAATCCAACTCTGTACCCAGAGGAATGTCAGGTAAACAAACCATACCATAGGTGGGGATAGAACCCGTGATCAGAGAGTCTGTTTGCAATCGTGTCATTACGATTTCGCGAGTCAGGAATGTCAGGTATTTTGTCCCATCCCACATGATCTTCCAAGACAGAACAGGAAGGATAATACTCTCACACTAATCCCAGATTGTAGTGAGGCACCTTGTGCCTTGTTTGGTTCTCACATAAATCCGGGAAAGAGGTAACCTCCATTTAAACAGAGTTTTTCCAGAAACATTAAGGTGGGTGGAGTACTGATAGTGGTGGGTGAGGTAGTCACGGTAGTCGGTGGAGTAGTGAGGGTGGTGGGTGGAGTAGTCATGGTAGTGCTTGGAGTAGTGATAATGGTGGGTGGAGTAGATATGGTGGTGGATGGAGCAGTGAAGATGGTAAGTGAAGATGATGGAGCAGAGATGGTGGAGTAGAGATGATGGTGGATGGAGTAGTGAGGGTGGTGGGTGTAGTAGAGATGGTGGTGGGTGTAGTAGAGATGGTGGTGGGTGGAGTAGTTAGGGTGGTGGATGGAGTAGTGATAATGATGGGTGGAGTAGATATGGTGGTGGGTGGAGCAGTTAAGGTGGTGGGTGGAGTATACAATATTTCATATTTATAAATACGTTTTTCTTATTTAAAAACCCGTAACAAAAAAATTGTGGTGTTTTTTTTCGGGGCTAGAACAGATTAATGGCATTTCAATTAATTTTGATGAAGAAAATTTATTTGATATACAAGCAAATTGAGTTACAAGGTGGGTCACAGAACAAATTAAACTCGTAAGTCAAGGTACCACTGTATATGATTTCACTAAAAAATTATTTTACTCTAATGTCAAATGAGCAGAGTATACTGTGTGTGAAGCATTGGTACTGACTGAATGCTGTAGCGAGGAAAAAGCTGGAGGCAGGAGAGATGTGTTTGAGGGCAATGTGTATTGTGAATGTTATGCAAACAATTCATAACCTGGAGGTTAGGAGGTGTGGAATTACCAATATTATTATTCAGAGGGCTGTCTGAACTGTGATATCAGCACACTCCTTACAAGACAACGACTGAATGAATGATGGTGAATGTGGTAGATGACCAGTGTGTTAAAACAAATATTAGTGCATTTGACAAATAAATACAAGGATCTGCTTACCTCTTTATGTCTCCTTCCATAACATGACCAACCCGACCAATACATCGAGTGATTTCCCAGCGACATGGAGGTGATGGAGCAGCATGAAGACTCTCAAACAGGGAGTCTAATATGTGATCAGCATTACGGCGAACATATTTCACATTTTCATTAAGCATAATTGATTCCTGTCAAAAACATATGCATTATTGTAAGTATAAAAATATAATCAAATATACAAATACAGTAAAGGTACAATATATTATTATTTTCTTCTTCTTTCAACAAACCGGCTGTATCCCACCAAGGCAGGGTGGCCCAAAAAGAAAAACAAAAGTTTCTCTTTTTAAATTTAGTAATTTATACAGGAGAAGGGGTTACTAGCCCCTTGCTCCCGGCATTTTAGTTACCTCTTACAACACGCATGGCTTACGGAGGAAGAATTCTGTTCCACTTCCCCATGGAGATATGAGGAAATAAACAAGAACAAGAACTAGAAAGAAAATAGCAGAAAACCCAGAGGGGTGTGTGTGTGTATATATATGCTTGTACATGTATGTGTAGTGTGACATAAGTGTAAGTAGAAGTAGCAAGACATACCTGAAATCTTGCATGTTTATGAGACAGACAAAAGGACACCAGCAATCCTACCATCATGTAAAACAATTACAGACTTTTGTTTTACACTCACTTGGCAGGACGGTAGTACCTCCCTGGGTGGTTGCTGTCTACCAACGTACTACCTATAATTATTATTATTATTGTTATTATTATTAATATAGCTATTATTGCCCTAGGTGCCAGGTTGGTAGACAGCAACTGCCCAGGGAGGTACTACCGTCCTGCAAAGTGAGTGTAAAACGGAAGCCTGTAATTGTTTTACATGATGGTAGGACTGCCGGTGCCTTTTTTCTGTTTCATAAACATGCAAGATTTCAGGTACGTCTTGCTACTTCTACTTACACTTATGTCACACTACACATGCATGTACGTACAAACATATACACACCCCTCTGGGTTTTCTTCTATTTTCTTGCTAGTTCTTCTTGTTTATTTCCTCTTATCTCCTTGGGGAAGTGGAACAGAATTCTTCCTCTGTAAGCCATGCGTGTCGTAAGAGGCAACTAAAATGCCGGGAGCAAGGGGCTAGTAACCCCTTCTCCTGTATACGTACATTACTAAAGTTAAAAAGAAAAACTTTTGTTTTTCTTTTTGGGTCACCCTTCCTTGGTGGGATATGGCTGGTTTGTTGAAAGAAGAAATTTTTGTATTTAAAGTTGAAGGCTAAACCTGTAGGGGTCATAAAGTATCTATGGAATGCTATGTGATCAGATATGATCTGTGGAAGTAGAGGGTAGCTGAGATTCCTTAGACCAAGAGCCGTTCACTAGCATCAAGGCACCCCTTCCACTTAAATGGATGAAAACGGTATACAATACAGGTATAACACTAATTTACCAGTAACGGATCATCTGGCACATCTTTTAGTCTGCACAAAATTATGAGGCAACTCTTTTTTTTTTTTTCAAAAATAGTTTACTGGGCTGCCACAGATGGTGTTGTATGTAGTGTGTGTTAGCTTATATTGTTTATTGGTGGTAATCCCTTGATTTTGTGGGATTCTTAGCATCTTTGCTAACAATTAACCTTGATTTTGTGTGATTTTAAGCCTATTTTACTAACAACCTTGATTTTATGCAATTCGTAGCATATTTTGCTAACAATTAACCTTGCTTTTATGATTCTTAGCATATTTTGCTAACAATTTACCTTGATTTTGTGTTCTTAGCATATTTTGCTAACAATTAACTTTGATTTTATGCAATTCTTAGCATATTTTGCTAACAATAACCTTGATTTTTATGCAATTCTTAACACATTTTCTTACCAATTAAAATTGATCGAATGTGATTTTTATCATATTTTGCTAACAATTAATGTTCATGATCAGCTCTCGCAGTACCAGTAAAATTCTCATATTGACCACTTTGGTAGTGATTGTACTCAAATATTCTTCGTAAGTACAGACACTTTATTTAATGACTTACCTATTTAACAGTTGCGCGGACTTACAACCAACTCTCCAACACCTGTACTTACAGTATGCAAACCTAAGTATTATTATTATTAGAGCTGATTTCCTCTACTCTGTTTATTACAGCATACTACTGTGTAAACATTTAAAAATATGTATACTAAAAAATGTTATAAATGATGCAAAGTTGACATTAAAACAATATCTAAAGATGGTTGACACAAACCCACTACCAGTACAATATGCTTGAAATATCAGTACGGGGCGCTCCTGGCTTATCGACCACTTTGCTTAATGACTACTCGTAGGAACATTACTTGGTCGTTAAGTGAGGAGTGCCTATAGAGTAATAAATGAACCTATTTCATATATGATGTCTAATTTAAGTTTCCAGCAGACCATGGTGGGTTAGAAGTGTATTGTTGAATTATTATTATTATTATATGACCATTGTTAGTCCAGCAAAATCAATATATGGCAAAGCTTAGGAACCAAGGATGCCAGAAAATCGGTGTTGTACCTGTAATATAAAATATAAAAACAATATACAAAAAATACAGCATGGAAAATTTATTAGTTACAGCAAGCATACAAAAGTTAGTACTGTATTGTATATATATATATATAAACAAAAGTAGATTCAAGCAAAAATAAAATTGTCATGTCAGCAATAATCAAAACTTATCTTTGCAGGAGGCATTTTCACAATTTTTGCTCCAGTGCACTGAAAATACACTTGCAGTGCAGGTCAGCCATCACTAATCTGGCAATCAGTAATCCGGTTCCATCAGTAATCTGGCACTATTTTCAGCTAGCAGAATTTTAAATTTTCGGGGTCGCCACACCAACCTACTGCTACTGTTTGGTGGTGCTACTTGCTGCATAAGTCATTCCAATTTCTTTTTCCATTTATTGTTATAACCTGCTCACTTTTAGCACTAGCCATGGTTCTAACGAAAGAAAGAAATGCTTCTCGTTGTGTAATCACCTACACCATACACTGTTCATAAAAGATAAGTTGGCTTTGAAGCCACCGGGGCCCAAAACTGTTCAACAGCCTCCCATCAAGCATTAGGGGAATTGCCAATAAACCCCTGGCTGCCTTCAAGAGAGAGCTGGACAGATACCTAAAGTCGGTGCCGGATCAGCCGGGCTGTGGCTCGTACGTCGGACTGCGTGCGGCCAGCAGTAACAGCCTAGTTGATCAGGCCCTGATCCATCGGGAGGCCTGGTCGTGGACCGGGCCGCGGGGGCGTTGATCCCCGGAATAACCTCCAGGTAACCATGAGCTCAGCTCACTCAGGTAAGCTGTGACTGGTAAATTTGGGCCTACATATGAGAGAATAGGTCTGTGTAGTAAGTGTGCACTATATAAAAAAAAATCCTGCAGCATACAGTGCATAATGAGAAAAAACTGTGACCTTGTGTTTGGTGTAAAACAGCGACTTTGCTGTGTATTTTAGTGTGGTTTTTATGGGTGTATTCTCATTTTTTTGGTCTCATTTGATAGAATGGAAAATATATTACAGAAATAGATATGATTTTGATTGGTTTTATGACAGAAAGTACCTTGAAATTGAGCTCAAACTAGCAAAAATGTTCAATTTTTGCCGGCGTTCAAGAGTAAATAAATGACATCACTGTCCAGTATGTGTCAAACTGGCCAGTCTAATACGCAGTCATGAATGACTTGACATTATTTATACAATTACAACAATGTAGTAGTCTGCATAACAGTAAATCTTCTATTTTTCGTTTGAATAAAAATTCAAAATGAAAAGCAAGCATAATATGTATAAGAGGAGCCTGGAGATGTGACTAATGAACAGAGAAAATGTTATTTTAGTGCCAGGAATGTCTGCACTGTTTATTCTGGACCCTATTTTGAAATTGGCATCTCTTGAAATTTGTGAGAAACTGGCCAAATTGCTAATTTCTGACCACTTTATTGGGTAGTTGAAATAGGTAAATGGTTGTTTTTTCTTGTACTCAGTCAACAGAACAGAAGGAATATTAGTGAAATAGCGGAGTATGGTAGACTGGAACAGTGGAATGGGCCAAAAATAGGGCACAAAGTAGGTGAAATCACCGCTGCGTAAATAATATTGTTGGGTTAAGTGTATTTTACCCTAACCACTCTGTAATCTGGCAAAATCACTAATCCAGCACTAATCCAGCACCCGATGGTGCCGGATTAGTGATCATCAACCTGTACTGTACTGTGCTGTAGTCTTTAAATTTCCATTAAAATTTTATATTAGTCAAGTACCATTCAATAATGGACATAATTTCAACAGTTGTCAATGCAGGTTTCCTATTGCCACTCAGTGAGACTTCACCAGATATATGACCACATCACAAAAATGTTATTGCAATTATGCTCCCAGTACAGTAATTTTAACCTATTGAACTACTAGAAACTAACAGATTTTATTCTTTTTTTTTTGAGCTCTTATCATTCAAATATTTTCCTAAAAATGCATCATTTTCCCAAGTTAATTAACAAGTTCAAGTACATACAGTATTCATAATCCTTAACATAATGAATAACTGGATGAATGAATGACTGTAGTTACAACAGCTGTTTTCCCCATGTGAAAAATATATTCCTTTATGTATGAAATTTCCACCTTGTCAATGCATTAATTTTGTAAATTCACAGGCAGTGAAGCAACGAGAATTGGAAAAAACAACTTGACATTCTAACCTGGAGCTGTTGAACTTGTGCTAGGTAACGTTCAGAATCATCTTCTCGGGACAACCGCCTCAGCTGTTTAGATATTCTGGAATCTTCACTAAATCCTCGACTTAAATCTGCAACACAGCAACATAAAAATTTCATAGACGATAAAATTATAACTACAACATTTATGGAGGGATTCAAAGAGATCAGATAGCTGGACCTGAGTCCTAAAGAAGAGGCAGGGATGCTGCTGTTCAGAGCATACTATGAACTATAATATTTATACACACCTGTCACCTACTAGGAATTATGAGTCCTAACCATAATTTTTAAAGGGATGGTCCGGTGAGCCAGCAGAAGGCCTTGGTCAGATGGCCAAAAGCTCCAACTGCGGGTCATTATAAGACTAAGAATTGCGTCAGGAAACACTTGTCCTGTTTTGTGACAAACCTTACCTAACCTAACCTATCTAACAAGACAGCAACAGAATTAATAATTGTGAATGCATCCTTTCTTTTAGTCTCCTGCCTTGGTGAAAGACAGCTGGTGTGGTAAAAAAAAATTACCTGCATGGGTCATTCATCGCTGCCCAAAAAAGATAGGGTGCATGGACAGCGTAAGACACCTGTGCAACACTTGAGTATCTTTACTGCCAAAATGTTTCACCTATGCATCAGGCTTCCAGAGTTGAATAAAAGCGAATATCACACTGGAGACAGTAGGAGCAATTTTGAGGTGATCCCTCCCTCAGCCATTATCTGACTGCAGAAGCCTGCTGTGCAGGCAAAACCTTTTGGCAATAAAAATACCCTAATGCTGCATGTGCATTTTATTCATCAACTTATCGGAATTGTATACATCAGTAATGCTATGTGGATAAGTCACAGTTGCAATGCACATTATTAAATAATTCTGTACACTATGACAAAAATGGATTTTTTTTTTTTTACCTATACAATAATGGATTGAAATTTCATATCAATTAGCTAAGCAATATCTGTTCTCACATGAAAAATATAAAATCCGTCATTTTCACCACACCAAGTTTCTTGTTACTTTTGGAAAGATTAGAATTTTAATAAACAGTTTTTTGTTATAAACTGCTTATGAAATATGCATAATTATGAGAAAGAACTAAATCTGTAGGGATCATGAAGTGCCTTGGAAATGGAAGGTAATCCAGTTTCATCAAAGGAAGAGCCAAGTAGCTCTTATTATTGTTATTATTATTATTATTATTATTATTATTATTATTATTATTGCTATTATTATTATTAATGTTAAGTCCTAAACTCACGTGGGTCATTCTGCACAAGACAAGGTGGAGGCTTGATCCTCTGTCTGCAAGACAAACACGCTTGCTATTGGTACCCACCTAGATCCCAAGTAGCTCTAATTCCTTGGATGAAGAGCCACTATCAGTGAGGTATGTAAGAGCAACGTATGAAATATAGTGCTGCACCTTTATGTGGTCGGTGTTTTACAATATCCATCTTCTCCAGGTCAGCTTTGGCTTCATCCTCCCCAGGATGTCCTTGTTCAGGAACACCACGGCGTTCACCTGGGATAACATGGCGATGATGGGTCAGTCCTCGACGGTATCGCCCACTTCCTCTCCCTCCTCCTCCTCCTCCTCCACCTCGGTAGTCACGATGGAGTCTTCCTCCAACACTATCATCTCTCTCCATCCCGCTACCTCCTACCATGTCTTGCTATTTTAACATATTCTGAAATTAAAAATTTTCTAATTTGAAATGAAGGGGAAATTCATATATGTTTATATACTTTTTGTTGTTATCATCATCACTATTATTATTATTATTATTATTATTGCAATCTGGAGGTAGGATGCTGACAAGTGGTAAAAAAAATACTTTTTTTTTTTTTGCTGTGGAATCCTCTAATGGTAAAATGCTTTACGTTGTACCAATTAAAGACTTCACTGCAAAGACACATGTCTACCAATAACAGAGTTGTTTTAAGTTGCTTTAGAATGGGTTAGGTGGGTTCTGCTAGGTTAGGTTATGTTTTTTACCATCTGCACAACAAAAATATATCTCAAATATAAAAGTAGTTTGATATTGTACAATTCAAGTAAGATATAATTAATAGCCAAAAGCTGCAGAAGAGCACTTAGTTGACTATTACCAAAACTTTTGCTTCACACACTTAGTGTCTGTGGTTCAATCCCCGAATGGGTGGAAACATTGGGCATATTTCCTTACACCTGGTGTTCCTGGTCCCCCAGCAAGCAAGTAGGTACCTGGGTGTTAGTCGACTGGCGGGGGTCGCATCCTGGGGGACAAGATTGAAGGACCCCAATGGAAAAAAGACAAGACAGTCCTCGATGACTCACCAACTTTCCTGGGTTATCCTGGGTTGTTAACCCTCCATGATTAAAAATCCAAACAAAATCTCACCCTATTTAATCTTATCTCTCAACCTTAATGTGTCATAGATACAATGATATAGTGTAAATTACCCAATGGAAATGTCACTAACTTTTTTGGGGGTTATCCTGGGTAATTTACATATATGTTACTATGTATGATAATCTGTGTAACTGTATTTATGTGTATCTATACCTAAATAAACTTATTAATCGAAAAAAAAGTCAGTGACTTATTTCCATAGGGTCCTTGATCTGAGGAACTGGAGCACAGATACAATTCCATATATCAAAAACCACTTGTTCACCAGGGATCAAGAGCCCTCCTCCCATTCCTCTCTCTCATGAGGGGACCAATAAACATGAACAATATAATAACACTCACATACAATCTGGTTAACTGCATCCTGGTTGTGATTGGGGTTGTTCAGGGCCACCAGAGGTGTTGCTCAGGGCCACCAGAGGTGTTGTTTAGGGCCACCAAAGATGTTGTACAGGACCACTAAAGATGTTATTCAGGGCCACCAGTGATGATGCTTTAATGAGCCGGGGCTCCTGGACTCCGGGACTCAGGGCTCAATAATGCCGGTGAGAATGAGACAGGAAAAAGTTTCCTCTGGAATGAGTAACGGGAACAATAAATTCCCATCTTGGATCAGGTAGACTCCAGACCTAAACACCAGCAGGGTCAGCAGTCTTACTTTCTTCTTTTTCTTCTTCTTCTTACAAGGTTAGGTTAAGAGTTCCTACCTTTATTTACAAGGTGAGAGTTGTTACCTACAACAATTCATGTTAAAGCCTTTTTACTGTTATAAGGCATACAAATGTGGAACAGTGTGAAACTGGAACCATCTGTGGGCCAGAGATTTCATTTGGCCAACTGACTTTATTTCACTGATGTCATTATACTGTATGAACATGTTCCAGATACGAGTCATCCTAAAAATAACTGACCTCAGATGAAGTGATGTTCAGGAGAAGGGTACAGTTAGAGGGTAGTTACTGTTTGCTGCCCATCTTGTTGTGTAGATGTCTTCTCGCTGACGAGTGTGGTACCTTCACAACATTGACCTTGTATATAACAATGAGGCCACCTACATCCCTTCGGTGTTGAAGGCTCTGCTGACATGACAGATCTGTCCAGGTTGGTTCGTGATGAGAGATGAGTCGTCTTGCTCTGTTCTCTATTGTGTCAAGAAGTTTTAGGTGATAAGGGGGGCAGGCAATCTGAGAAAGTGGAGCATACTCAAGGTGCGAGCACTCTTGTGTCTAATACAGTCTTGCAGCCTCTACTATCATGCAGATTCAAGATATGTTTAAGTGCTATTAGTTTCCTAGCTGCTTTGTTTGCAAGATTTACTACATGGTTCTTCATAGTCAGTTGTGAATCAAATTTCACCCCAAGGATCTCAACCTCATCTCCAGGTTTCAGTACTCTCCCATTCATCTGTCCACTACTACAGTATTCCCCCTTCTTCGTTTCTTCTTCTTCTTTTTCCTCTTCTCCCACTGAGGTCCGTGGTTCGATCCCCAATACAGGTGGAAACATTAGGACGTGTTCCCTTAAGACACCTGCTGTCCATGTTAACCTGGCAGTAAATAGGTACCTAGGTGTTAGTCGACTGGTGTGGGTCGCATCCTGGGGACAAAATTTACCTAATTTGCCTGCATAACAGGGGCTTTCTGTTGTAGTATGTCATTAATGTCAGGCTATGGTCTGTATACCCTGTACATGTACTTGTAGAAATAAAGATTATTATTATTATTATTATTATTATTATTATTATTATTATTATATTCGTTGTTATTAGAATTTTTTAGGGCCACCAAAGTTTACGCCTCATTGAGCCTTACTTTCTGGACGACCGGGAAAGATATACTAGCCAAATATGAACGAAAATTACGAAAGAAACAAAGTTTCCTCCGGAAAAAGAAACGGGAACAATAAGGTCCTAATCATCTCAAGCAAATCCTCCATTGCGTCAATCCCTGAAGAGCCAAACACCCACACACACTTCCCCACACCTTAGTCAAGAACAACAGGCAACAGTCCTGGGTGTGTCACCTTACACCTGCTGTCCCACTTCACCTAGCACTAAGTAGGTACTCGGGTGTTAATTACCTTACACCTGCTGTCCCTCTTTACCTAGCAGTATGTACCAGGGTGTTAGACACCTTACACTTGCTGTCCCTCTTCACCTAGCAGTAAGTAGGTGCCTGGGTGTTAGTCGACTATTGTGGGTCGCATCCTGGGAAAGATATTATATTCAGAATTAATAACCAAGCTTCCAGTTCGGTTATTAATTCATGTTGTTGCCTAGTCTGTGAAAACCATCTCGACAGTCAGTGACACCGACTCTCTTTCTTCTCTTATTATATATTCCCGCTTACTTGCTGGCCTCAGTTGAGATCACATCTCTTTTCTAGAGATTACGATCCTGTTTATCATACTCTCATTCTTGAAAATCCTTTCAAGTAGATTTCCATCCCCTTTTTTTTTCATGGTCGACTTGCTGTGTGACCGCTTGTGAATTTCTCGAAAAAAATACAAAAAATACAAATTCACTAACGGGAATCACTGAATACGGAAACAAAATACTCGGCAAGAGATGCAGCATCCCCCCAATGTCAAGCAGGGGCGCCACGGGTGCGCTGAGACAGCGCAATAAGTGTCAGGGGCCCAAGACTGTTCAATTGTCTCCCAGCATACGTAAGGGGATTACCTATAGACCCCTGGATGTTTTCAAGAAGGCCCTGAACAGGAACCTAATGTCAGTACCTAACCAGCCGGATTGCGGTTCGTACGTCGGTTTACATGCCCAGCAGTGACAGGCTGGTTGATCAGGCCCTGATCCACCGCGGACTGGTCATAGACCGGGCCGCGGGGGAGTTGACCCCCGAAACCCTCTCCAGGTATGTAGATGAATGGTATACTCATACCTGGACAGGACTCGAACCTGCGCACTCTGATTCAAAGTGTTCAGTACCCCTAACACAGCCACACCCCGGATAAATAGGGATGCCTAGCAGAAGCCAGGCGCTGTGTGCGTGTTTGTAATCTGAACCACAGATGAGTGGAAAATAAAACACAGTGGGAAGTATCTATATATTTCGGCCTCAGAGAGGCCCTCTTCAGCAGATAAAGATAAAGGAAGTAGACAGTACATAGCTTGCAAATCACAGAACACATTAAATTATTTAATTCACTTTATATGAATACAGAATAAATATTACACCGTGTTATGACCAAGGTCATAATGTGATTAATTTATATGTATTATCCACTTAATATTATACTCTGGGTTTCTTTAATATTAGCTAAATTAAAGATTCCACTAGTTTATAATATTATCTGATTTAGGAATATACCCGGGTATGATGTATATATATATATCTTGAGTAATGTGTTAGGTAGGTACACCTGGCTAAGGTTTATAACAAGGTATCACCATTGGTGGGTAGTTTGCACCGCTCTACCCTCTCCCCCTTTTGACGAGTTGATGTCATGAAGGAATTTACTGTATATGGCAGTTCACTCTCTCTGCTGACTCAGTGTGCATTGACTGAGCTACCCTCCTAGTACTCCGCCTTATTCTCACTTGGATAGAGAATTGGGTTATAGAAACTCCTGATCCAGCTTGTGGTTTATTGTGAAGTCTTCTGACAATCATATACTGTTATCTTCAGGCTACGATGTGACGACCAGTGTCAAGCTTAGAACTTTGTGATATATTCCTTATGCCAGGGAGTTACTCAGTGGAAGTGTTAATTCTCAATATATGTACTTGCACACAAGTAATGTTACTATTGAGGAAGTGGTAATATTCTTCTGATCATTATCAAGTGTAGTAACCATATTGACATGTACATTCTATTTAAGAGTTCTCTTGTGTGAAGGAAAGTTTCTGACATTGATATTTAATAGATATTTATGAATATCTAAAGTATTTAAGCTTTTAAATAAAAAGAAACTTGAAAAGACTGAGTAACTATTATTTGTGCCTTACATTTCTAAGTTTGGAACCATACCTTTTCATTCTTTGAAGTGTTGTTACGGAGTGCACTAACCTGGCTAAACATTAAGATTTGAACCGTAACACACCGTGAGTCATCCTAACAGAGGACCAGTTACTGGTATGATAGGACCAGTTACTGGTATGAGACATAACTGGCATAAGTTACAACTTATAAATAACACTCAGTGAGGTAAACAAAGATATAGAAAAAGTAGCCACGAGGCTGTGATATTGCAACTGTTGCAAGTTGTGAGGGAGGGAGGGAGGGGAGGTAAGATCATGAGGGAGAGTGAGGGAGAGGTAAGATCGTGAGGGAGAGGTAAGATCATGAGGGAGAGGTAAGATCATGAGGGAGAGGTAAGATCATGAGGGAGAGGGAGGGGAGGTAAGATCATGAGGGAGAGGGAGGTAAGATCATGAGGGAGAGGGAGGTAAGATCATGAGGGAGAGGGAGGTAAGATCATGAGGGAGAGAGGGAGGTAAGATCATGAGGGAGAGAGGGGAGGTAAGATCATGAGGGAGAGAGGGGAGGTAAGATCATGAGGGAGAGAGGGGAGGTAAGATCATGAGGGAGAGAGGGGAGGTAAGATCATGAGGGAGAGAGGGGAGGTAAGATCATGAGGGAGAGAGGGGAGGTAAGATCATGAGGGAGAGGGGAGGTAAGATCATGAGGGAGAGAGGGGAGGTAAGATCATGAGGGAGAGAGGGAGGTAAGATCATGAGGGAGAGAGGGGAGGTAAAGACCATGAGGGAGAGAGGGGAGGTAAGATCATGAGGGAGAGAGGGGAGGTAAGATCATGAGGGAGAGAGGGGAGGTAAGATCATGAGGGAGAGAGGGGAGGTAAGATCATGAGGGAGAGAGGGGAGGCAAGATCATGAGGGAGAGAGGGGAGGCAAGATCATGAGGGAGAGAGGGGAGCAAGATCATGAGGGAGAGAGGGGAGGTAAGATCATGAGGGAGAGAGGGGAGGTAAGATCATGAGGGAGGTAAGATCATGAGGGAGTGAGGGAGGGAGGGAGGGGAGGTAAGATCATGAGGGAGAGTGAGGGAGGGAGGGGAGGTAAGGCTGTACATCATAACCAAACATCAAAAAGTCAACTTGGTATCGCTGGTACAACTTCATCGTCAGTGTCTCAGGAACTGTCTGTAAAATACACAAAAATAAATAATTATATATATATATATATATATATATATATAATATATATATATATATATAATATATATATATAATTTTAATCGAAGGTTTATAAAACAGGAAGAAAGTGTGTATTTCGAGGAGAATATTGTGTTGGCTTCTGTGTCGCTGTTATATTGTTTACCACAAGAAAACAGGAATGTTCTTGTGTAAGTTACCTGGAAGAGGCGGAGTGCAGCCTCCTCGGAGGTGGTGGACAGGTGGTTCATCCACAGGTGGTCACTCACACCCAGACGGTACTTGTGCACCATGTACCTGCACCACAATATTACTTTAATACATACACACACACACACATAGACACACACACACATACACATACACACACACACACACAATGACGTGAAATTGATGAAGAATTAAATCGGACGAGGATGAGGCAGGACTGCAAAGAGACCTGGACAGGCTGGACGTGTGGTCCAGTAACTGGCTTCTCGAATTCAATCCAGCCAAATGCAAAGTCATGAAGATTGGGGAGGGGCAAAGAAGACCGCAGACAGAGTATACGCTAGGTGGACAAAGACTACAGACCTCACTCGGGGAGAAAGACCTTGGGGTGGCCATAACACCGAGCACATCACCGGAGGCACACATCAACCAAATAACCGCTGCAGCATACGGGCGCCTGGCAAACCTGAGAATAGCGTTCCGATACCTTAATAAGGAATCGTTCAAGACACTGTACACTGTATGTTAGGCCCATACTGGAGTATGCAGCACCAGTCTGGAACCCACACCTGGTCAAGCACGTCAAGAAGTTAGAGAAAGTACAAAGGTTTGCAACAAGGCTAGTCCAGAGCTCAAGGGAATGTCGTAACGAGGAAAGGTTAAGGGAAATCGGACTGACGACACTGGAGGACAGAAGGGTCAGGGGAGACATGATAACGACATACAAGATACTGCGGGGAATAGACAAGGTGGACAGAGATAGGATGTTCCAGAGAGGGGACACAGGGACAAGGGGTCACAACTGGAAGCTGAAGACTCAGACGGGTCACAGGGACGTTAGGAAGTATTTCTTCAGTCATAGTTGTCAGCAAGTGGAATAGCCTAGCAAGTGAAGTAGTGGAGGCAGGAACCATACATAGTTTTAAGAAGAGGTATGACAAAGCTCAGGAAGCAGAGAGAGAGAGGATCCAGTAGCGATCAGTGAAGAGGCGGGGCCAGGAGCTGAGTCTCGACCCCTGCAACCACAATTAGGCGAGTACAATTAGGTGAGTACACACACACGCACACGCACACGCACACGCACACGCACACGCGCACGCACGCACTTGATAAAGCACGTCAAGAAACTAGAGAAAGTACAAAGGTTTGCGACAAGGTTAGTTCCAGAGCTAAGGGAAAGATTAAGGGAAATCGGCCTGACGACACTGGAGGACAGGAGGGTCAGGGGAGACATGATAACGACATATAAAATACTGCGTGGAATAGACAAGGTGGACAAAGACAGGATGTTCCAGGGAGGGGACACAAACAAGAGGCCACAATTGGAAGTTGAAGACACAAATGAGTCAGAGATAGTAGGAAGTATTTCTTCAGTCATAGTTGTAAGGCAGTGGAATAGCCTAGAAAATGACGTAGTGGAGGCAGGAACCATACACAGTTTTAACACGAGGTTTGATAAAGCTCATGGAGCGGGGAGAGAGAGGGCCTAGTAGCAACCGGTGAAGAGGCGGGGCCAGGAGCTAGGACTCGACCCCTGTAACCACAAATAGGTGAGTACAAATAGGCGAGTACACATACACACACACATACACACACACACGTAACTTAACTTAAACTACCAAACCCAACTTAACCTAACTTTCTGATATACTCTGTTAGGTATGATTTTTGGTAATACACATTATTATTATATTATTATTGCTATTATTGCTATTATTATTATTATTATTATTATTTAATGCTAGATGAACCACAGGTTACGGATACCTATCATCCAGTAAGCAACTGTTACCTTGTATCTTCGGTCATTGTCTCCATGGTACCAATTACATTGTAGTGGATATCACAGACAGCGCAGTTAGCGTAGTAATGACGCCAGTGACGGTCCGTTATATAGGCTTTCTTGTTCCTGATGACGCCTCGGGCGGGTATGGTCTCCACCAGGTACTGTACGAACTCCTTGAAGCTCGGCTGTCGGGTAGTGAGCGGTGAATTGTCGGGACGATACTTGTTGACGATGTGACGACACAGGCTGTGAGGGAGTGTTTCAATGAATGACTTTACCTTGGGACTCCCATTCTGTGGGTGGTAGTCACCCCCATATCCCTCCTGTAGGTGGTAGTCACCCCATACTTATACTATGGGTGGTAGTCACCCCGTACTCATTCTATGGGTGACCGTCAGATTTTAGTTATGTCGTCCGAGCGGCTATAGTTTATTACACTCCACATTCATCCTGAACGTTAGCGCGTAGAAAAACAGAATCACGTAAGTTACGACAGGTCTGCATCGCATCTTCATTAAGATTTTGTAGGCACCTGGGCTACAGGTACTGTGAGGTCCCTGGGCTACAGGTACTGTGAAGTCCCTGGGCTACAGGTGCTGTGAGGTCCCTGGGCTACAGGTACTGTGAGGTCCCTGGGCTACAGGTACTGTGAGGCCCCTGGGCTACAGGTGCTGTGAGGCCCCTGGGCTACAGGTAGTGAGGCTCCTGGGGTACAGGTACTGTGAGGTCCCTGGGGTACAGGTACTGTGAGGCCCCTGGGCTACAGGTACCGTGAGGACCCTGGACTACAGGTACTGTGAGGCCCCTGGTCTACAGGTACTGTGAGGCCCCTAGGTTACAGGTACTGAGACCCCTCGGTTACAGGTACTGTGAGGTCCCTGGTCTACAGGTACTGTGAGGCCCCTGGGCTACAGGTACTGTGAGGTCCCTGGGCTACAGGTACTGTGAGGCCCCTGGACTACAGGTACTGTGAGGCCCTTGGGCTACAGGTACTGTAAGGCCCCTGGGCTACAGGTACTGTGAGGCCCCTGGACTACAGGTACTGTGAGGCCCCTGGGCTACAGGTACTGTGAGGCACCTGCACTATAGGTACTGTGAGGCCCCTGGGCTACAGGTACTGTGAGGCCTCTGGGCTACAGGTACTGTGAGGCCCCTGGGCTACAGGTACTGTGAGGCCCCTGGGCTACAGGTGCAGTGAGGCCCCTGGGCTACAGGTACTGTGAGGCCCCTAGACTACAGGTACTGTGAGGCCCCTGGACTACAGGTACCGAGACCCCTGGGCTACAGGTACTGTGAGGCCCCTGGGCTCCAGGTACTGAGGCCCCTGGGCTACAGGTACTGTGAGGCCTCTGGACCACAGGTACTGTGAGGCCCCTGGACTACAGATACTGTGAGGCCCCTGGGCTACAGTTACTGTGAGGCCCCTGGACTACAGGTACTGTGAGGCCCCTGGACTACAGGTACTGAGGCCCCTGGGCTACAGGTGCTGTGAGGTCCCTGGTCTACAGGTACTGTGAGGCCCCTGAGGTACAGGTACTGTGAGGTCCCTGGTCTACAGGTGCTGTGAGGCCCCTGGGCTACAGGTGCTGTGAGGTCCCTGGTCTACAGGCGCTGTGAGGCCCCTGAGCTACAGGTACTGTGAGGTCCCTGGGCTACAGGTGCTGTGAGGTCCCTGGGCTACAGGTGCTGTGAGGTCTCTTGGCTACAGGTGCTGTGAGGTCCCTGGGCTACAGGTGCTGTGAGGTCCCTGGGTTACAGGTGCTGTGAGGTCCCTGGGCTACAGGTACTGTGAGGCCCCTGGACTACAGGTACTGTGAGGCCCCTGGACTACAGGTACTGTGAGGCCCCTGGGCTACAGGTACTGTGAGGCCCCTGGGCTACAGGTACTGTGAGGCCCCTGGACTACAGGTACTGTGAGGCCTCTGGGCTACAGGTACTGTGAGGCCCCTGGGTTACAGGTACTGTGAGGCCCCTGGGTTACAGGTACTGTGAGGCCCCTGGGCTACAGGTACTGTGAGCCCCCTGGGCTACAGGTACTGTGAGGCCCCTGGGCTACAGGTACTGTGAGGCCCCTGGACTACAGGTACTGTGAGGCCCCTCGGCTACAGGTACTGAGGCCCCTGGACTACAGGTACTGAGAGGCCCCTGGACTACAGGTACTGTGAGGCCCCTGGACTACAGGTACTGAGAGGCCCCTGGACTACAGGTACTGTGAGGCCCCTGGACTACAGGTACTGTGAGGCCCCTGGGCTACAGGTACTGTGAGGCCCCTCGGCTACAGGTACTGTGAGGCCCCTGGACTACAGGTACTGTGAGGCCCCTGGGCTACAGGCACTGTGAGGCCCCTTGGCTACAGGCACTGTGAGGCCCCTGGGCTACAGGCACTGTGAGGCCCCTGGGCTACAGGCACTGTGAGGTCCCTGGGCTACAGGTACTGTGAGACCCCTGGGCTACAGGTATTGTGAGGCCCCTGGGCTACAGGCACTGTGAGGCCCCTGGGCTACAGGCACTGTGAGGCCCCTGGGTTACAGGCACTGTGAGGCCCCTGGGTTACAGGTACTGTGAGGCCCCTGGGCTACAGGCACTGTGAGGCCCCTGGGCTACAGGCACTGTGAGGCCCCTGGGCTACAGGCACTGTGAGGCCCCTGGGCTACAGGCACTGTGAGGCCCCTGGGCTACAGGCACTGTGAGGCCCCTGGGCTACAGGCACTGTGAGGCCCCTGGGCTACAGGCACTGTGAGGCCCCTGGGCTACAGGCACTGTGAGGCCCCTGGGCTACAGGCACTGTGAGGCCCCTGGGCTACAGGCACTGTGAGGCCCACTGGGTATAATTGCATCTCAAACTTGTACAAAGATTACGAACCTGAGACTGTCCATGAGTTTAATGATAATTTAGCTACAATACACCCTTTTTGTTTTACACTGAGTCAGGTTGGTAGCGCACTCAGTTCACACACTGAGGACCGTGGTTCGATCCCCGTGCGGGTGGAAACAATGAGGGCGTTTTTCTTTAAGACACCTACTATCCCTGTTCACCTAGCAGTCAGTAGGTATTTTGATGTTAGTGGTCTGGTGTGGGTCGCATCCTGGAAAGAAAACTGACCTAATTTGCCCATAATGCTCAGCATAACAAGGGGCTTTCTATAAAGTAGTATGTCATTGATGTCAGCTAGACCTATATACCTTGTACTTGTAGAAATAAATTATTATTATTATTATTATTATTATTATTATATAAAGCAGCCAGACACGTGTGTTCTTACTGGTGCAATCACCGTAAATGTTAGACAAACTGAAACAATAAAAACAACTGAGACTGTGTACGAGTCGCTGGCCAGAAGCTTCGTTAATTAAACCATCACCTTGATAATAATTATGCTTCTGGCGAGCGAAACGTATCACTATAAATGTCTCTTTAGTTGAGAACCCGATACGTACTTGGCAAACTTGCCCGTGGCAACCTTGTCGATGTAGGCTGAGACGAGACGAGCGAACGGGTGTCGAACCAGCATCACCTTATCAAACTTGCCCATGAGAGCTAGCGCCTTGTTGCTGAGGGCAAGACGGTAGAAAATGGCAGCAATTATCTTAATCGTTTTACGATTACAGATCCCCCAGTGGATTGTCCAGTAAGTGGCCTTACTACCTTCACTAGACTGTGGAAGTTATTACTATCACCAGTGCTATTAGGTGCATCACCAGTGCTATTAGGTACATCACCAGTCCTATTAGGTACATCACCAGTGCTATTAGGTACATCATCAGTCCTATTAGGTACATCACCAGTGGTATTAGGTACACCACCAGTCCTATTAGGTACACCACCAGTCCTATTAGGTACATCACCAGTCCTATTAGGTACATCACCAGTCCTATTAGGTACATCACCAGTCCTATTAGATACATCACCAGTCCTATTAGGTACATCACCAGTGCTATTAGGTACATCACCAGTGCTATTAGGTACATCACCAGTGCTATTAGGTTGATAGTTTTATTCTAGCCTAACAACATTTGTTAAAATTGTTCACAGATCGAGTCTCATACCCCTATTATTTGGTAACATACCCACATTATTTGGTACCCATACCCCCAAGGGGTATGGATACCCCTGGTTCAGAACCCCTGCTCTACAATGATGCTAGATTAGGTAAGGTAAGGTTTATCAGGAAGCAGTACAAGTGTTTCCTGACGCGGGTCTTAGTCGTATGATGACCCACAACTGGAGCTTTTGGTCGTCTGACTGAGGCCTTCCACTGGCTTACCCCTCCACCTCTTTAAAAGTTATGGTTATACTATAGGGTATTTCACTCGTAGGAGGCCCCGAGTTAGTGGTTCTGTGCCAACTCGGGACCTCCTACGAGTGCAACCTTCTACAATGATGATACGCTTCACACTGACATTAAATTAACTAATATGAAGTGCACTGCTATGTGCACTTGGTTTAGGCCTATCCCAGATGAAGATAGGCCTTAGACCAATCTAGACTTCCAAACTTAAACATTTAAACTTGCCAAGGACGTGGGAACAATGTTCACAATTCGTTCTTATGTTCTTCAAGCTAGCTACTCTCACCCTGGGACATAACGACGATAATTATAAATACAAAACAGCTCACCTTGCTCGCCGGAAGGGTGGTTTAAGGAGTGCCTGAGCCGTGTAGTGCCAGTTGGAGGCGTTGTTCAGGTGCCCGGGGAATGCCGCCTCCATCATGTACTTGGTCCATGTTGTGGTGCCTACCTGTGCCATCAGTGGTATGTACCTCAGTGCTGACACTCCTATTATTAATATTACCATCACTTATTCCTAATATTACTGTCACTATTTCTAATACATGTATTACTATCAGTGCTACTACTAATATTAATATTACTGCTATTACTAGTCCTCCTGTTATTATTATTTGCTTTTATTGTTGCTTCTTATGTTACTATTGCTACTATTGTTCTGTTACTACTGCAACTATTTTAGTTACACTCACTGTTACTAGTACTGTTGTTGTAACTGTTGTTATTACTACAACTAGTTTCCTTATCGGATTTAGGCAAAGAAAACAGCATGACTTGGCTGGTAAATACTATGTTATTAGTCTGTCTCTCTCTCACCCACACACACACACACACACACACACACACACACACACACACACACACACACACACACACACACACACACACACACAAAATGCTTCTCCAAGATTAAAGTTGAGAGTTTTAATTTACTTCAGTGTTATTAACCCAGAATAACCAGTCATTGCCTTATTTTTGTCGGTGTCTTTTCAAAGATCCACAACAGTCGACTGACCCCTAAGAATATATTTGCTAAGTGAACACAAACTTGCCCTGGCCCACGAGTCTCAAACCTGAGACTCGGTCACCTTGAAAGACTGACCTTTCCAGGTGAGACAGGGTGGTTCTCAATCCCTGGAACTTATTCTACACCCCTTCGTTGGATCAAACCTGATTACCTAGCCTTCCCCAGATGCAGCGCGATTCCTTCGTGTCTCACCTTGGCGTTGAAACACATGATCATCTTGTGGGAGGTGAGCCATCGAAGTCTGTGTAAGGGCGCAGCAGTCACTGAGCCGTATGACACCCGTCCTGCCAACTTGTCGCACACTTGCTTCACGCGAGCTGTCCTCTTCTTATACACCTGGTACCCGTCCACACCCCACGGAACACGTACTTATGATTATACTGTATATATATTTCTTTGATGAGGAATCAGACACATGTGCAACATCTGGGTATCTCTATCTGTAGACGTTTCGCCCTCCAGTAGCTTTATCAATACAAATTCAAGGCCTTCAGCCTTTAATTAGGTTTGTGACTACGGTTCTCTTCTCCATCTCTAAGGCTGAGGGACTCATTACCTCCTCTTTTGTATATACTTTGACAGTCTTCCCATTATAACCTTGTATTAATAGTCACTGGATGGCGAAACGTCTACACATAAAGATACCCAGATGTTGCACATGTTTAATTCTTCATTTTGCCGACATTGCATACCATTCATATACATATATTGCCCTAATGTTACTGTGCTGTCAGCCTGAGTGAACAGTGACATGGCCGACGTCAGTGGACGGAGGATCGAACCTCCACCACGCCTTGCACCGCAAAACCCACACGGGTTAAGCACATGAGGAATATTTATACACACAACAATAACGTAGCTGCGGAAATACTATAATGTTCAGAGATGATTAATAAGAATTAGACTAAGATGCTGAAGATAAGTGGGAATAACAACACAGATAACCCGGACATAGGAGAGAAAACCTCACCACGACGTTTCGGTCACACTAAAATAAAAGTCGGACCGAAACGTCGTTGTAAGTTTTCTCTTATGTGCGGGTTATTTGTGTATTGTTCCAGTCACGGTATTGTTCCTGTTTGTTCCAAGTGAGGGTAAGGTATAGAAATGGTTGGTGTGTTTGTTGAATGTATGTGAGAGTGTTGGATAGGAGTGGAGGCAAGTGGTTTTTATGACTTGACGTGCTGTTGGAGTGTCAGCAACGTGACATTTATGAAGGGATTCAGGGCAACCGGTTAGCCGGACTCGAGTCCTGGAGGCGGCAAGAACAGTGCTTGCACTGTGAGAGGGGTGGAGATATGTTGGAGCTTTGAACTGGACTCTTCTAGCAAGGCAGTGATGGAGTGAGTGATGATGGAAGTGTTTTTTTCTTCTCATTTTGGTCAACCTGCCTCGGTGGGAGAGGGTCGGCTTGTTAAAAAAAAATTAATGAAAAAAGAGATGGTACCTAAAGATTGGCAAAGAACGTATTTATGGTTTTTTTTTAAGGAGAGAGAGTTTGTAGAACGAAAATCAGGGGCGCCATAAATACGCTAAGAGGCAACACAGTAAGTGTCAGGGGCACAAGACTGTTCAACTGCCTCCCAGTATACATAAGTGGGATTACCAACAGACCCCTGACTGCCTTCAAGAAGGCGCTGGACAGGCACCTAAAGTCAGTACCTGACCAGCCGGGCTGTGGGTCGTACGTCGGTTTGTGCAGCAGTAACAGCCTGGTTGATCAAACCCTGATCCACCGCGAGGCCTGGTCATGGGACGGGGCCGTGGGGGGCGTTGACCCCCGAAACCCCCTCCAGGTATACTCCAGGTAACATACTAGGAGAAGTCTATGAGAGAAGTGCCACTGAAAGAGTTAAGGGGAAGAGAATGATGACTGCTGAGGGAGAATGTTGTGTTAAGAACGAGAGAAATATTAGACAGAAGTATTTATATGACAGTAAGAAGCTATAGACGATGGAAGTAGTTATTGATACCAATAATAATAATAATAATAATAATAATAATAATAATAATATCTTTATTTCTACAAGTACATGTACAAGGTATACAGACCATAGCTGCTTGTTATGCTGAGCATTTCGGGCAAATTAGGTTAATTTTGTCCCAGGATGCGACCCACACCAGTCAACTAACACTCAGGTACCTACTGACTGCTAGGTGAACTTGCTAATGTTTTCACCCGTACCGGGGATGGACCCCCAGACCTCAGTGCTCACCTAATTGTGGTTGCAGGGGTCGAGACTCAGCTCCTGGCCCCGCCTCTTAATTGATCGCTACTAGGTCCTCTCTCTCCGCTTCCAGAACTTTGTCATACCTCGTCTTAACAAGAGAGTGAGTGAGTGAGTGAGTGAGTGAGTGAGTGAGTGAGTGAGTGAGTGAGTGAGTGAGTGTGTGTGTGTGTGTGTGTGTGTGTGTGTGTGAGTGTGTGTGTGTGGTGTGTGTGTGTGTGTGTGTGTGTACTCACCTAGTTGAGGTTGCAGGGGTCGAGTCCAAGCTCCTGGTCCCGCCTCTTCACTGGTCGCTACTAGGTCCCCTCTCCCTGAACATGAGTTTATCATACCTCTGCTTAAAGCTATGTATGGATTCTGCCTCCACTACATCGCTTCCCAAACTATTCCACTTCCTGACTACTCTGTGGCTGAAGAAATACTTCCTAACATCCCTGTGATTCATCTGTGTCTCAGCTTCCAACTGTGTCCCCTTGTTGCTGTGTCCCATCTCTGGAACATCCTGTCTTTGTCCACCTTGTCAATTCCTCTCAGTATTTTGTATGTCGTTATCAGGGTCCCCCTATCTCTCCTGTCCTCCAGAGTCGTCAGGTTTGATTTCCCTTAACCTCTCCTCGTAGGACATCCCTCTTAGCTCTGGATAGTCTTGTTGCAAACCTTTGCACTTTCTCTAGTTTCTTTACGTGCTTGGCTAGGGTGGGTTCCAAACTGGTGCCGCATACTCCAAATATGAGCCTAATGTACACGGTGGTACAGGGTCCTGAACGATTCCTTTTTAAGATGTCGGAATGCTTTTTCTGGGGTTTTGCTAGGCGCCCATATGCTGCAGCAGTTATTTGGTTGATGTGCGCTTCAGGAGATGTGCCTGGTGTTATACTCACCCCAAGATCTTTTTCCCTTTAGTGAGGTTTGAGTCTCTGGCCCCCCTAGACTGTACTCCGTCTGCGGTCTTCTTTGCCCTTCCCCAATCTTCATGACTTTGCACTTGGTGGGGTCGAACTCCAGGAGCCAATTGCTGGACCAGGTCTGCAGCCTGTCCAAATCCCTTTGTAGTTCTGCCTGGTCTTCGATCGAATGAATTCTTCTCATCAACTTCGTCATCTGCAAACAGGGACACCTCGGAGTCTATTCCTTCCGTCATGTCATTCACAAATACCAGAAACAGCACTGGTCCTAGGACTGACCCCTGTGGGACCCCGCTGGTCACAGGTGCCCACTCTGACACCTCGCCACGTACCATGACTCGCTGCTGTCTTCCTGATAGTAGCGAGTCATGGTACGAGGCGTGTGTGTGTGTGTGTGTGTGTGTGTGTGTGTGTGTGTGTGTGTGTGAATGCTATGTACATATAATTATACTGTTAAATGCAACCACTGCATGATATTAAAATTAATACGTAATAGCAATATGAATTTCGAAAAATGGTGTAGTGATAACGACGAGATGTGGAACGAGACACTTCTTCCTTCTTTCAACCCACCGACCGACCGTATCCCACCGAGGCGGAGTGGCCACCGAGGCGGAGTGGCCCACCGAGGCAGGGTGGCACACAGAAGGCAGGGTGGCCCACCGAGGCAGGGTGGCCCACCGAGGCAGGGTGGCCCACCGAGGCAGGGTGGCCCACCGAGGCAGGGTGGCACACCGAGGCAGGGTGGCCCACGGAGGCAGGGTGGCCCACGGAGGCAGGGTGGCCTACCGAGGCAGGGTGGCCCACCGAGGCAGGGTGGCCCACCGAGGCAGGGTGGACCACCGAGGCAGGGTGGCCCACCGAGGCAGGGTGGAGCACCGAGGCAGGGTGGAGCACCGAGGCAGGGTGGAGCACCGAGGCAGGGTGGAGCACCGAGGCAGGGTGGAGCCCCGAGGCAGGGTGGAGCACCGAGGCAGGGTGGAGCACCGAGGCAGGGTGGAGCACCGAGGCAGGGTGGAGCACCGAGGCAGGGTGGAGCACCGAGGCAGGGTGGAGCACCGAGGCAGGGTGGAGCACGAGGCAGGGTGGAGCACCGAGGCAGGGTGGAGCACCGAGGCAGGGTGGAGCACCGAGGCAGGGTGGACCACCGAGGCAGGGTGGAGCACCGAGGCAGGGTGGAGCACCGAGGCAGGGTGGAGCACCGAGGCAGGGTGGAGCACCGAGGCAGGGTGGAGCACCGAGGCAGGGTGGAGCACCGAGGCAGGGTGGAGCACCGAGGCAGGGTGGAGCACCGAGGCAGGGTGGAGCACCGAGGCAGGGTGGAGCACCGAGGCAGGGTGGAGCACCGAGGCAGGGTGGAGCACCGAGGCAGGGTGGAGCACCGAGGCAGGGTGGAGCACCGAGGCAGGGTGGAGCACCGAGGCAGGGTGGAGCACCGAGGCAGGGTGGAGCACCGAGGCAGGGTGGAGCACAGAGGCAGGGTGGACCACCGAGGCAGGGTGGAGCCCCGAGGCAGGGTGGAGCACCGAGGCAGGGTGGAGCACCGAGGCAGGGTGGAGCACCGAGGCAGGGTGGAGCACCGAGGCAGGGTGGAGCACCGAGGCAGGGTGGAGCACCGAGGCAGGGTGGAGCACCGAGGCAGGGTGGAGCACCGAGGCAGGGTGGAGCACCGAGGCAGGGTGGAGCACGAGGCAGGGTGGAGCACCGAGGCAGGGTGGAGCACCGAGGCAGGGTGGACCACCGAGGCAGGGTGGAGCACCGAGGCAGGGTGGAGCACCGAGGCAGGGTGGACCACCGAGGCAGGGTGGAGCACCGAGGCAGGGTGGAGCACCGAGGCAGGGTGGAGCACCGAGGCAGGGTGGAGCACCGAGGCAGGGTGGAGCACCGAGGCAGGGTGGAGCACCGAGGCAGGGTGGAGCACCGAGGCAGGGTGGAGCACCGAGGCAGGGTGGAGCACCGAGGCAGGGTGGAGCACCGAGGCAGGGTGGAGCACCGAGGCAGGGTGGACCACCGAGGCAGGGTGGAGCACCGAGGCAGGGTGGAGCACCGAGGCAGGGTGGAGCACCGAGGCAGGGTGGAGCACCGAGGCAGGGTGGAGCACCGAGGCAGGGTGGACCACCGAGGCAGGGTGGAGCACCGAGGCAGGGTGTGGAGCACCGAGGCAGGGTGGAGCACCGAGGCAGGGTGGAGCACCGAGGCAGGGTGGAGCACCGAGGCAGGGTGGAGCACCGAGGCAGGGTGGAGCACCGAGGCAGGGTGGAGCACCGAGGCAGGGTGGAGCACCGAGGCAGGGTGGAGCACCGAGGCAGGGTGGAGCACCGAGGCAGGGTGGAGCACCGAGGCAGGGTGGAGCACCGAGGCAGGGTGGAGCACCGAGGCAGGGTGGAGCACCGAGGCAGGGTGGAGCACCGAGGCAGGGTGGAGCACCGAGGCAGGGTGGAGCACCGAGGCAGGGTGGAGCACCGAGGCAGGGTGGAGCACCGAGGCAGGGTGGGCACCGAGGCAGGGTGGAGCCCCGAGGCAGGGTGGAGCACCGAGGCAGGGTGGAGCACCGAGGCAGGGTGGAGCACCGAGGCAGGGTGGAGCACGAGGCAGGGTGGAGCACCGAGGCAGGGTGGAGCACCGAGGCAGGGTGGAGCACCGAGGCAGGGTGGACCACCGAGGCAGGGTGGACCACCGAGGCAGGGTGGAGCACCGAGGCAGGGTGGACCACCGAGGCAGGGTGGACCACCGAGGCAGGGTGGAGCACCGAGGCAGGGTGGACCACCGAGGCAGGGTGGAGCACCGAGGCAGGGTGGAGCACCGAGGCAGGGTGGAGCACCGAGGCAGGGTGGAGCACCGAGGCAGGGTGGAGCACCGAGGCAGGGTGGAGCACCGAGGCAGGGTGGAGCACCGAGGCAGGGTGGAGCACCGAGGCAGGGTGGAGCACCGAGGCAGGTGGAGCACCGAGGCAGGGTGGAGCACCGAGGCAGGGTGGAGCACGAGGCAGGGTGGAGCACCGAGGCAGGGTGGAGCACCGAGGCAGGGTGGACCACCGAGGCAGGGTGGACCACCGAGGCAGGGTGGACCACCGAGGCAGGGGGGAAACCACCGAGGCAGGGTGGAGCACCGAGGCAGGGTTGGAGCACCGAGGCAGGGTGGAGCACCGAGGCAGGGTGGAGCACCGAGGCAGGGTGGAGCACCGAGGCAGGGTGGACCACCGAGGCAGGGTGGACCACCGAGGCAGGGTGGCGCACCGAGGCAGGGTGGAGCACCGAGGCAGGGTGGAGCACCGAGGCAGGGTGGAGCACCGAGGCAGGGTGGAGCACCGAGGCAGGGTGGCGCACCGAGGCAGGGTGGCGCACCGAGGCAGGGTGGAGCACCGAGGCAGGGTGGCGCACCGAGGCAGGGTGGCGCACCGAGGCAGGGTGGAGCACCGAGGCAGGGTGGACCACCGAGGCAGGGTGGAGCACCGAGGCAGGGTGGAGCACCGAGGCAGGGTGGAGCACCGAGGCAGGGTGGAGCACCGAGGCGGGTGGAGCACCGAGGCAGGGTGGAGCACCGAGGCAGGGTGGAGCACCGAGGCAGGGTGGCGCACCGAGGCAGGGTGGAGCACCGAGGCAGGGTGGAGCACCGAGGCAGGGTGGAGCCACGAGGCAGGGTGGAGCACCGAGGCAGGGTGGAGCACCGAGGCAGGGTGGAGCACCGAGGCGGGGTTTGGAGCACCGAGGCAGGGGTGGAGCACCGAGGCGGGGTGGACCACCGAGGCAGGGTGGAGCACCGAGGCAGGGTGGAGCACCGAGGCAGGGTGGAGCACCGAGGCAGGGTGGACCACCGAGGCAGGGTGGACCACGAGGCAGGGTGGAGCACCGAGGCAGGGTGGAGCACCGAGGCAGGGTGGACCACGAGGCAGGGTGGCGCACCGAGGCAGGGTGGAGCACCGAGGCAGGGTGGACCACCGAGGCAGGGTGGACCACCGAGGCAGGGTGGAGCACCGAGGCAGGGTGGAGCACCGAGGCAGGGTGGACCACCGAGGCAGGGTGGAGCACCGAGGCAGGGTGGAGCACCGAGGCAGGGTGGAGCACCGAGGCAGGGTGGAGCACCGAGGCAGGGTGGAGCACCGAGGCAGGGTGGAGCACCGAGGCAGGGTGGAGCACCGAGGCAGGGTGGAGCACCGAGGCAGGTGGAGCACCGAGGCAGGGTGGAGCACCGAGGCAGGGTGGAGCACCGAGGCAGGGTGGACCACCGAGGCAGGGTGGCGCCCCGAGGCAGGGTGGAGCACGAGGCAGGGTGGAGCACCGAGGCAGGGTGGAGCACCGAGGCAGGGTGGAGCACCGAGGCAGGGTGGAGCACCGAGGCAGGGTGGAGCACCGAGGCAGGGTGGAGCACCGAGGCAGGGTGGAGCACCGAGGCAGGGTGGAGCACCGAGGCAGGGTGGACCACCGAGGCAGGGTGGAGCACCGAGGCAGGGTGGACCACCGAGGCAGGGTGGACCACCGAGGCAGGGTGGAGCACCGAGGCAGGGTGGACCACCGAGGCAGGGTGGAGCACCGAGGCAGGGTGGAGCACCGAGGCAGGGTGGACCACCGAGGCAGGGTGGAGCACCGAGGCAGGGTGGACCACCGAGGCAGGGTGGACCACCGAGGCAGGGTGGAGCACCGAGGCAGGGTGGACCACCGAGGCAGGGTCGCCGAGAAATAAAAACGAAAGTTTCACCTTTTACATTTAGTAACATATACAGAAGAGGTTACTATCCCCTTGCTCCCGGCATTTTAATCTCTCTTACGACACGCATGACTTACGGAGGAAGAATTCTAATCCACTTCCCCAAAACGCTCAGGTGCAAGTCATGTTAATATTTTATTGTGGCAACGTTTCGCTCTCCATGAGCTTTGCCAGGCTGTTAATGGCTTGTAAACAAGTCTCTTTTACCACGCAAAATAAATAACAAAAGAAATTAACAAATTCAGGGTTATTTACCTCCTCTCTCTCCTCGATAAATTTCTCATCTACGATAATATTTGTCCAGTGTTGATGGTCCGTTGATGTCACATATTTTGCTGTAATTATAGTGTTCCGAGGAGAGTGAGGAAGTGTTAAGACTCCGGTGTTTGTGGTTATATAAGCTTTAAGTTCATCCCGAGTCTGTAGATCCTCTTGAAGTGTCTCTCCTCCAATGTATACATCCTGAGTAAAGAAAACCAGAGTCAAAATAAGGTGTTGGGAGCAGTTTCAGAATTAAATTCTATGTTGTTTTATGCTCGATCGATTGTTGTGATGTTTATAGTTTTGTGTTGTTATCCTGGGCTCTGAAAAGCGCGTTGTTATTGTTACTCTGTCTTTGGTTACACCCTACAATCATAACAGTGTTAAGGTTATCATCACTCACTAAATCGTAATAACATAATTGTAAATATACCAGGGAATAGGTGGGGTAGATTATTATTATTACAATCAAAAAGAAGCGCTAAGCCACAAGGGCTATACAGCTAGGTGGGGTAGAACCCATGGCGAGTGAGTCGTACAACTTCAGGTCAGTGCGTAAACCACTTGACCAGCTGGCTACAATATGATACATCCAATTATGTATATTTATACACCATAGGGGAGGGGGGGTTGACATGAGCCTCCACTGTGACCACAAATGCAAGTTTTTACGGATGATTCTCCCACTAGCGTGGCCGTGACGAACTCTAGATCAAGTCCCCTCAAAGCCGTCACCATGACCATGCAGAAACAAGCCGAGATATATACAGAGAAAGATCACAATCAGCAGGATTCGAACCCCCATCTGGAGGCTATCCACGAGTGTGGCTCAGCTTCCTACGTGACACTTCAGACCACTCAGCTACCTAGTGTTTTGAGTCATCTGTAGTGAAGTGGTGTAAGGCGTCAGGGTGGGAGCTCAGCACTGTTTACCACACCAGTGTTCAGTGATCTTGATAAAGTCATAAAAATCAAGGTAACACCATAATATGGTTGCCAGCAAGCGTCCCTTGGAACCAAACTGCTGAGATTTCATATTCATTTCTGCAACTTTGAAAGCTCCCAATGTGTTGATTGCAATATGAAAGACCTAGAGCTATTATTCAACTCTCCCTGTGATTGTTTTGCATCTTGTATCGCTTGTTTGCTTTCTTGCATTTCATATATATATATATATATATATATATATATATTATATTTATATATATATATATATATATATATATATATATATATATTATATATATATATTATCGGGGCTGAATAGGCAGAACTTGCGATCTTGGCTTAAATAGCAACGCTCATCTTGCCACATAGGACAAGTGAAAATTTGTGTATGCAATAATTTCGCCAAAATCATTCAGAATCTAACGAAAAAAATATATTTCACTGTGTTTGTTTAGTATTAAATTATTGTAAACAAAGTGAAAATTTGTGTATGCAATAATTTCGCCAAAATCATTCAGAATCTAACGAAAAAAATATATTTCACTGTGTTTGTTTAGTATTAAATTATTGTAAACAAATCTAAAATATATTTAGTTGGGTTAGGCTAAAATAAGTTGTTCTTGTTATAATAAGGTTAGGTAAATTTTCTAAGATTCTTTTGGTGCAAAATTATAAATTTTTACATCAGCATTAATGAAAAAAATATATCTATAAACGTATAAGAGAAAATTTGAGAAAGGACTTAATTTTAAATGAGTTCTTGCTAATTGACCAGTTTTACATATTCGGCACGACATATTATATATAAATATATATATATATATATATATATATATATATATATATATATATATATATATATGTATATATATATATATATAATATATATATATATATATATATGACTACATATACTTAATTTTGCACTATTTAATGGTACACCTGTGGTATTAAGGGAGTGAAGAGATGCATGGGTGATATATGATGTTTGAAGGCCATTAACTACAGGAGGGTCATTAAGGCTGTTTGTCACCTGTACACCGCCAGTCAAGAGCACATTAGTGATTAAAATACTGATTAAATTAATCTCTTTACGCATTTACATTGAGAGATACACGCCTCTCAGTGTACATACACTGAGAGATACACGCCTCTCAGTGTACATACACTGAGAGATACACGCCTCTCAGTGTACATACACTGAGAGATACACACCTCTCAGTGTACATACACTGAGAGATACACACCTCTCAGTGTACATACACTGAGAGATACACACCTCTCAGTGTACATACACTGAGAGATACACGCCTCTCAGTGTACATACACTGAGAGATACACACCTTCAGTGTACATACACTGAGAGATACACGCCTCTCAGTGTACATACACTGAGAGATACACACCTCTCAGTGTACATACACTGAGAGATACACACCTCTCAGTGTACACTGAGAGATACACACCTCTCAGTGTATATACACTGAGAGATACACACCTCTCAGTGTATATACACTGAGAGATACACGCCTCTCAGTGTACATACACTGAGAGATACACACCTCTCAGTGTACACTGAGAGATACACACCCTCCAGTGTATATACACTGAGAGATACACACCTCTCAGTGTACATACACTGAGAGATACACGCCTCTCAGTGTATATACACTGAGAGATACACACCTCTCAGTGTATTTTACACTGAGAGATTACACATCTCTCAGTGTACATACACTGAGAGATACACGCCTCTCAGTGTACATACACTGAGAGATACACATCTCTCAGTGTACATACACTGAGAGATACACATCTCTCAGTGTACATACACTGAGAGATACACGCCTCTCAGTGTACATACACAGAGATACACATCTCTCAGTGTACATACACTGAGAGATACACATCTCTCAGTGTACATACACTGAGAGATACACATCTCTCAGTGTACATACACTGAGAGATACACATCTCTCAGTGTACATACACTGAGAGATACACGCCTCTCAGTGTACATACACTGAGAGATACACATCTCTCAGTGTACATACACTGAGAGATACACATCTCTCAGTGTACATACACTGAGAGATACACATCTCTCAGTGTACATACACTGAGAGATACACGCCTCTCAGTGTACATACACTGAGAGATACACATCTCTCAGTGTACATACACTGAGAGATCCCACATCTCTTCAGTGTACATACACTGAGAGATACACATCTCTCGTGTACATACACTGAGAGATACACGCCTCTCAGTGTACATACACTGAGAGATACACATCTCTCTGTGTACTTTACACTGAGAGATACACATCTCTCAGTGTACATACACTGAGAGATACACGCCTCTCAGTGTACATACACTGAGAGATACACATCTCTGTGTACATACACTGAAAGATACACACCTCTCAGTGTACATACACTGAGATACACACCTCTCAGTGTACATACACCGAGAGATACACATCTCTCAGTGTACATACACCGAGAGATACACACCTCTCAGTGTACATACACTGAGAGATACACACCTCTCAGTGTATGTACACTGAGAGATACACACCTCTCAGTGTACATACACTGAGAGATACACACCTCTCAGTGTACATACACTGAGAGATACACATCTCTGTGTACATACACTGAGAGATACACATCTCTCAGTGTACATACACTGAGAGATACACATCTCTCAGTGTACATACACTGAGAGATACACATCTCTCAGTGTACATACACTGAGAGATACACACCTCTCAGTGTACATACACTGAGAGATACACACCTCTCAGTGTACATACAATGAGAGATACACACCTCTCAGTGTACATACACTGAGAGATACACACCTCTCAGTGTACATACACTGAGAGATACACACCTCTCAGTGTACATACACTGAGAGATACACACCTCTCAGTGTACATACACTGAGAGATACACACCTCTCAGTGTACATATACTGAGAGATACACACCTCTCAGTGTACATACACTGAGATACACATCTATCAGTGTACATACACTGAGAGATATATCAACAGGAAGAGTAGATATACAGATGGACGGAGGAGAGACAAGAACCGGGTACTCACCCCCACCAGAATGACGATCATCACAACCATGATGAGAACTAAGAAATTCTTCAGTAACCGCTTAAACTGTCTCATCTTGCTGTAGTTATTATTATTATTATTATTATTATTATTATTATTATTATTAGTAGTAGTAGTAGTAGTATTAGTAGTAGTAGTAGTAGTAGGTGTTAAATATCAGCAGGTGCTACCATGTAACATAGTAGCAATTACTACCAGGTAACGTAGCAGGTACTACCAGGTAACGTAGCAGGTACCACCAGGTAACGTAGCAGCAGCCGGTACCACCAGGTAACGTAGCAGCAGCCAGTACCACCATGTAATGTAGCAGCCAGTACCACCAGGTAACGTAACAGCAGGTACCACCAGGTAACGTAGCAGCAGGTAGCACCAGGTAACGTAACAGCAGGTACCACCAGGTAACGTAGCAGCAGGTACCACCAGGTAAGGTAGTAGCCAGTACCACCAGGTAACGTAGCAGCAAGCACCACCAGGTAACGTAGCAGTAGGTACCACCAGGTAACGTAGCAGCAGGTACTACCAGGCAACGTAGCAGCAGGTAGCACCAGGTAACGTAGCAGCAGGTAGCACCAGGTAACGTAGCAGCAAGTAGCACCAAGTAACGTAGCAGCAAGTAGCACCAGGTAACGTAGCAGCAGGTAGCACCATGTAGCACCAGGTTACGTAGCAGCAGGTAGCACCAGGTAACGTAGCAGCAGGTAGCACCAGGTTACGTAGCAGCAGGTAGCACCAGGTAACGTAGCAGCAGGTAGCACCAGGTAACGTAGCAGCAGGTAGCACCAGGTAACGTAGCAGCAGGTAGCACCAGGTTACGTAGCAGCAGGTAGCACCAGGTAACGTAGCAGCAGGTAGCACCAGGTAACGTAGCAGCAGGTAGCACCAGGTTACGTAGCAGCAGCCAGTACCACCATGTAATGTAGCAGCCAGTACCACCAGGTAACGTAACAGCAGGTACCACCAGGTAACGTAGCAGCAGGTACCACCAGGTAAGGTAGTAGCCAGTACCACCAGGTAACGTAGCAGCAAGCACCACCAGGTAACGTAGCAGCAGGTACCACCAGGTTACGTAGCAGCAGGTAGCACCAGGTAACGTAGCAGCAGGTAGCACCAGTGGTCACTGACTGAGGTTCAGTGTACATGTGTGGTGCAGGTGGCAAGTGTTGACTTGCTAATGAGTTTTCACAGACACCAGGTGAGGGAGAGCTCTCGATCTGGGGAGTTAGAGATGGAAGCCTTTTTCACCTTCCTCGGATCAAATATGATTACCTTATCTCCCGGGCCACTATATGACTCCTAGGGGTTTATTGCTCACCCGAAGAAGTTAACATAATTTGTATGGTGTTTGTGTGTGTGTGTGTGTGTGTGCACTCACCTGTATGTATTTACCTATATGTGGTTGCAGGGGTCGATTCACAGCTCCTGACCCCGTCTTTTCGCTGGTCGCTACTAGGTCCACTCCCTCCCTATTTCTTAAACGATGTATGGATCCTGCCTCCACTACATCATCTCCAGATTGTTCCACTTCCTGACAACTCTATGACTGAAGAAATACTTAGTAACATCCCGTGACTCATCTGAGTTCTCAACTTCCAGTTGTGACCCCTTGTTGCTGTGTCCCATCTCTGAAACATTCTGTCTTGTCAGTTCCTCTCAGTAGTATTTTATACGTCGTTATCATGTCGTCCCTGTCCATCGTGTCCTCCAGTGCCGTCAGGCTGATTTCCCTTAACCTCTCCTCGTAGGACATACTCATTAACTCCGGGGCTAGTCTTGTTACAAACCTTTCCGCTTTCTCTAATTTCTTGACGTGTTTGCCCAGGTGTGGATTCTATGCTGGTGCTGCATACTCCAATATGGGCCTGACGTACACGGTGTACAGTGCCGTGAATGACTCCTTACTTTGATGTCTAAGCGTTATTCTTAGGTTTGCCAGGCGCCCATATTCTGCAGCAGTTATTCTGTTGATATGCGCCTCAGATGTGCTCGGTATGTTGCTCACCCCAATATTTTTTTCCTGAGTGAATTTTGCAGCTTTTGACTTCATATGCTGTACTCCGTCTGCAGTCTTCTTTGTCCTCCCCCCAAACTTCATGACTTTACACTTGCTGTGGTTAAACTCTAGGAGCCATTTGCTGGACCAAGCTTGCAGCCTGTCCAGATCCCCTTGTAGACTTACCTGATCCTCGTCCACCTGCATTCTCATCATTAGATTTACATCGTCTGCCAACAGGGACACCTTTGAATCTATCCCGGACCTAGAACTGGCCATTGTGGCACCCCACTGAACACATGCACCCACTCTGACACCTCATCACGTACCAACTCTCGTAGTTTCCTTCCTATCAGGTATTCCATGATTCACTGCAGTACTTGGCTCAACTATTCCTGCCTACTCTAGCTTTTCAACCAGTCTCTTCTGTGGTACTGTATCGAAAGCCTTCTTACAGTCCAAGAAGATGCAGTCTACCCATCCCTCTTTCTCTTGTCTTACTTTACTGTAGAACTCCAGGAGGTTTGTGATGCAGGACTTTCCTTCTCTATAGGATCCCTGTTAGAACTGTTCACACTATATAGTCATCTGCTTCTCTGACTAGTCCTCCCATCTCCTCAAACCACCATTGGTTCTGATGAGCAGTGCAGCTTTTCCTCTTCCTCCTCTGTCCCACCCTGTCTTTCCTCAAGATCTAATATCCAGATGGGAAGGTCGCATCTGTCATCACCCCTGTTAGCCATGTCTCTATGAGTGCTATGATGTCCAAGGATGCCTCAGCGATTCTTTCCTGCCACTCGTCACTCTTATTTGTTATTCCAGCAATGCTGGTATACCATTCCTTCAGCTTTCTTTCCAGAGCTGTATTCAAGGGGGTGGGAGGAGTTGGTGCCGACTGAGGGTGTGGTAGGCAGGGCTGGATATAATTTTAGGGTGGTGTGGTGGTATTAGTGCTGCAGGGAGGGGGAATGAGGGTGTGGAGTGAGGTTTAATTCTGGCTATTGTATTTGGTTGATGTGGGTTAGCAGTGGTTGAAAGGATGCTGTGGGTGGTTCTGTAGGCAGTTGTGTTTGTTGTTCTTCCCGAGGCTGTGCTCCCCTGTGTCAGTACCTGCTCTGTTCCCCCTTCCTGCCTCTGGTGCCTTCTTATTCTCTCCGCAGGATCTTGTTTCGTACCATTTCTGTCTTGAATGTTAGTCTGACTGGGCAGTTATTTTCCCTCGAGTACCACCCAAGTCTCTGAAAGTTTGTCAGTTGGGTCACGTCCTCTCCTGTTACTGAGATGATGCTCTCAATCTTTTTTATTTCCCCCTGTCTTCTTTCGTCATAGGTCTTCCCTTCTGCCTCATGGAGTCCATGAATAATAAGCGACCTCCCCTCTCCTCTTCCCATTTCATTTCCCTCCATATCTCTTGGTCGGATGTGTCTTCTTGGATGTGTGTGTGTGTACTCACCTAACTGTACACATCTAATTATGGTTGCAGGGGCCGAGACTCAGCTCCTGGCCCCACCTCTTCACTGATCGCTACTGGAACCTCTCTCTGCTTCCTGAGCTTTGTCATACCTCTTCTTAAAACAATGTATGGTTCCTGCCTCCACTACTTCACTTCCTAGGCTATTCCACTTGCTGACAACTCTATGACTGAAAAAATACTTCCTAACGTCCCTGTGACTCGTCTGAGTCTTCAGCTTCCAGTTGTGACCCCTTGTCCCTGTGTCCCCTCTCTGGAACATCCTATCTCTGTCCACCTTGTCTATTCCCCGCAGTATCTTGTATGTCGTTATCATGTCTCCCCTGACCCTTCTGTCCTCCAGTGTCGTCAGTCCGATTTCCCTTAACCTTTCCTCGCACGACATTCCCATGAGCTCTGGGACTAGCCTTGTTGCAAACCTTTATACTTTCTCTAACTTCTTGACGTGCTTGACCAGGTGTGGGTTCCAGACTGGTGCTGCATACTCCAGTATGGGCCTAACATACACAGTGTACAGTGTCTTGAACGATTCCTTATTAAGGTATCGGAACGCTATTCTCAGGTTTGCCAGGCGCCCGTATGCTGCAGCGGTTATTTGGTTGATGTGTGCCTCAAGTGATGTGCTCGGTGTTATGGTCACCCCAAGGTCTTTCTCCCTGAGTGAGGTCTGTAGTCTTTGTCCACCTAGCCTATACTCTGTCTGCGGTCTTCTTTGCCCCTCCCCAATCTCATGACTTTGCATTTGGCTGGATTGAATTCGAGAAGCCAGTTGCTGGACCACATGTCCAGCCTGTCCAGGTCTCTTTGCAGTCCTGCCTCATCCTCCGATTTAATTCTTCTCATCAACTTCACGTCATCTGCGAACAGGGACACTTCAGAGTCTATTCCTTCCATCATGTCGTTCACATATATCAAAAATAGCACTGGTCCTAGAACTGACCCTTGTGGGACCCCGCTCATAACAGGCGCCCACTGTGATACCTCTTCACGTACCATGACTCGTTGCTGCCTCCCTGTCAGGTATTCCCTTATCCATTGCAGTGCCCTCCCTTTTACGTGCGCCTGATCCTCGAGCTTCTGCACTAGTCTCTTGTGGGGAACTGTGTCAAAGGCCTTCCTGCAGTCTAGGAAAACGCAATCTACCCACCCCTCTCTCTCGTGTCTTACTTCTGTTACCTTGTCATAAAACTCCAGGAGGTTTGTGATACAAGATTTGCCTTCCATGAACCCATGCTGGTTTTCATTTATAATCTTGTTCCTTTCCAGGTGTTCGACCACTCTCCTCCTGATAATCTTCTCCATGACTCTGCACACAATACATGTCAGAGACACAGGTCTGTAGTTTAGTGCCTCGTTTCTGTTTCCTTTCTTAAATATGGGGACTACATTAGCTGTCTTCCATTTCTCAGGTAGTTGCCCAGTTTCAAGGGATGTGTTGAAGATTGTGGTTAGAGGCACGCACAGCATCTCTGCTTCTTCTCCAAGGACCCATGGGAAGATGTCCGGTCCCATCGCCTTTGAGGTGTCAAGGTCACTTGAGAACTTCTTCACCTCCTCCTCAGTTGTTCGTATGTCATCCAACACTTGTTGGTATATTCCCTCTTGATGTTCCCTTCTGTGCTGTCTTCCCACAGCCCTTCCTGTCTCTACTGTAAAAACTTCCTAAAATCTCCTGTTCAGCTCCTCACATACCTCCTGATCATTTCTTGTGAGTTCTCCACCTTCTGTCCTTAATCTGATCACCTGGTCTTTGACTGTTGTCTTCCTCCTGATGTGGCTATACAACAGTTTCGGGTCAGTCTTGATTCTCGATGCTATGTCATTTTCATTCTGTCGCTGGGCCTCCCTCCTTACCTGTGCGTACTCATTCCTGGCTCTGCGACTGATCTCCCTATTTTCGTGTGTTCTCTGCCTTCTGTACTTTTTCCATTCTCTATTGCACTTTGTTTTTGCCTCCTTACACCGTCGGGTAAACCAGGGGCTCGTTCTGGTCTTCCCGTTGTTACTGTTGCCCTTGGGAATAAACCTTTCCACTGCCTCCTTGCATTTTGTTGTTACATATTCCATCATTTCATTTACTGGCTTTCCTGCCAGTTCTCTGTCCCACTGGACCTCCCGCATGAAGTTCTTCAACCCTATGTAGTCCCCTCTTTTATAGTCAGGCTTTTCCCATTCAACTCCTGTTATTCTCTCCACTTGCAGCTCTACTATGTATTCAAAGCACAGAACCACGTGGTCGCTAGCTCCTAGGGGACTCTCATACTTGATGTCCTCAATATCTGAGCTGCCCAGGGTGAACACAAGGTCCAATCTTGCTGGTTCATCCTCCCCTCTCACTCTGGTAGTGTCCTTAACATGTTGGTGCATGAGGTTTTCCAGCACCACGTCCAACATCCTGGCTCTCCATGTTTTGGGACCCCCATGTGGCTCCAGGTTTTCCCAGTCAATCTCCCTGTGGTTGAAATCCCCCATAACCAGCAACTTTGCTCTGCTGGAGTGAGCTCTTCTTGCCACCTCAGCAAGTGTGTCCACCATTGCTCTGTTGCTCTCTTCATATTCCTCTCTTGGCCTCCTGCAGTTCTGTGGTGGATTATACATCACTGCAATGACCACTTTGTGTTCCCCAGACTGAAGTGTACCTGTGTGTGTGTGTGTGTGTGTGTGTATTACTTCCTCACCCTGATATAATATAATTTCCTATCCCCATAATACCACCCAGAATAACTATTAAGAAATACCTCTACCCAAATATTGCCAATACTCCTCCACCCCCTCCCCCTCTCCCCTCCTCCTAGCAGAGTAAACCCCACCGGGAAAATATTTCTCTCCACTAACTGACGTCGCTGATTATCGCCTGCCAAGTTAATTTTAAAATTTTAATTAAGTCAGAGTTGTTTTTCTGTCTTAGAAATATTAAAAAAAAAAAAAACACACAGACATGTTGAGTGGGGAGGATTCTTGGCCCCGCCTGCCCGCCCGCCTGTCTCCCAGCAACATATGAAAGCGATCTTTTAATCAAGTTTTTTTAATTCCCTCGCCACATTTTTACTTGCTTTTGTTCCCCCTGGGGGAGGCTGGGGAGCCTGGGGGGTTGGGGGATGCTGGGGAGCCTGAGGGGGGATGCTGGAGAGCTTGGGAGGTTGGAGGATGCTGGGGATGCTAGGGAGCCTGGGGGGGATGCTGGGGAGCCTGAAGGGGGATGCTGGAAAGCTTGGGGGGTTGGAGGATGCTGGGGATGCTAGGGAGCCTGGGGGAGATGCTGGGGAGCCTGAGGGGGGATGCTGGAGAGATTGGGGGGTTGGAGGATGCTGGGGATGCTAGGGAGCCTGGGGGGGATGCTGGGGAGCCTGAGGGAAGATGCTGGAGTGCTTGGGAGGTTGGAGGATGCTGGGGATGCTAGGAAGCCTGGGGGGATGCTGGGGAGCCTGGGGGAATGCTGGGGAGCCTGAGGGGGGATGCTGGAGAGCTTGGGGGGTTGGAGGATGCTGGAGATGCTAGGGAGCCTGGGGGGATGCTGGGGAGCCTGAGGGGGGATGCTGGGGAGCTTGGGGGGTTGGAGGATGCTGGGGATGCTAGGGAGCCTCGGGGGGATGCTGGGGAGCCGGGGGGGATGCTGGGGAGCCTGAGGGGGGATGCTGGAGAGCTTGGGGGGTTGGAGGATGCTGGGGATGCTAGGGAGCCTGGGGGGATGCTGGGGAGCCTGAGGGGGAATGCTGGAGAGCTTGGGGGGGTTGGAGGATGCTGGGGATGCTAGGGAGCCTGGGGGGATGCTGGGGAGCCTGAGGGGGGATGCTGGAGAGCTTGGGGG